GTTCGGCGCTTCCTACCGGTGTTCCCGGATCGGCGCTTACAACTGGTGGTTTCGGTTCGGCGCTTACGGCGCTTATTACCGGTGCTCCCAGATCGGCGCTTACCTCCGTTTTTCCCGGATCGACGCTTCCTACTGGTGATCCCGGATCGATGCTTACTACCGGCATGCCTGGTTCGGCGCTTCCTTTCGGTGTTCCCGAATCGGCGCTTCCTCCTGTTGTTCCCGGTTTGGCGCTTCCTCCTGGTGTTTTGGGTTCGGCGATTACTTCGGGGGGTTTTGATTCAGCACTTCCTTATGCAGGCTGGGGGTCGTTGCTTCCTCAGGGTGCTCCCAGTGTGATGCATACTTACAATGTTCCCGGTTCAGCGCTTCCTTACGGGGTTCATGTTGCCCCGCTTACATATACTGGTCCGAGTTCGGTGCTTACCTCTCATGTATCGGGTTTGGCGCTTGGTCCTTCTACGTCGACCTTTGCTGTTAATAGCCGGGACCTTGCGACTTCGTCGTTGGCGCATGGGAGTGTGCCTCAACCAGCTGGTGGTTCGGTTCCTCGGCGGGAAGTACCTCGTCATACCTTGGTACCGCCTTTTGTTTCTTCGGTTCCTCCTATATCGGGACAGGTGGCCAGACCCATGTTGCCAGTTTCCTGGAATCCGGGCTCTGAGGTTTCAAGTGCTCAACCTTTGGACTTTGATGCTATGGTACTAGCGGTAGCGTCAGCGTTACGACAGCAGGTGCCAACTCCTCCTGCTCATCAGTCATCCCGTCCTTCGAGTTATCCAGCTCCTCCTTTACAAGAGGTTCATCGTTCGACAACGCCGTCTCCCTCGTCAGATGGTACGGCGATTTCCAATGGTAGCGTCGATGCTGTGGACATGCCTCAACTACTTGTCTGGATTGCTGATAGTCTGCGATTACAGCGGCGGATTTATTATCCAGTTTTGACATGAAGCCAGGTGATTATGGGTCTATCACGTTCCCCGCCTCGACCGTGTATTACTCAATTGGCAGCGTCGTTGGACGAGGCCTTCGGTAACCTCAGGAAGGTGAAGGATGGGTTCGCGGCTCCCCGCTTCAACTTAGCATCCGCTCATGTTCATGGTTTCTCTACGCGTATCGTCTCCCTTCCGGTGGATGATGATGTTTCATTGCTAGGGACTAAACAGAAGGTTTTCTCGCCGTTCCTGGTTGAGGATCATGAGCTGTTACATTTGGATGGTGTCATACCACTCAACATGGTGTTGACGACTACCGAAGCAGTGGCTATGTCGGTTGCACATGCCACGTCCCATCAACAAGCGTATATTCGGGCAGCTATGGTCTTGTTGCAAGAGCAATTCCAGACCATTCTAGATCAGTTAGATCACTTCTTTTCGTACATCACAGCTGTACGTCGCAGGGGGCCTTTGAACTTATCCTCTTGGGAGGACCCGCCGTGATGTTGCTGGAATATTGCTAAAAGCGGCGTAAAACCAAACTCAGTCAGCTCTCGGGAGGATCGGTTCCGTACTGATCTTTTTCGGCAGCCATGGTCTGGCAGGTCTTTGTTTAACGGAGCTGTTAGAGATGTTGCTAACAGAGTGGGCCAGGACGCTCATTTACAAGTGTCAGTGGAATTGTTGAAGTTCCAGCGTTTTGCAGGTTGAGGAATCGTTGCGCCAACGAAGGCCAGCCCGTTAAGTTCCTGTGAATCCTGATCTTCGTGCGGGTTCTGCTGCTTCCTTTCGTGGGAGAGGCTCCGGTGGCAGAGGACGACTCAACCGTCCACGTCGGGCGTCCACTACTTCACGATCAGCTTCCGTGTCCGACCAACCCACTTCGCAAAAACCAGCTAAACAGTGACTTTAGACATTAGACGGCGCCTTGGTTCTTCCACCTCCAGTCGTGCCAATTCTGACGTCCCCAGTAGGCGGTCGGCTTGGGTCTTATGCTCCCAACTGGACCATCTTGGGAGACCCCTTCGTCCTCTCCCTGTTGTCCACGGGTTTTCAGCTGCCACTCATAGGGGATTCTCCCCTCACTTTGCTTCCGGAGCGCAGAACGTATCCCGCTCGACAGACGGCTGTTCTGCGATCCACAATCAATACCTTACTCGAGAAACTTGCGATCGAATCCCTGGATCCGGTTCCTACCGCCCTGGGGTTCTATTCTCCAATCTTTCTGGTCCCCAAGAAGGATTCGGACAAGCTGAGTTTAATCTTCAACATGAAGGTGTTCAACAAGAGGTTTCTGCAGCCTCCGCCCCATTTTCGCATGGTATCGGTGGCACTCCTCAAGACCATTATCAAGACAGGAGATTTCATGGTCAGTTTGGACCTCCAGGATGCTTACCTGCACATCCCGATCTTCCCAGCTCATCGCAAGTTCCTTCGGTTTGTCTTCGAGGGCACCCACTATCAGTGGCGTGTCCTCCCGTTTGGAATTTCTTCGGCCCCGTGGCTATTCACACGGGTAACGAAGCCTATCACGAGCTTCCTTCACCGCAAGGGGATCGTGTTCGAAGCCTACATCGACGACTGCATTCAGGCACAGAACGATTATGCTCTTCTCCTTCGTCACATGCAGTTTGCGATACGGCTTCTTCGCCAATTAGGCTGGTTAATCAATCAATCTTCGTTTGTCTTCTGCTCCTGAGTCCTTTCTCACCTTTGGTACGTTAGGGAGATTGGTACTGAAAGTTAAACTAGTTGAGCATCCGAACTATTCCCTCTTTCACCGCCTTCCAGTGTGTGTCTGTGGGGGGTAGTTTCGAAGCAGGGACTGGCCAGATTAAGGTCCTCGACTTTAATTCACTGGGGTCACCTGATAAATCGTGGGGCGGTGGGGCCTACTTGCCAAACTGCGTCCTTTTGCTTGTCAAAAGTTGCGGCCGAAAACCACATTAATTCGGGAGCACCCACTCCCTAGAGTTTTTGTGCTGTGTAAGCTAAGGGGTTACATGAAGAAACCCATCTCAAGTTGGAGTTTGCATATCGGGAGTTGGTGCTTTCTCCTGGCCTCCTTGGGTTATGCGTTTTTCCTGGTGGTAGGAACGGGGTAATCTGCGACCCGCCTACCAACCGTGGGATTGTGCATACATTGAGATAGGATAAATTTAAAAATTTGTAAATTTTATTATAAATTGTATATTTATATACTTATCCTATCTCACGCGATAGGACCCACCCGACCTGCCCCACATCACAGATTACTAGAAGCTCCAAGACGAGAATGACAGGCACAGGTAGTCACATGATCATCTGAGCGAGCAGCACGCTTACAGAGATGATTAACAGGTGTTGATGTCGGAGTGAGGGCAGAGGTCAGGGCGGGTCAGAGGCCAGCAAGATTTGATTCAACTTAGCCTACAGCACGTTTCCACACATGGTCGTAGAAGAAGAGAGAGGTGCATACCGTGAGATAGGATAAGTATATAAATATACAATTTATAATACAATTTACAAATCAGAGCGCGCCACATTCCAGGTCGGAAGAATAGCCTAGCGGACTCATTACCTCGACAGGACAGAGTGATCTCGACCGATTGGACTCTCAAGGAAGAGGCATTCGATTTGATAGGACAGAAGTGGGAAATTCCAAACATAGATTTATTTGCGACTTCCAAGAATTCCCGGATACCAATGTTTGTGAGTCCAGTACCGGATCCATTGGCATGGGCAGTCGACACCCTATCCATATCATGAGAGGGGATGATAGCCTATGCGTTTCCTCCGTTCAAACTAATCCCAGAGGTTCTGTTAAAAATTCAACAACACGACTGTCTAGTTTATCTAGTGGCACAAGCGTGGCCTGCCAGACCTTGGTTTCCCACCCTACTACAACTATTGGTGGACAAACCTCTACGTATTCCTTTGTGGCACAATCTAATCAGTCAACCCAAGTCCAACAGAGTTCACAAGAATGGCATGCAACTTGCGCTACACGTATGGAAGCTATCTCAAGGTCACTCAGGAATCAGGGATTTACGATTGAAGCTACCAGAGCTATTTCAGAATCTGTTAGACCTTCCACAGCTGCCTTGTACGACACTAAGTGGCGACGATTCATCCAGTGGAGACGAGAGTGTGGAATCATGGATGTACCTGTCACCATTCCAGTGATAGCGAAGTTTATCTTGTTCCTAAGAGAACAGAAACATTTGAAGCATAATACTATTGAGGGATATCGATCAGCTATTGCTTCAGTCATGGATGGTCAAGGTTTATCTGTGGGCTCGGCTACATCGCTTCACAAAATGATCAGATCTTTTCAGATTAAGGATATATCGTCTCCAACGATATTTCCTAAGTGGGATTTAACGTTAGTACTTCAATCTCTTCAAAAATCTCCTTATGAGCCTATGCTTCTCTAAAGTATCTGGCATTTAAGACGGCTTTTCTTTTTGGCATTTGCAACTGCTTCCAGAGAGTCGGAATTACATGCTATTGCCTTAAAATCCATCACTTTTTCGGAAGGATATAAACAGATAACTGCTAGAACTGTGCCGGAGTTCATTGCCAAGAATCAAACTTCAGCTTGTGGTCCTTTGGAACATAGGATATATCGTATACCTCAGCTTCCTACCTCTACCTCTAGATTGGATAGGACTGGACTTTTGTGTCCCATACGTGCCTTGCGCTGGTACATTCAGTGTACTTCGACGTTTAGACGAAATCGTTGCAGACTGTTTGTTTCATGTAAAACAAATGTAGACTCGGAGATATCCAAGAATACCATATCTTCATGGCTCAGAAAGACTATATCTTTTGCTTATAGGGATCAGAATCAAGACTTAATTGATCTTAAATTCTCCCCCCCATGAAATTAGAGCCCTAGCTTCATCCTTAGCGGCTTGGTCGTCAGTTCCGTTAGAACAAGTTGTGTCTAGTTGTCAATGGAAATCTCCTAATACCTTTATCCAATTTTACCTCAGGGATGTTGCTCCCTCTATTGAAGGTTTACATTCATTAGGACCTTTAGTAGCGGCTCAGCACCTTGCCTCCGCCTGACTGCCCCTTTGGGGGGAAGGGGGTGTGTGTTGACCTGGCATCTACATCTTCAGGAAGGATGACGCAGTGAGAGATGGTGCCTGGGACTGTCTGAGGGTCCACTCGGAAGGATGATGGATGGATACTGGTCAAGGGAGGTGAGGTGAAATTGGGTTTAACCTCATACTTGAGAATATTTCACTCATATGACGAACCGGTCAAGGGACAGCATGTAGCAAGACAAGTTGACATGGTAAGAGAATTTACATTTAGATATATCACCTAACCGAGCACAATATGGACAGAGTTCTAACTTCTGAGCTATGGTTGATGGCTTCACGTTAGAATATGATTATGAGCTCAAGGTGGTTACCTAAGGTTGAGTTGAACACAATTATAGTCTAATGATAGTTAACTGGAAGTGACGTCATAGAACTGGAAGTGACGTCATAAGACCGGAAGTGACGTCAGCCAAACTAATTAGTATTACATCATAGAGATTGTCTCTAGGAACCTGAAGTGACGTCATTAGACCGGAAGTGAGGTCATCAAACGTGACGAGCCAACGCTTTAACCACTAGACTACCCCAGCGCCCTTATAATTAGGAACAATTACATGTATTGTTAGTAATTGTTAGTAAACTTACCTCTGGATTATGGGGAGTAGTTCCCAACCTGTGTCCTCCCCGCAAATTTGTCCTTAGAAGATGTCATTGATGTGTTGTTTTTTAGAAAAATTATGAAGGGTTCTAGGAGAACAATACAGTGACGTCAGGATCAAGGAAGATAACTCAGGGGTAGATTAGGTATACCACTAGGAATCGCTATGACTTAGTGTTATAATTTCTTTTGATTTTCTGTATGTATTCTGTGAATCCACAGGAATAAGGCTACCATAATCCAGAGGTAAGTTTACTGACGATTACTAACAATACATGTAATTGTTCCTATTCAGCTATCTTCATGGACTCAGGTCTCATCGTGGATGGGTTACCGATAGCATTGCCAACACATAACTCTTACCCGGTAGAGACTTACTGCATAGTCGACGATGACTTAGATACACTGTCAATACCACCTATTAAGCTGATATCGGAGGTCCCGTGTAACCTCAAATCAGCGTTCGCGAATGCTGCCAGATCTCAAGGACAACATATGCCGGCGTTTAACAGGAAAAAATTCCCTTACACAACATGGATCCATTCTTCAGGGTGCCAAATATAGATGACGACTTCCATTTCCTCGACGGCTCTAAGTCACGCAGCTATAGAGTGGAAGATAAGAAATTACAACATCTAGACACGACTACAAGAAGGACTATTTTCGGACTAGCTGGATCCCGGGCTATTAATCAAGGCTTAATCAAAACATTCCATAATCCTAAAACGGACACGGAAAGGATGGTCTTATCGGCACTTGTCACCCAAAAGAAGGATCAAGAATTTATGTCCGACCACCTTGCATCTACATTGGCAGGCCTGACCTTATTGAGACGACAAGGGCTCCTCTTATCCTGTAACTGGCCAGATTGTTATACTAAGTCGTACTGCGTAAATCATGGGCAGCACCAACTTTATTTGATTGTGGCATTAGCCAACATCTCAAGAAGTATGCCAGGATTCCAAGGATCAGATGTTCATCAGTTCTATGCAGACTATGAATAACATGTACCGGCAAACATCACATCGAGGACAATTTTGATCGAAATTCCAAGGCATTCAGAGAGCCAAAGACAGGAAAGCAGCAGGGTTTTGAGGAAGCAAATCAGGGAATTTTCCTTGTCCATTCGGCAACTCAAGGGGATGCTCTGGGAGAGGTCGTTCTTCAGGATCCTCCTGATCCTCTCGTCAATGAAGTACAGATTTGGAACGACTTGTCAGTCCCAGCCCTAGTCATTCCTATACAACCGTCAACCGTGGGTGGATGTCTGGGTTACTACTAGGAGAATTGGAGAATCCTCAAAGACGACTATGTTCTACAGGTGTCAAAAGTCTGCAATGGGACTTATTTACAAGAGGCGGCCTACAATCTACATCTCTTTATAGATGCATCTATACAAGGATGGGGAGCACACTTCAACGAAGAGCTTGCATCAGGACTTTGGTCACTAAATGAAAGGACCTTACACATAAATCAACTGGAATTCAAGGCGGTTATCGAGGCAGTTCAACACTGGGAGCACGCACTGAGGAATCTAATACTTATGATTCACACGGACAACTCAACAGTAGCCTTCTACATAAATCTTCAAGGCTCAACGAGATCAGCACCACTACTGCCATTGACGTTCCAACTCTTCAACCCAGCGGACAATCTCAACTTAAGGATGAAAGCTTGTCACATTCCAGGAGCGAAGAACGTCCTAACAGATGCCTTATCCAGACTGGTCTGAGTGGATGCTACGTCTGGAAGCATTCCAAATGCTCATAAGAGACCAAGTCTGTCCTCGCATAGATCTATTTGCGACACGCTTCAATCATCAAATTGCAATGTTCGTCTCACCAGTACCAGATCCACAAGCTTGGGCTCTCGACGCTCTAGCCATATCATGGGAAGGAGTAAATGCTTACACATTTCCACCAGCAATGCTACTACCTCAGGTACTACATAAGATTGCACAAACCAAAGTCCTCCGACTGATTTTGGTCGCGCCCTACTGGCCAGTGAGAACTTGGTTTCCAGACCTCCTACAGCTCATAGGAAAACCAACACTACGTCTACCAGATTGGCCGAATCTACTGATCCATCCTCGCAACCCAACCCAACAGGACTGCGTTTACATGTATGAAACGTATTACATACTGTCTGAGAAAAAAAGGATACTCCACTAGAGCTGCTAAGGCAGTTACACTGGCCTTAAGACATTTAACTCGGAATATCTATGATGACAAATGGAAACGTTTTGATCAGTTCGCTACACTCAAAGGATTTTCGGCCATGGAAGCTACACATCCTCAAGTAGCAGAACACTTACCATTTGAGAGCTACTAGATGCTTGAAGGGATCTACACTTTCAACATACTTGGCTGCAATCAGCTCCGTTATCACCATGAACACAATCGTTAAACTCACCAAAGTACCTGAACTCGTCGTTCTACTGAGATAATTTAAACTAGAGGATCAGTTTAGAGCTCCAGCATGTGACCTCAACATAATGCTGCAACATCTTACCAGCAATGACTATGAACCACTAATAGACACAACTTTTGAATTGCTAACTCAAAAGACATTATTCCTCCTCACCTTAGCTACAGTGGCTAGGATGTCAGAAATACATGCCCTCGACTACGGACGAACTAAGTTCGACACTGGAGAGCATGCTGCAGTCCATCTGGGACTAAGATGGGATTTTATAGCTAAGAATCAACTACCTGGCCAACCAGATCGTCAATTCCACGTACCGGCATTGTCCTCGGAAGACACAGAAGACTTATCATTATGCCAGTCAGAGCTTTAAAAAGCCACTTACAACGGACTGCTACAAAAAGAAGGAAGTTCAAAAGGCTCTATTTACCGTTATCACCCATCATGACTATTGCAGTCTCCCGAATTACTGTCTCATATTGGATCAGAGCTGTCATCCTACAAGCGTACAAAGCAGCGGGGCTGGACCCTTCTAGAGCTTCCATCCCACACGAAGTTAGAGCATTAGCCTCGACACTCGCCCTACGAGGGAATTGCTCTTTATAATCCATCATGGAAGGCTGCTTTTGGAAATTGGACATTGTGACAGAGAAGATGTCTCGGTATCCATAAGGTCGGCCCTCTTGTAGTAGCGCAACAACTCACGATTCCAGCTAGAATATGAGAAACTCACCCTTTTTACGCAGACTTGTTGATGCCAAGGTAACAGACACGCTTCCGTCGGCAGAGAGTCCATGTTTCCCTGTCTTTCAAGATAAGTCAACGCATGAGTGATATAGACTCAGTTATGGTAACGCCCTTGCCTTAACATAGGGTCGCGATTCAGTTTCGGTAATAGCCCTTACCTTAACATATGGAACGTTGTAGATAACTAGACATTGAGGCATACTAGATTATCTTAAAATCCATGAAATCTGCACGATTTACTTCTTTATTGTGTCAAGAGAAGGTGGCCCCCCGATTTGACATCAAAATCAACATCGACACCTTAGGAAGCCGCAAGGAAGAGTTCCCAGAGGGTATATGATCAGACGATATTGATCACACAGTCACAGTGAATCCTGTTAGGTGGCTGACCCGTCGCCTATTCCGTCGGATTCGATAAGCAGTAAAGCATGAGTCAGGATAAGGAAAAATATGTAATTTTTATGATAAAATTGATATTTTAAACTTATCGTGACTCATGATCTAAAGCCCTTCCAACCATCCCCTCTCAGCACTATGGGCTTCACTGTAAGACCTAGTGTGGGCTTTATCAGGAGAGAGTGATAAGAGCTGGGCTCAAGTCACATGGGACAGCTTTGGCGGGAAAAGGGAGGCAACTCGTTGGGTGAGTGATTTTACAATTCTTCAGGGATTCAAGTTTCCACATAACCGTCGAAAGGAAAAGGGAGTTAAGCAATAATGCATGAGTCAGGATAAGTATAAAATATCATTTATATCATAAAAATTACATGCTTGTCTAAGCCTCCTTTTTCTGGGATAGCATACTGGGTAATTCTTTTCTTGACATGGTGATTTGCTTCTTGTTCTGATGAAAAATATTTAGCTATTTCTGATATCAAATGCCTGAGTAGGTACTAGAAAGACTGTCTGACTGTCTTATGTCATACCTAAGCAAAACCAACTAATGGAAATGATTTCACAAAAAATCACTCATCCTGTACTGACAGTACAACACTAGTCCTATGCTAACAATACAACTTGATAGCAATCGATGTCTTTTTCATTACGCAAGCGATTTTTATAAATATATTCCATACGCATATGTTTTAAACGTTTTGCGTATCTAACAATTTAAATGCGTAATTGGTACGCAACAATTATTTTTCAATGCGTAATTGGAAATTTTCTCTGCGTATTTTACCCGGAAACGCAACTTATCTTGTCATCTGTGTGTAGTTTTGGTTTTGTTGATTGAGATTTTGAACAACTTTGCTATCACTTGTAGGTTAGAACTGATATTTGTGTGAAGCCCCGATTTGACCCCACTGTCCCAGGAGCTCTTGTGATGACGAGGCCCAACTCTTCACATCAGGTATGTGGCTGCCTTGGGAATGAGTTAGTGTGTGACTGTTGATTTATGAAATAATTTACAATATTTCACAGAATCCTGTGAAAAAGAAATCCACTACCAGAAGACAAAAGTGACCACATTTTGATCCCCTGGTACAACAGGCAAAAGAATAATGTGTGATTTTAAGCCTGGATTCCCACTTTGTGGAACCTGGGGTAAGGGGCCACTGGCTCAGTGTCACTCTATCCAGTACAGTTGCCATGATAATGTTTATTGGTCTTACATGACACATCTCTCAGCTTTCACCATAGTTGAAAACATCCTTGAACTAATCACTTGTAACTTTCTTTCCACTTAAAACTGATGTGTTTTGATATGACTGCAATACTGTTTAACATTGTGTTAAACCCATTTGGTCTATCACTCCTTAAAGATGATATTCATGTGTGATATTCATATAACATATACACATCATCATCAGTTTTAGAAAACTGATATATGTCACCAGACCATTAACCAGTGTTAGTAATACCAGTGTATGAAATAAGGCCTGTCTGACCGCCCGAGACAGGTTAGATTTCAGACGGATGGTCTAGATTTACGGCTAGCCAGACCGATGGTTTGGTAAAACATTTAGATGTTATATACATCTGAGTCATATATTGGTTTCTGGTCTGGTTAAATCCATTTTGGACTGGTAACATTTTGAAGTTACCAGCCCTGATGTCTGGCTGGGGTTTTGGCTTATTTCATACACTGGTAATACATCTTGGTTTAGTGAAATATTTCGTTTAAACACCTTCACTTCTCTACGAAAGTTTCCCTCAAGACAGTATTTCTTTGTTACGCCTGTCCTTGCTGTGCTGACAGTGGGAGTTCAACAGACAGAAGCTGGCTGTGCTGGATGTAGTGGTAGACCCTTACCTGTCTACCCATCTGCGGGCACACCAGCGGGACGGGGTGCTGTTCCTGTACGAGTGCGTCATGGGCTTCAGAGACTTTGCAGGACAAGGGGCCATCTTAGCGTGAGACACATATTTATAGCATTTTGTCTCCATTAATAAATCAATTGCCTTTCACAAACATTTCATTTAAATATATATGACATGAATTCTAGTTCTTTCATAATGTGTAATAACCTCAAAAAAGAGAGTCTGTAATTAAGTTAATAAAAGTTAAAAGAACACTTGCTTATCTTAGGGTCATAGTCTTGAAAATGCCTTGGATTTTGTGCCTCCAATTTGTTATGATGCATGATTGACTAAAGTTCCTCCTTGTATGTTGTCAGTGATGACATGGGCCTGGGCAAGACTCTGCAGTGTATCACCATGCTTTGGTGAGTGGATGTTTCATATTGTCTCTTGTAATATCACTGGAACATTTATTGGATTTTCAAATGTGAAATGGTCATTGCCTGACTCATCTTGTATTGTGCAGGACGATGTTGAAGCAGGGTCCGTATGGAGGCAAGCCTGTGATACGGAGAGCTCTCATTATCACCCCCGGCAGTTTAGTTAAGGTAAGAAATGTCATCTGGATATACACCTGTGCTCAACTTCATTGATATATATCTTGTTTCAAGCTTGATGTTATGTAGTCACACGGTGTGATATGTTGTGTGTGGTATCAGAATGTTCTACAGACTTCTGATCATCACTGTTGTGTCAACACGTGCATTTTCAGTATTTTCAGATTTATGACTGTGTTTTACAAACCTGTGGTATTCTAGCTTTACTACCAATATTTTAGATTTAGGAAGCTTTTACTTTGCATAGTGATTTCTGGTTGAAACATCACATATTGCAATACAGTAAGAATTCATTGTATATATAACGTTTTATTGTGTATTGTGACTTTTGGCACAGTTTCAACCACTGATTCAGTTCTCATCTTTAGTCAATCTGTTGTGTGGTAACTTCTGCTACCTTTTCTGCATTTTTGATCCCTTTGTAAGATGGTTTCAATCTGATTGTATCCTGAAATAATGCCTTGTTGATATGGATGACACTGCTATGTTAGATGAGCTCTCATTTGCCAAATCACAGTGGACAAAGATTGTTTTTAGGACATCACTTCCTTTGCAGTTAATGATCTAAGATGTCATCTCATAAAGAATTTTTTTTATCTAAATGGAACCTCATTTTGCAGTACATCTTTATGTTTGTGATTATTAAATGTGAGATAAAATTTTCACCTTCTGTGAATGAAAACGTTTTCCATTCAAACACTTACAGTACATTTAATGTCCCTCACGGAACGGGGGACTATGTATTGAGCAGGGTAAGTGTGTACGTATGTATGTACGTACATCTTGTAAAATCGGTATTTCATGAACTGTTGAACCTAATGTCTTCAAGTTTGGTACCAGCCTACATTAGGGGATTATGCAGACACCAGTCGATTTGGGTGACCTTGACCATATCTTCATGGTCACCATGACACTTTTCAAACTTTTCAAACTTATGTAAATGCGATATCTCAGAAAACTTGGTGTACATGTGACTGCAAGCTGCTGCTGATAGTAGGTTGTTGTATACCTGATAGCTAACTGTGCTGGTCTCCATGGTAACTATTCTGTTTAAGTTAGCTTTGTTCCTCATCGGATGTTTTTGTTCTCCAGAACTGGTTTCAAGAGTTTAAGAAGTGGCTAGGTTCTGAGAGACTGAAGGTGTTTGCTGTTGCTGCCAACAACAGAGTTGAGGTGAGATAAACAGTGATTCTGGATATGGAAAACCACCTTGAATCCATTTATACAATGGAACGTAGGGATAAGGCCAATATAGTTATCCATTACCTTTAATTGACAACTGATATTTGTCACTTATGCCTGTGGAATATAATGTAGTGAAAAAATCTTCTATGCAAGAACTAATGAAACTACTGTTATACGTTTGGCCACATATTCTACCTCACTTGTCAGTCACTTTATCATTTTATACTCCTCTGAAGTGGCTAGCTGGATTCATCTGAAATTTTGTTTTAGAGTTTGTTTCTATACAATATGAATATAGATATGTTTTTGTCATCAACTTCAATAGCAATGTTGACCACTGCTCTTTTTAAATACCTGTTGTTTTTATGTTACACACAGTTGAGTTACAGTGTTAAGCACATTTTTATGGTTTGACAATTAACCAGGTAGATCAAAATTAGTATAGAAAATTATGAAAATAGATTGGGAAAATGAGTTAAAAATAGATTGGGAAAATAAGTTCATTATATTTCTGATTGGGTTTTATAGCTACATTTGGTAAAATCTGTAAAATGTGATCTGTGGTTGGATGGATTACAACTTTCTTGTGTTACAGGAATACACAAAAACCGCCATCTACCCAGTGCTCATCATATCTTATGAAATGTTTGTAAGAGCGTATGAAGTGATCCAGGAAGTCCACTTTGACATAGTTATATGTGATGAAGGCCATAGGCTGAAGAATACAGCAATCAAGACTACCTCAGTGAGTTGCTTGTTTTTATACACATGATATAACATCTGTACTGGTATCATAAGAAACTGAAGGAGAGTTAAATATGTTGATGCAGAAATTCATTTGAGAGAATGTCATACTGTTTGTTGTCATTGAGCCTGTGTTTTGTTTGCCCTGTGTGTTCAGTCACCAGGTGCCATTGTGCAGGGTCAAACTCTTGGAGAAAATATAAGAAACATTCAGATTTTTCCTTATCCTGACTCATGCTTATTGCTTGTCTCCCTTTCCTTCCGAATGCTAGTGGAACACTTGAATCCCCTTTTGAAGCTCCCTTCAAAAAAGCGGACGTAAAATCATTTACGAGGAGTCACCTCCCTTGCCAGGTTTTGGCGGGAACGGCGCCACCCGTCTGCCATGCTCTTCACTCTCTCCTGATTCGCCCGAGTGGGCGGTTGTGAGAGCACCTGGTCCCCTATACGGCTTTATATCCTTTTATTATTTAGGCTTTCTTCTAAATTAGCTGTATAAGGCTTTAGCTAACATTTACCTACAATATTGTACGGAATTAATTCTCAAATTTCTCCGTTTTTGTCACGTTTTTACGTGATTATTCACATTGTTTACAATTGATGAAATCTTGTTCTGATTGTAGGTATCATTTGTCTGCTGTTGATCTGCATAACCTATGTCCTAATTGCAAGCCTATATGTTTATCTGACACTCGTTGTCAGTTGTGTTTTCACCTGTCTGATATTGCATTTTACAAAAATTCATATTATCTGTCTAGACGTGCAAAGGACAGGTCCAGACGAGAATTACACGACATGTCTAAACCGGCTAAGCTTGCAGAGGAGCGGCAGTTGGTGTCTGCGCAGATACACCGTTCCAGTGGTCTACCGGGGTCGTCTACGGAGGAGGTTGCCGCCTTAGACAACGCTGGCTCGAGGAAGAGGTCATCTACATCTGAGACACCCTCTTTGCAGTCTAAGAAGACTAGGGCATCGTCTTCCCAGAGGAAGAAGGCAGCTACAGCTAAGACTTCGGCGAAGTCTCCACACGGGGCAACACAGAAGACGAGATCTTTTTCAGCTGAGATCGTCCCTCTGGAAGAAATAGATGTCTACGATGAACCGCCCATCCTCATCCCTGAGATCACATCTAAGAAGAAGATGAAGACGTCTTCTACAGTGACCACGCAGGACATCCTATCAACGCAGACGTCTGGCACGAAGGATCTACGCCCTTCGGAAGAAGCCTCATCCGTCTCTGATGCGTCGTCAGTACAACAGACAACGCAGACCTTCAACCCGGGCGGCGCCTTTATGCAGCAATTTACCCAACAGATGTTGGATCTGATGGAGAGCTGCGACGAACCCGAGTGAAGGTCAACTGAGCAGCACACCACGTCCGTTGGGAACCAACGTCCTGCAGAGCATACAGGAAGATTCCAGCTCGACTACAGCGTCCGCACGAAAAACCTGGCAGCCATACCAACGTGGACTCCGCTCCAACTACGTTCGACGGAAGCACCAGACGTTCGCCGAACCCACGCAGATCATCAACGTCAGATACAGACGTTCGTCACGAACCTGCACGCAACGGTTCGGTACGAAGGAGAAGAGAATCAACATTCGTACGAAGGCATAGAGATTCGTCACAAGACTCCAACTCTAGACAAAGCCGTTCACCAACACGCAGGTTCGCTCGAAGGCACGCACGGTCATCTCTATCTCCACGCAGGTCCCCATTTTTGATGTCATGAACACATTCACGAACGTATGGTTCGCCACGAAGGTCACCACGCAGGTCGCTTTACAGATCACCACGCAGGTCACCACACAGATCATCTTACAGATCACCTTACAGATCTCCTCGTTCAGACGACAATAGAAGACATCCATCCTCAGAGCAGGAAGATGACGGCGGAATTACATTTTTCGACTCGGAAATCAAGTCATGGATGGCCAACGGTTTGGAACTCGCATCACCCTCTAAGGAGACCAATGAAGCACTATCATACTTGATGGTGAATGATGATATAGACTCACTCACGATGCCACCTATCGACCCAGTCTTAGACGTTCCAGACAACCTCAGCACAGCCTTCAAGAAGGCAACAAAATACCAGACTCAGAGTATTCCGTCGTTCAACGCTAAGAAATTCTCTCTACACCACACGGAACCCTTCATGAAGGCCCCAGAGATAGATGAGAATTATAAGATCATCAACGACACTCGGACTAAAGCTTACAAGATAGAAGATAAAAAGCTTGCACAGTTAGACACAGTAACCAGACGAACCTTCTTCGGCCTAGCCAGGTCAAGAGCTATCAACGAGACTCTCATCTCGAAGTTTAAGAATTCAATTTCAGAGGAAGATAGAATGATTTATTCAGCTCTACTTACAAAGAAAAAGGATCATCAGTTCATGTCTGAACACCTATCATCCATTTCTGCAGGCTTAACATTATCAAGAAGGCAAGGACTGTTATCTTCATGTACTTGGAGCGAGAAGTTTACCATGACACTCTACACTGAGTGAAGCCCATTTCTGGTGTCCCCCGCCATGATATTGCTGGAATATTGCTAAAAGTGGCGTAAAACCAAACTCAGTCAGTCAGTCTACAGAGCCCCTTGGTCAGCACCATCCATTTTTGCAGGAGAAATTGACGAAGTCGCCAAGGAAGTCGCTAAAGATTCCTGAGAAGTAATGATGATCATGTCTATCGATACACTGGCCAGTGTAATACGTCAGACCTCCCAACGTTATTCCGGCAAATCGTAGTTTGCAGGCATCCAGAGAGCAAGGGATAAGAAATCAGGCAACGCTAAAGGAAATAAGGATTCTTTTCGTCGCCCATCCGCAGCTCCAAGAGGTAACTACGGAAGAGGTCGGCCCTTTCGAGGCGCCAGAAGTTCCAGACGATGAAATACAGGTTCGGAACGACTGGAGTCTTCCACCCCCAGCGTTTCCAGTACAACCCTCACAAGTGGGTGGACTTCTGCAACTCTACTGGAAGAATTGGGGAATTCTTCAAGATGACTTCGTATCTCAGATTCTACGCACAGGTTACAGGATACAGCTACAAGCAGTACCACCAGTAACAATCAACCCACTGGTTCACAACTACGCTGCAGACCAGAAGGAAATCTACTAGAAGCCATCACATCTCTACTAGAGAAAGAAGCAATAGAAGAGATAAAACAACACACCAGGTTTCTACTCCCCAATTTTTCTGGTACCAAAGAAAAATTCAAAAGAAAAGTTCCAACTCATTTACAACATGAGGAAATTCAACAAAGATTACCTCCTACCACCAGCAAAGTTCAAGATGATACATCTTCCACAGCTACGACAGCTCATACGTCCGCTAGACTATCTCACCAGCATAGATTTACAGGATGCATACTTACACATCCCGATCCATCAGGAGACAAGGAAATATCTACGATTCCTGTTCAACGGTCGTCATTTCCAATGGAAGGTCCTGCCATTTGGAATATCATCGGCCCCCTGGTTGTTTACTCGAGTGACAAAGCCCATCATTATATATCTACATCGTCGAGGTCTACGAAGTGCGTTCTACCTAGACGACGGGATTCAAGCTCAGCAAGATCCCAGTCAACTCAGACTGCAACTGAACTTCACCATCAGACTTCTCACTCAACTTGGATGGCTAGTAAATCTCCTCAAGTCGGAACTACATCCTACTCAGGACTTGCAATTCCTAGGAATACGGCTTATAACAACGAATGATCTCTCAAGTTCTACTCTCTCCGTTACCACTACGAGAATGGCAGAGCCTATTAGGTCTCCTCACGTCAGCTCAAGACATGACACGCAGAGGGAGACTACAACTGCGTCCACTACAGAGATTTGTGAACGCTCACTTACACAGTCTGGATCCCTTCGAAATACCAGACAGGCTAAAACCATATCAACTATGGTGGACTCAGAAGTCGAATGTTTGCGACAGAAACTACTTAATAGAGCCGGAGTGCAACGTCCACCTCTACTCAGACGCATCACTGCACGGTTGGGGAGCACATCTCGACAACGAAGTGGTTGCCGGGAAATGGTCGAAACAAGAAATGAATCTGCATATCAACATGCTCGAGATGAAAGCAGTAGTAAATGCCCTACTACATTGGTCCAACATACTAAGGAACGCAAAATTGATGATCCATACGGACAACTCAACAGTGGCGTTCTACATAAACAAACAAGGATCAACAAGATCTTGCAATCTTCTAGACCTCAGCTTTCAACTATTCAACATAATAGACAATCTCAACATTTATGTGAAAGCATGTCACATTCCGGGAGCCAGGAATGTAATAGCAGATGCGTTATCTCGACCACATCAACCATCCCCAACAGAATGGATGTTACATCCACAAGCGTTCAGATGCATCATACAGACGATAGGATCTCCACTCGTAGACCTATTCGCCACGAGATTCAACAATCAACTGGCAACATTTGTCTCTCCAATTCCCGATCCGCAAGCATGGGCGACAAACGAATTGCTTGTCATAAAGAGGATACTCCGCCAGAGCAGCGAAAGCAGTTACACTAGCTTTACGTAGATCTACTCGTAACTTGTATGATGACAAGTGGCAAAGCTTTGAGAAATATGCATCGAGGAAAGGTTTCACTACAGTGAAAGCAACACATCCTCAAGTGGCGGAATATCTTTGTCATCTCAGACAAATGAGGAAATTAAAAGGTTCGACATTATCTACATACCTAGCGGCTCTCAGCTCAGTTATCACTATGAAGACAGGCGTGAAACTGACGAAGGTGCCAGAGTTACTGGCCTTGCAACGTTCTTTTAAACTGGAAGACCAACAAAGGAAATTTAAAGCGCGGGCTTGGGATCTCAACGTGGTATTACGACATCTCACCAGTGATGTATGTACGAACCACTAGAAAGAACTTCTTACGAATTTCTTACTCAGAAAACGCTATTTCTGATCGCCTTGGCAACAGCGGCGCGGATGTCAGAAATACATGCGCTGGACTTTGAACGGATACGGTTTGACACACATCACAACACGGTTCATCTAGGATTTAGGTGGGATTTCATAGCTAAGAATCAACTGCCAGGTCAACCGGACAGACAATTCCACATCCCAGCATTATCTACAATCCTTGGTCTGCAGGATATACAAGATTTATCCTTATGTCCAGTCAGAGCGCTGAAAATCTATCTACAAAAGTCTAAAACCAGGAGACGAAAATTCAAACGCCTTTTCATCCCCATATCGTCGGAGACACCCACAGAGATCTCACGTACTACGATATCAGTTTGGATGAGAGCAATCATACTACGAGCCTACAAGGCAGCAGGACTTGAGCCTCCTCGAGCCCCCAATCCGCACGAAGTTAGAGCACTGGCATCTACACTTGCTCTACATAGAAACTGCTCAATATCCACGATCATGGAAGGGTGTTTTTGGAAATCGGAGACAGTATTTGCTAACCACTACCTCAGAGACTTTGCTACCGAGGACGTCTCCGGTATCCACCAGTTTGGACCTCTGGTTGTAGCTCAACAGCTGACGGTCCCTCAAAGGCGCTGAGATGTATCTCGCCCTTTTACCGCATGTCATGCAAAGCTCGTACTCCAAGGAATAGAGCTTATAGTCCATGTACACGTCTGGAACAGACTAGCATGAATATTGGACCCTGTACTTGTAAAGAATTACTTGTACATGGATAGGGTCAGTACTTCACTTGATAGGAACATCAAGTGTTGGAGTTATTTAAATCCACATGTACGGTTACAGAAGAGTTTGATATATTGTGGTCCCCCCAAATTACCAAATTATTTCGACATATGGATCAACAGCAGCAGTGCCATTTAAAGTTCCAATAGGGGGTATATAGGACGTAAATTCATCACTAAGGAATCCAGAGGTGGCTTGACCCACCAACTATACCGTCGGATTCTACAAGCAATAAGCATGAGTCAGGATAAGGAAAAATATGTATTTTTCTGACTAAAATTGATATTTTATACTTATCCTGACTCATGAGGTAAGCCCTCCCAACCTCCCCTCAAGGCACTCTGGATTTCCCAGTAAACCAGTGTGTCGGGTTATGATACGGAGAGAGTGAAGAGCATGGCAGACGGGTGGCGCCATTCCCGCCAAAACCTGGCAAGGGAGGTGACTCCTGGTAAGTGATTTTACGTCCGCTTTTTTTAAGGGAGCTTCAAAAGGGGATTCAAGTGTTCCACTAGCATTCGGAAGGAAAGGGAGACAAGCAATAAGCATGAGTCAGGATAAGTATAAAATATCAATTTTAGTCAGAAAATTACATTATCTCACTTACTGTTGCACTTTAGTTATATTTCATGATAATGAAACTAAGTACTGAACTAACTTCTTGTTTCAGTTAATCATGAATTTGCCGACCAGAAGACGTGTTATTCTTACAGGCACTCCTATACAGAATGACCTTAAGGAGTTCTACTCCATTGTGGAGTTCTGTAACCCTGGCGTCCTAGGTAGGTCCAGAGTAGTTTTGTAATGCTCTTACATAGTGTGAATTCAAGCATTTGGGCATCAGGCTGTGTTTTGTCAAGTTGCCCAAGTCCATGAGTAATGTCAATACATGCAGACTCAGTTTGTACTTTGGCATGAAATGTAAAATAGAGACTTCACTTCAGCAAAATATTGATATCATTGTGATATCATTTCTACTTCATTAGACCAAATATATAGGTCCAGATTCAATTGTTTTTAATTGATGTTGCCAATGTTATTTTGAGGGAACAGTGTTCTAACTGAGAATGAGTTTGCTCTTTATTTACTATGGATAGTTATTTCATCTACTAAATATGCCCTGAGTTAACTAGGTGTTAACAATATTCTGTGGATACCAAGAAGTACTTGTATGCTTCATCCAACCAACCGCAGCAGTATAATTATATCATCAACTGATCTGAATCCCCACTGGCCAGGTTCTAGTGCTGCGTTTCACCGGGTGTATGAAGATCCCATTGTGGCATCCCGGCAACCAGGTGCCTCCCAGGAGCAGATCAGTCTTGGGGAGGAGAGGGGGGCAGAACTGACCAGACTCACCAAGATGTTCATCCTGCGGAGAACTCAAGAAATAAACAACAAATACCTGCCTCCTAAAGGTAGTTGTCAATCAGCAGTGAAGGACATAATCGGCAGTTATTCCATCTATTTCACAGCAGCCTGTATGCTGACATTATAAGGCAAATAAGTTGTTGTTCGGGAGTAATATTAACTATCACCCCATAATGACCCAATGATCAGCCAGATCAAATACTATAGACAAGTTATCTATTGTGGCATAGCAAAGTAAACTCCTATCTGTGGTCAAACAGCATATACATTTGGAACTTTAGTCAAAGATTGTCAGTATCATATCAACCTTGAACAAATATTGCAGTTCGCATCCACAAGCACTGACATGAAAAACCCACAATAAACTCAGCAAGGTGAACTATTGTGTGAAGTGTAATCTGTACTTTAAATCTGTTCATTCAAGGTATTGTTGCTCTCTTATACAGATGGTATGGAGTGAGTGAGATTGGTTTTATGCCACTTTTAGCCATATTCCAGCAATATTATGGCGGGGGACACCAAAAAAGGGCTTCACACATTTTACCCATGTGGGAAATCGAACATGGGTCTTCGGCTACCCAACCGTCCCCAGATGGTATGGACATGTCATCAGATCTTCTCAGAGTCTAGGAGTACAAATTCTACTTTTAATGAAATTGACACATATTCGGTACATCACCTCTTTGCTGTCTTTTCTATGATTTCTATGATTGTTATTTCAGCGGAGCTTGTAATATTCTGTCGTGCAAGTCGTCTCCAGCTCTGCCTGTACCGCCAGTTCCTCCAGTGTCGACTCATCCGGCGCTGCCTGTCTGGGAATGTGGAAGGGGCACCACACCTCATCTGCATCGCCGCTCTCAAGCAGCTGTGTAACCACCCCAACCTGGTGCTCAGGAAGGCCATGGAGGCAGCAGATGAGGGAGGAGACGAGGAAGAGGTAGGCTAAGTGGAGGAAGATAAAGCTATGTTTATGGAAATAGATATTAATATAGCAACTGCAAGTATTTGATATGTTCACTACTAGCATCATCAGTCTTCAAGGTAATTTTGTTTGTTATCATTTTCTTTCTTCATGCTGCTTTGTCATTGTTTTGGGTGTGTGGGGGGTGGGGTGTTTTTTGCTATGCTGTATCCTAGTGTTGTTGTTAAAGTCTGGATAGATAGTCAACTATATGGCATGGCTGATCAACTTCTTCATTACAACTGTAGAAACATCCACTGCTACCTTGCTTACATGGAGCTGAGATTGATGAATGCATGTAGACTGATTAGTTGACAGGGGTTATAACGCCATGCTAACGTACATTGTCCAGTCTGTGTACTCCGGCCTGCTTGCCCACTTCCCGGAGGATGTCTCCCTGGAGAGGGTGGTGACACAACACTCCGGCAAACTGGCGGCACTCTCCTCTATCCTACAGTCCCTGCACTCTGAACGACCCCAGGAGAAGGTGGTACTGGTCTCCAACCACACCAAGGTACATCTTTCATAACTATTGATGGTGTCTTGTGGCAGTTAAACTAAACAACTCAGGCAAACTTGCTGACTGTTACCAACATTGGTTGTTCCCATTGGTTGTTTTCAGACTCTGAATATGCTGCAAGTGTTTTGTGACAGTGTCGGCTTCAAGTGGGTTCGTCTTGACGGCCAAACACCTACATCACAGAGACAAGACATTGTCAACAAGTTCAACAGTAAACACTCTCAAGAAAGTAAGAAAATGCCAAAACTCAAGTGTAGAAAAAGGCTGTTTTTCCACTTTTCTTTCAGAGTATTTTACTATTTTATTATGATTGATGTAACATCACAGCGTCTAGGTGCCACTGTGCTTTGTATAACTGGACCATTGAATCCTATACAGGGAAAGAAACCTTTCAAAACTTCCCACAAGACCACAGTGAGTGGACAATAATTAGTGGTCCTGTCTGTACTTCACTGGTTTAAAATAACATTCGTAGATTTACTTATCTATCAATACAAAATTCACTGGCCACAGGATCACTGCAAACTTTTCATTTACTGGTCCTGATGAATGCTTACTTGCCAGGGACCACAGGACCAGTGTAAATTTCACACACTGCTGTACGTATTTGTTGACAGTTGAAGTTGAATCATAGATGCCAGTGTTATAAAGCAGTGGCTTGCTCAGAATCACTACAACATGATACTTGCTATGGCAAACATGAAGCCATGATGAGTTCTTGCAAAGTCCCCATGATGTATTTTAGCTGTGTTTCTGCTGAGCTCCAAGGCTGGGGGAGTTGGCCTGAACCTGGTTGGTGCGTCCAGACTCATCCTGTACGACATCGACTGGAACCCTGCCAATGATCTCCAGGTAAACACTTCATCTTGTATAGTCTTATATACAGTAGAAGTTAACCAGCTGTAACCTGCATTGTAGACTCTGGGGAAAAGCAATGACTGGCTATTGCTTAAGTGATAATATGAAACAGACATTGATCTTAGGACCAGTTTTAAAGGAGATTTTCACTCTGTTTGTTAAACAACACTTGCTGTTTATGTGGGTGAATGCGTGAGTAAGTTTAGTTTTACGCCACTTACAGAAATATTCCAGCAATATCATGGCGGGGGACACCAGAAATGGGCTTCACACTTCTTTTTCATAGAGATCGTCCTTGGGGTACATATATGCATTTTCTGCGCTGAAAATGTCCTGTGACAGTTGTATCAATGTTTTTTAATAAAAATATTGTACAATAAATAAAAATCTTTTTATTTATTATACGTCCCCCACCTCGTGCAGTTACCTCCCGTTGAGCATGCGCAGCCAACTGGGTAAGCACCTAGGCCCGTATCATCATTCCTTCTGCTGTCACTCCACTGAACGGATGTGTCGAGTAGAGCTGAACTCTTTCTGTTATAAGAAGTTAGAGAGAATAATGTCTGGGACTCCACCACCTGTATGTATGGTCTTTATTTTGTCCTTGAATGGAACAGTAAAGCTTTGCGGTCGGTTGTCTCATAATTGTGACTTTGTATTAATTATTTTACGCTAACTTTCCCGTGGTTTATGCACGTGTTGCTATTCCATGGCGGGAAGTTTAGCGTGCCACGTGGTTGTCATATTGCGTTTTAACCAAGTATTTCTACCCGTGGTCGCATTCACGTATTTTCAATGTTTTGTACGTGTATATTGTGCTGCTGGTCCGCTGTTAGCTACATGCTTGCGTGTTTGCTTTCAGGCGTTTTCCGGTTGTACTGTCTGTGGGCAAAGTATTCCCCGTGCAGACCGTCATGACAAGTGTCTCGTTTGCCTTGAAAAAGGCGGACATAATCCCGACACGTGTGAGATACGTATGGGCTTCTCCCCCCGCGCCCAGAAGAGGCGGGCTGCAGATTTCCTCTTTTTTAGGGAAATGCGAGAGGCGGGAGGGGAACTGACCCAGGTCCCCCCCATCTAAAGCCCCCCAAAACAATCCTAAAGGCAAAAAGGCTAAGTCGCGCAGTCAGGCGCCTTCTACTGCTCCTAGCGGTTTTGACATGTCACTTATCACACAGCTTTTTCAGCAGCACATGGACTCCATGAAGTCCCTTGTTCATGAGTTGGAGGTCTCCGCCAGGAGTTCCTCGCCCACTTGGAGCAGGGGACGGAGAGTCTGGGGATGGGATCGCCGAGCCCGGCTCGATCCCTTGGCCTGGAGGCGTCTGTAGATCTGTTGCCTCTGGCTTCGGGTCCGGACGCCTCGGCTACCCCGGAGGGGGAGGGTTCGCTCCCAGTCCCCCTCTCGGTGTTGGCGCAGGGTCCGTTGAGGATTCCTGGGGTTCCGGTCCCTGCGCCGTCCCGCCCCATGAGAGCGGAGGAACCAGTTTTGCCTGGTCTTCCTCCAGCGTCTCGGGACCGGGGTTCGAGTGTGGTGTCGGGTACTGAAGCGGGGTGCTCCTTCGGTTCTTCCCTTCCCTCTGTGTCTGGTGCTAGGCCGCCCATCGGGTCGGGGTTTCGGGTCCTCTTCGCGAGGAGACCCAGCCTCGGACTCGGGCTCAGGTGCCGAGTCCATGGACATTGGGGAGCTCAAGGAGCCGGAGGGCGCCTTCCGTTTCTTGACGGCTCTGCGGGAGGTCTGGCAACGCATTGCCGAGTATATTCCCCAGGCCGCGGTGCCTACCAGCCGCTCGGACTCGACTGAGTTCCGCTTGCCAGGCGAGGCGTTTGCCCCTAGGCAACCCACGCAGACGCTGCTCCGCATTCTGCCGTCCCTGGTGCAGGACGTGGTGGATCCCCTCCTGGTTGGGTCACGCCTCCGTTTTGACTTGCCTGAGCTTGTCCTTGCGGTCGTCCGCGTCAACGGTGATGTGCGCAGTCATGGGGATGCGCAAGCTGTGGCTGTCGACGTCTCGTTACTCGGCAGCTACACAGCAGACCTTGCTGGCCCTTCCCTACCGTCTGGGAGCGACGTTGTTTCCTGGGGAACAGCAGGTCATACGGGAGGCTGCCGCTGCATCTACCTCCTTCAAGGATTCTAAGGCCTTGTTGGAGCACCCGCGGGCTTCTCGCCCCTGCTCTGCCGTTCCGGCTCCCTCCTCCGGGGTGCAGCCTACACCCGAGTCTGCCGGCTGGCTTCGGCCGCTGGGCAGGGATAGGCGGAGGAGCCGCCCGGCCAAGGGTAAGGGCAAGGAGCAGTCCTGCCCGACCTGGCCGTTAACCCAACAGGCTGTCGCCGTGGGTCCGTCCCAGTCAGCTCAGCTACTCGGGACCACTCACGCCCTCTTACCCAGCGTCCCAGTGGGAGGCCACCTCTCTCTATTCCTGCCGGAGTGGGAGAAGGCTACAAGCAACACTTGGGTGCTGTCCACCGTCAGTGTCGGCCATTTACCACTGTGGAAGCGAGGTCCGCCAGACTTCACCGGCATACGCCGCACTCTGGTGCCGTCATGTCAGGTACGGGCGGATATACTGCGAGACGAAGTCCAGGCTTTGCTGGACAGGTCCGCTATAGAGCGCATACCACCGGGCGAGGAACAGGCGGGATTTTATTCCACGTACTTCCTCGTTCCGAAGAAAGACAGCAGGTTCCGTCCCATTCTCAACCTCAAGGGGTTGAATCGCATGCTAGAAGTTCCATCCTTCAAGATGGAGACACTTCGCTCGGTGATCTCCTCTGTTCAGCCCGGCGATTGGCTCACGTCAATCGACCTAAGGGATGCGTATCTACATGTGCCCATACATCCATCGTTCAAGCAGTACCTTCGGTTCTCTTACGACGGGATGCATTACCAATTCACGGTGCTCCCCTTCGGCATATCCACTGCCCCCAGGGTGTTCACCAAGCTCATGTTAGTGCCGGCTACCCTCGCTCGATCGCAAGGAAGGCGTTGTTACCCTTACCTCGACGACTGGTTGCTCAGCGCGCTAACACAGCCAGCGAGCCTAGATTCTACTCACAAGGTGATAGACATTCTAGTTCGACTGGGGTGGATCATCAACCTCTAGAAATCCGACCTGGTACCCACCCAGGACTTGGTTTTTCACAAGGATCTTGTTTCCTTGTCGCCCGTCCGGGTCACCAGAGTACGGGAAATGGTGTCTTCGTTCCTCTCCCAGCCCCAGGCACCAGCACGGACTTGGCTCCGTCTACTGGGCCATATGGCGGCGACTATCTCTGTAGTGTGGCGGGTGCGGTTGAGGATGCGCCCTATACAGCAAGCTTTGGCGAGTCTGTGGGCTCACTCGGAGGACCTGGAGCGGAGTCTCACAGTCCCCGGGTGGTTGTCTCCTCACCTTCAGTGGTGGACCGATGTCGGGAATCTCTCCAAGGGGGTCCCCTTAGAAATCCCGACGCCAGCTCTTACAGTTCAGACCGATGCGTCCCTCACGGGCTGGGGGGGTGTTCTGGGCAGTCTGTCGGTGTCCGGACTCTGGTCCGAAGCCGAAGCCCGCCTTCACATCAACGTGTTGGAACTGAGAGCTGTGCGGTTGGTTTTCGAGCGCTTCCGAGAGCATGTCCAGGGCCAGATGGTTCGTCTTCAGTTGGACAACCGAACGGCCATGTAGTACATCCTGAAGCAAGGCGTCACGGTGTCAGCTCGCCGAGGAGACGTAGGACTTTCTCCTCTGGAGTGCGACCAGTGCGATTGCCAGGTACTCCCTGTTTATCTCCCAGGGCTGGAGAGCGTCGCGAGCAGGCGCTCTCTCGCCCGGATCCTGGCCCGCGACAGTGGATGCCTCGACCGGCAGATATTCAGAGTTATCTCCAAGTTGTACGGGTCGTTCCAGGTGGATCTGTTTGCGTCTGGCGGGACGAATCAGATACCCGTGTTCTGCTCTCGAATACCGGACCCGAGGGCGTTGGCTGCCGACGCCTTCCTGCTGGATTGGACGGGCAAAGTGCTCTGGGCGTTCGTGCCGTTACCACTCATTCCCCGGGTCCTCTCCCAGCTGTCCACCCAGCCAGCTCAGCTGCTTGTGCTACTGGCACCGCTTTGGCCGTCACAGAGCTGGTTTCCGGTAATTCTCAGGTTTCTGGCTCAGCCTCCTGTTCTATTACCTTTGCTACTGGACATTCTCACTCAGAACGGCGCGCCATACCCCAATCCAAGGATTTAGTGGGTGGCTTGGCCTCTGTCAGGTCTAGCCTCGTAGCACGCGGAATTCCTGCAGCAGTTGCAGACACAATTCTGGCTTCGAGGCGGGATTCGACAAACGTTCAGTATGAGGATAGGTGGTCCCGCTATGCGCACTGGTGTTCAGATAGGGGGATTGCAGATCCCTTTTCCGCGGATTTAGTCCGAGTATTGGAGTTTTTGCAAGCTCGTTTGGAAGAAGGCCTGGCGGCTTCGACCATTCGTGGCTACTCCACCACTATTTCCACCTTTCACACCCCTGTCGATGGTGCTCTTCTGGGGCAGCACCCTCTCGTACAGCGTTTTTTAGCTGGCGCGGATCGGGTTCGACCTGCTGTCAGGCGAACCAGCCCACCTTGGGATTTGTCAATCGTGCTCGATTTGCTGTCCGGTCCTACCTTCTCACGTCTATCGGCTATTTCCATTCAGTTGTTAACATGGAAGGCTGTATTTTTGTTGGCAGTAACATCTGGGCGTAGGGTTGGCGACTTACATGCTATGTCGTCCGACCCGACGCTGACTGTGTTCCACACAGATCGTGTCAGTATTCGCCTCCCGGATACTTACCACCCGAAGGTCGATCACGCTTTCCATGTGACAGCTCCTATCGAACTTCCTACTCTTACCCAGCCTTCCACATCGGGGACCTCTCCTACGAGCACTCACCCGTTGGATGTCCGAAAGACTCTCAAGGTCATCTCAAACGAACACAAGGGATCCGTACGGGTACCCATCTGTTCTGCTGTTACAGTGGAGGGAAGGCTGGGGTGCCGGCGAGCAAACAGACCCTGTCTCGCTGGCTTGTCTCAGTCATTTGTGCTTTTGCATCGGCACTACCCATTGAAGAGATATGCTCTGCCGCTATTTGGAGCCGGCCTAGCACTTTCATCCGGCACTAGCAGCTCGATACACATTCACGTAATCGTGCGAGCTTTGACCGTTCTGTTCTCTCCAGTGGACAGTGTCCTGCCACCCTGACCGAGTGAGTCTTGGTTATCTGGTTTAGTTGACGCTGCTGTTCAATATTGTGTTTTATTGATATGTCCGCTGCTGGGTGTATAACCTCCTTTCGATTCTCTACGGAGATTATGGTCGGTAGTGGGTGTTTTTTCCCCCCTACGGTGCTCTCTATAGACCATAAGGTAGGTGGGATTTGTTTACGTTCGCACTACGTGCGTTCTCATTATGCTAACCTGCGAGGTCGACTCTCAGTACCTTTCCTCCCTGTCGGTTACCCTCCCATCATGCCTCTCGCGGAAGCTCAAACCGGGACATGTGACAGGTGAGTGATTATGGCGTATGTTACATTATTCTTAGCGATCGCTATTTGTGTGTACTTTGACAGAATTCACTCCTCCCTGGCCTCCGGTCTTTGGGAGTCTGTGTTTATGCATATATGTACCCCAAGGACGATCTCTATGAAAAAGAATTAACCAAACCTGAAGAGGTTTTCAATTCTTTGAAGAGAGTCGTCCTTGGGGTAGGGCCTCCCGCCTTCCTGCAATTCTGTTCACTGATTTATTCAGCAGAAGGAATGATGATACGGGCCTAGGTGCTTACACAGTTGGCTGCGCATGCTCAACGGGAGGTAACTCCACGAGGTGGGGGCCGTATAATAAATAAAAAGATTTTTATTTATTGTACAATATTTTTATTAAAAAACATTGATACAACTGTCACAGGACATTTTCAGCGCAGAAAATGCATATATGTACCCCAAGGACGACTCTCTTCAAAGAATTGAAAACCTTTTCAGGTTTGGTTAAATTTTACCCATGTGGGGAATTAAACTCAGGTCTCGGCTTGACGCCCCTTGTTAGTCTGAATTTCAGAGTGTTCTAAAGATTATATAACAGTATCCGTAGTGTGTTGTATTGTGTAGCAGTTAACTTTCATGGTCAATGCAAACTGTTTTGCTTCCCAGTAATCAGATATCTGAAACCAAATGCTGCTGATGCATGTGGTCACTTGGTTCTGTCTACAGGCTATGGCCAGAGTGTGGAGAGATGGTCAGTCCAGGAAGGTGTACATTTACAGACTTCTCACCACAGTAAGTACTACAAGAAACTAGTTTTTGTTAATAGCAAAGCTAAAAGTTTATGGACATAATAATTGTGAGTTGGTTCATGTTCTCTAAATTGTTTTTAAAACCCTACATTATATTTAAGAATTTCTAATGGTATATTTGGAGTATCTGATGGTTTCTAATAATCTCTGGACTTCCATTCTATACGTACCATTTCATCACAGGAATTCAGTTTGAATGTAAATGATGAAATTTCTGTTTGTGTTACTGTCATCCCACATCACCGTAGGTTATTGATAGAATGGGGAGTACATGTTTCATAATCTGTATTACAAATGCAGCTCTGCTAACAGATGTTCCTGTAATGTTAGCTGTGTAACATGCCGTGTTACAGTGTAACGCCTGTATTCCAGGGCACTATCGAGGAAAAGGTGTACCAGCGCCAGATCAGCAAGCAAGGGCTTAGTGGTGCTGTAATGGATCTCAGACAGAAGAATGATGTTCAGTTTTCTGTAGAGGATCTCAAGGTAAAGCCTTCAAATAATCATGTCTTTTGTTTTGGAAATTTGACTTGGCAGTTCCCTAAAGTAATTCAGACACATATATGATATCCACATCTGTTAGACCCTAGTTAGAGAGTGTTGTAAGCTGGCTGACTCGCTGTCTGCTCCACCTAGGACCTGTTCACCCTCAGTGAGAGGACTGTGTGTGAAACTCACACTCTGCTGGACTGCCATTGTGGGGGGAAGGGACTGCTGCCACCTGAGACTGTCACCCACACCACAGAGATGCCACGGCTATGCCAGCTAGGAACTGCTGCCGTCAAATCTCACTCCAAGGTGAGACTGAGTTATTGAGAGATGTGTTAGTGAAGAGTGTTGTATGCCAAGTCAACAACATGACATCATAGCAAACAGGGATGAATATAATCTAAGTACCCAGTCCAGCAAAGAAAGTAAAGTCCATAGAAATATGTGTTCTGGCACTGCCTTAAATATACAGGATTCAGGAAGTATGTGTGTAAGAATCATATGTGATGCATGCACTGTGGAAATATCTTTCCAGAAGAACTTTTCAATGGATGAACTGCTTGACTGGCATCACCTCACTGGGGAGAATTCTGCCACCTTTGATCCCGTGAGTTATATATTCTTGGCTTAAATGACTGAGATTTATGTTTTATCATCATTATTTACATTTCATAGAATGTTTGTGTTTGTAAGTGTGTAAATTGTTGCAAGATTTGGTTCCTACCTTTTGAAGGTTGATAATGACACAGGAAAGTCATCAGATCATAAGAGATCCAACACACATTTAAACAGTATATTGAGAAACCTTGTTTATGTATATCTCAGTCAAGTCTTCAGGATCAGTAATGCCCCCTTGCGTACCTACATGTTGTTGTTCTCATTAGTGATTGTACTGAAAATGTAGTTTCTTCATTGACAAGATCTGAAGTATATGCAACCATTCACGTACTGGTATTAAATGTTTGTTGTATTGTTGCTTTCAGAGCTGGCATATATCTGGTGCTGAAGATGTAATTTCCTTTGTGTTCTGGAATGAGACCAAGACAGCTTCACTTTCATGATGTTGAGATTCTCAGACTAAGGCCTCTACATGTCAGTAGCAAGGACTGGTTTCACTTCATCATATCAGCATACTTCAACACCATCTGTCATTATCATAAACAAAGCATCTGATAAGTGTCTTCCCTGGCCAAGCCATTATTGTCTGTCTTGGTTGAGCGTGTGGCACCATAGCTGGGTGCCAGGATTTATTGTCTGTCTTGGCTTAGCATGTGACGTAATAGCTGGATGCCAGGCTTTTTTGTGTATCCAGGCTGAGCATTTGGCATACTTTGGATGCCAGGCCCTTGTTATGTATCCACGCTGAGCGTGTGGCATACTTTGGATGCCAGGCCCTTGTTGTGTATCCAGGCTGAGCGTGTGGCATACTTTGGATGCCAGGCCATTGTGTATCCAGGCTGAGCGTGTGGCATACTTTGGATGCCAGGCCCTTGTTGTGTATCCAGGCTGAGCGTGTGGCATACTTTGGATGCCAGGCCCTTGTTATGTATCCACGCTGAGCGTGTTGCATACTTTGGATGCCAGGCCCTTGTTGTGTATCTAGGCTGACCGCGTGACATACTTTGGATGCCAGGCCCTTGTTATGTATCCACGCTGAGTGTGTGACATACTTTGGATGCCAGGCCCTTGTTGTGTATCCACGCTGAGCGTGTGACATACTTTGGATGCCAGGCCCTTGTTGTGTATCCACGCTGAGCGTGTGGCATACTTTGGATGCCAGGCCATTGTGTATCCAGGCTGAGCATGTGGCACCCACTAGATGCCAGGCCCTTGTTATGTGTCCAGGCTGAGCATGTGGCATACTTTGGATGCCAGGCCCTTGTTGTGTATCCAGACTGAGCATGTGGCACCATAGCTGGATACCAGGCCCTTGTGTATTCAGGCTGTGCGTGTGACATACTTTGGATGCCAGGCCCTTGTTATGTATCCAGGCTGAGCATGTGGCATACTTTGGATGCCAGGCCCTTGTTATGTATCCAGGCTGAGCATGTGGCACCATAGCTGGATGCCAGGCCCTTGTTGTGTATCAAGACTGAGCATGTGGCACCATAGCTTGATGCCAGGCCCTTGTTATGTATCCAGGCTGAGCGTGTGACATACTTTGGATGCCAGGCCCTTGTTGTGTATCCAGGCTGAGCGTGTGACATACTTTGGATGCCAGGCCCTTGTTATGTATCCAGGCTGAGCATGTGGCATACTTTGGATGCCAGGCCCTTGTTGTGTATCCAGACTGAGCGTGTTGCACCATAGCTGGATGCCAGGTCCTTGTTGTGTATCCAGACTGAGCATGTGGCACCATAGCTGGATGCCAGGTCCTTGTTGTGTATCCAGGCTGAGCGTGTGGCACTATAGCTGGATGCCAGGCTTTATGTATATGGCTCATGGATAGTGAGATGTCACATCAATCATTGGTTTGTCTACGTCCAGTCTCCTGTATCTAGATTATTGCTCATGCAGTCATGTATCATGGACATTAAATGCAATTACAGACAAATCATTTTGAGTATCATAGAATAATGTACATTCTGTAAATAAATCAGGACCAAAACCTAGTTTTCTGTTGTAATGCTTGCAAACTTAAGGCCCCGGACAGCTGGCAGTCATTGTAGACAACTGCTACGTCAGACAGTGGGATGTAGCTGAAGATAAAGGTTACCACGATCTAATTCATCAACTCTAGTCACTCATTCAAACAACTGCAAGAGCTGCAATGCAACTGAACCCTATGGTGGTCACAGGATAGAAAAAGTCTCCAGTACTCCTGTCCTGTAGATCTCCATCTCCCTCATCACTAACTGAGCACAGAATCACTAAACAAGACAACTATTAGTTCACATTGATGTCATTTGAATCAGACTTAAATCCAGCCACAGTAGTGAAGGTGTCCAGGAATTAGCAACAGCAAGTAGCAGCAACAGTATGTTTGATGTATTCAGCCAAATCACAAAACTAAAAGGGTTTTATTTGTGTAACATCATATTTTAAGGAACATTATTTCTTTTAGAAACATAACACTGAAATAAATATATGTAAATAAATAAATTCTCGTTACATCCCAAGCAAATGACAAAACTTCAGTTGTCATTAGCTGTTTGGACACATTTGTGGTATGTTGAAAAGTTCTACATCATGTGTCCAGAATTCTGGGACTATACTGGAATAAATGTTCTTGTCCCCTATGAGATCATATTCCATGTCGAACAGATATAAAAATGGCTGAAGTTTGTGACTTTAGTTAATACTCAAGGTGATTCTGAAATACTTATGGCAACCTACTACCATATTAATAGTGGATTATCTACATGTACAAATGATGATCACGTATCACAGTATCTGTTTCCTGAGAAAATCTGGTAAATCGTGAATGAGGTGTGTTTAACAAATGGTGTCACGTGCCTCAATACACTGCAGAGTTGTGTCCCTTAGCTGGTCCAAGATACTTTGATAGTGTGTTGAAGCCCTGACCATGATTCAGGACCACAGAAATAGTGGGATTCGTCCATCCAGTTGATGTTAACAACCTGTGACTGTGAGTGGAAGCATTAAGCTGGTACACAACATAACCATAATACTGTTTCATGCAGTGAACCCCATCTCTCACTTTGGTATCACACATACACTGATCCATGTGTACATTACACAAACTGAGAAGTCTGGTATTTGTCGATATCTAACACCATAGCAAAGTATATCACAAGTGGTCCCAGATTTAGCTAGTACTGGCCCTGGGTGTCCCGTCTTGGGTCTTCCTGGTCATCAGCACTTGGCAGCAGAGATCATGTCAACCACTGCCTGCTCTGACTTGACAACGACCACTTGTAGCTGGGGTCCAGATGTTCGAAACAAGGTCATCACACTGTAGAACAGAAAACAGACAACTGAAGACACTGTATGACAATCTCATTTGAGCTGCTGTTACATTGTCTTGGGAAATGCTTGTAAGAAATGCTTATTTTTATATTTGAATTTCGGATCTCCATCTTAAAAAAAATCTACTCAAGGAGCTGTGTCATTCAATTAAACAGCTGAAACTTGCCCAATCCTTTTATAAAGTCATAAATGTTATGATGTGGGTCTAATTACAGGATGCTCTGTTGTGCTGTTCCTGATTCCCTCAATCACCACACACTTGATTAATTCTGTCAGTTATTTATCTGTTGAGATTTTATTCAGAAACCATGTATAGATCTTTCCATTCTTTTTCTTTGAAATAGGGGCGGTGGAGTAGTCTACTGGTTCAGGCATTCACTCGTCATGCCCAAGACCCGGGTTTGATTCCCCACATGGGCACAATGTGTGAAGCCCATTTCTGGTGTCGCTGTGATATTGCTGGAATACTGCTAAAAGCAGTGTAAAAACACTCATTCACTCACTCTTTGAAATAGATATAGTTTGACCATTAGTCTGTACTAGCTCCAAAGACAACTGACCTCTGGTAGTCCTGGCAGGCGATGTTATGACCGTTGATGGCCAGAATCCTGTCCCCGATACTCAGCTGACCACACTGGTGGGCGGGGCTGCCCAGCATCAGGTTCTTTACGTAGATCCCGGGGCACTTCAGCGGCGTGTACTGTAACACAAGGATACACTATTTCTTTCACACATTGACTGGGTTACCTTCTTAAGGTTATGCATGCTGTAGCTAGGGAAGAAATCATGCAATGAAAGTGCAATACTGAAAATGATATCCACAAGTTGGTTAAACATAAACTGGAATGCAGCCGTAACTTCCTTGTGGTTTGTCTCGATCAATATATTTGTTTAATTTTTTAGGATACCAATCCATTTCACAGCAGGGAACATCAGTAGTAGTCTCCATTCGTGTACCAGGGAGACTATATAAGAGTATCCCTGGTGTACCCTAGTGGGGAACAGGATTTGGATGTTTTGGTCCCACGTTTTATCCTCAGGTACACTAACCACCACAGCCATTTGTGAAACGATCAGTGAAGATCGGGTTAGAATTGTTCTTCAGCAACCTATGCTTGTCGTAAGAGGCGACTAACGGCGGTCGGGCTCGCTGACTTGGTTGACACACGCCATCGAATCTCAATTGCGTAGATCTATGCTCATGATGTTGATCACTGGATTGTCTGGTTCAGACACGATTACTTACAGACCGTCGCCATATAGCTGGAATATTGCTGAGTGCGGCGTTAAACAACAATGCAACCAACCAATTTGTCAGACAAAAACGTTAAACACGACTAATGCTCACGCTTACCAATAAAGATAATTTGAAATGACATCTTACCGAACAGTTTCAGAAATAGGAATCGTGTGAAATATTAAACAGTTGAGCATACACGTTTATTACAACAAAGGCATAAATCTAGTGGAAAGCTGTTGGTGTTAATGTTATCGGAACACTGCCCAATGCTGGGACCAGTTCAGCCTCTTGTCTGGACTACCTAAGTTGTTTAATGACACTCACCAGCCCATCTATCAGCCCCAGTCCCAGCTGGGAGGTGCCCCTATCCAGCTCCACCGTCACCACTTCCCCAGGGACGTCCTGGAGAAACACCTCGTCGTACGGAAGGGACCGTCGGTTCCTTGGGGCCAGGCTGTTATACTCTCCAGGGTAGTGTTGCATGGTACCTGGTAATTAGACAACCACTATTTGAATGCATGGCGTGTGTTCAGGTTTAACCAACCTAATTGTTATAATTTGCAGACGTTATTCCATTGAAGGACAATGTGATGGTCATTCAAGACTTGAGAGACCTGACACACAGGTCATTCATCCCAGAAGTCATTCTGAACAGCTGGAAACGACGGGCTTGGTATGTACTGGTACAACATGCGTCGTTATTAAGGTGTCCATCTATTTTCATAAAAATTCAGGTGACGTGAGTAGAGTAGGATAAGAACATAGAAACTGATCTGTGGAATATTACTTCTATATATCAGCTGTGCGTGGCTTAACATAGTTAAATACATCACACCAAACCGCCCACCCAGCATACTCACCAACAACATTATCAAACGCTTACATAAAAAACAACACTATTACAAACAACCTATCGGAACCTATATATCAGATGACTGTAACTAGCCAGGTACATCAGAACATTAGTTTGTGTGAATATCGAGGAATCATAAAGTCTTAAGATGGATTGTGAGGTACACTTGATACTACAAGATGGATTGTGAGGTACACTTGATACTACAAGATGGATTGTGAGGTACACTTGATACTACAAGATGGATTGTGAGGTACACTTGATACTACAAGATGGATTGTGAGGTACACTTGATACTACAAGATGGATTGTGAGGTACACTTGATACTACAAGATGGATTGTGAGGTACACTTGATACTACAAGATGGATTGTGAGGTACACTTGATACTACAAGATGGATTGTGAGGTACACTTGATACTACAAGATGGATTGTGAGGTACACTTGATACTACAAGATGAATGAGATACAATGGATTACGCATACGCTGTACGAAGCACAGTGGTTGACCTTGAGTGACTTTGATGCTAGTTGATGACACTGGTATTATTACCCGATCATTTAATCACAGGGTACTGTTGATATTATCTGTGATAGGGTATTATATGATCATAATATCTGCGATATTACTTTTCACTCAGCACTGCAATTATGGCCATCTATACTACATCAAACCAACAGCCTTCAGAGAAAGGAAGACAATGTAAAGATTAATGTAAGCTGGATGCACGGCAATAGAGCGGACTATTGAAGAGCGTTACACGAGGCAAGCAGTATATAAAAGCCTGACCCCCCACCATCCAGCAGTAGCGGCCTTGCACACACACCCTCACACGTAGCCTGTACCTAGATTACCTGTCTGAAGACTGATTAGCAAACATGGCTAACCCTTCATTCTGGAATGTAAGTAAAGCTTACGGTAAACAATGACAGTCCCACGGGTTGAAGGTAGGTTGTTCACAGGATACAGCTTACCTGACGGGAATACACTCGGAGATTCGAGAAGGGTTACAGACAACACGATGAGTAAAGAACCTTGTCATTATACTAGTCTACACTGGTAATTGTGACTGAACTTGATCCGAACTTTAACTCATCCAATATCAATATTAAATGCAACTAAAGGTTGAAGAACATTAATTAATATATTGAATACAAGACGACAGTATATAATATTCTACATAAAATTGGGACATGTTATGTTTAATCTATCAATAACTTTATTGATGAAGATATGCATGAAATGAACTATGGCCATTCACCTAAAGCCTTGGGTGCAGAGCTCCATACATACCGACTTTGGTTTGATCTTCTAGAGACAAGACTTTCAAGCTTGTGGCGGCGTTATTGTTGCGGGAATCAAATCGTTGTACGTCTACATACACATCTTCAGGTAACTTGGACACGTTATCATACCTGACAACACTAGTGCGTCCCACCCTCACGCTGGGGCCAGAAGATCGAGGGGATTTAAATATAGACTTCTGAGGAACAGTATTACGACTGTCTGTTGACGTGTCTTGAAGTAAGCTATCAGTAGACCGAGACTTCACCTTGTTATAAGGAGCTGTCGAAGTGTTGCTACTAATGTCACTGTCTCTAGATAAATCTAAAGGGGGAACACGGGATAATGTCTTCCGTTTAGGAAGGGGGAAATCGGTCGTTTTATTGTTGAATTGAACTCCATAGCCTCCGTTTGACCTTGACCTATCTGACGGTAAAGGAGGTCGTTCTTGTGACCTTGCCCTCCACTGCTGACCTTGGCTTCTGTTGGCTGTTGGGGATCTGACATTACTTGACGAGCGAGAAGGGCGTACTGGGGGCACACTGTCCACTCGATGGGGCTCATGTCTGTGGCTCCCTCTGGGAGAGTCAATATTAAAGAAAGTCTTGGAGTTTCCAGGTCCGGCTTCTGCTACTCTAGGAGTATTGCTCACACTTAAGCCACTGTCGCTGTCATCTGCCCAATAAAGAGAATGCAAAAAGGACAGTCCACAAAACGTGAAATTTTGTGTAGTGCATTATGGACTAAGCCAGACTAAATTCTCTAAATACTGTCATATGAATGGTATTAGATATTGCACTTTCAACTTCAGATCAATGAGTTATGCTACAATATGAACTAGCTCTTAAGCGAAGAAACACGATATACAGTGTTTCTTCGTCTCAGATGAAAAACTGTCAGTTGCATTTCTGGCACTTTTGTAGACTTCAGCCTGGTTTTAGACTATAATCTCTTACCATCCTCTGCGCCGTATACAGTCTGGAAGTGTTCAAGGTACTCCAGGAACCCTTCAGGAAACGTCTGTGTGAGATCCAATGGACATCCCTCTTTGGGAAGAGCGAACGCTGGATGGGAGGACAACTTTATTGGCAAATCTGGAATTCAACACCAACGTAAGTATCTTTCTGCTGACATACTAAACAGTTCACGAAACAGTTTCCACGAGAACTAATTTCGGACACTGACAAAACTTATCACTAACTGAAATAAGACAGTAGAACCCCGTACCTTCATCCCTGGGGTTGCTGATGCCACCTTCCGGGGGGAACCAGTGGGAGGGTGGAGCCTTCTTCATCCCCAGCTGGTAACCACGCAGCAGCTTCAGCAGCTGGGACTCGTTCAAGGAACTGAACTGGGTCCGGAAAGCTGGCCAGTCCATCTGGAATCATAGACAAACGTCCAGCCTTATCAGCAGTTCAATATAACTTGACTGTGATTATAGTATACGTCTGTTTCTGTGAAGGACCGTTGTGACCAGTTACTCACCCTGACAAGGATATTCTTGGACATGGCCAGAAGGTCGGCCGCAGCAGTGAGGGGCTGCGACACTTGGTGAAATTGTCTGTCCAGCTGTTTGCTGACTGACCACTCTTCAAGTCGGGACAGGTTGGCCTGGAGGCGGACCCCGAACGTCCAGTTGTAGTACTGGGCATCAGACTCTGTAGACAACACCAACAAGTACATCCACGCTGCTGCCATGAAAGATTTGCTATTGTAAACACTATACACTTCAGTCATTTGAAAAAAAGGCATTTAGTATAATCGTTATTAGGGGCGGTGGGATAGCCTAGTGGTTAAAGTGTTCGCTCGTCACGCCGAAGACCTGGGTTCGATTCCCTACGTGGGTACAGTGTGTGAAGCCCATTTCTGGTGTCCCTCGCCGTGATCTTGCTGGAATATTGCTAAAGGCGGCGTAAAACCATACTCACTCACTTACTCACTCACTATTTTCGCTATTCCAGATTATGGAATACCGTCTTCTCTGAAGTGACTTAACTTACCTGTAGTGATAAGCCTATTGAACAAGGATGTGCTAAGGAAGAACAAGAGATACGTCATAAGCTGTTTCATGACGTCATTGTGTAGTTTGACGTCTGATGCTATGTTTCGGGTTGTCTGCAGCACACTGAGGACGTGGCCGATGCCGTCCTTCTCCCATGTCTCACTGCCGGAAAAGGGGTTACTGTCCATCACCTTCCCAACCACGTGGTACAGAATCTGGGGTAGATGCAACAATCCGTCAGGCGTATATACATACTTACAGAATATAACAGCGTGTGTGAGAGAGATATTGTATTTTTGTATTACACCTATGGCATTACACCTATGCCAGTTGTGTCAAGTATATATATCAAGTAAGGAATCATGGCAGTAAACAAAAGTCTGACCCTTCAGTTGACCGGCCAGGTGACAGTCCGCAAGATCAGTCAGACAAGCTATATTTATACTCCTCACCCAGTGCGATCAAACACACCCCTTTTCGGCCGTATCGTATCTGTTACTGGGTGCCTCAGGCTACTAAGAAAAGGTCTGGGTGCCTGGGTGTCTGTACCTTTGTCACACAGTACACTGTTTGTTGGAAGCTGAAGCTCACGACGTCCTCTAACCCGGTGGCCAGTTCCTGGAGTCCTGCGTTCAAATCGTCTTCAGGGTCTGGGTTGGCGCTGTGCATGTGAAGTTCGTGGAGTACGTGCACATACAGTTGCATCGTGTTTGACATCCAGAAGATAAGAAGCTTCAGTGGATCATAGTCAGTCTTTGGGGAACTATAATCAAACACAGAGCTGGAACACACAACATGCATAGTAGATAAAGTCAAAGTCTCTTCAAGGAGAACATAAGTAGTAAGATATACTTGGAAAAAGGTTACATGACAATCAGGGAAAAAACGAAACATCTTGTACGTGAATGATGGCTTACCTTTCATAACGCTGCGACGACAATATTTTAGCCAAATCCTGAAACATGAATAAGAGGATAACATGTTTTAGAATATGACAACATTTGAAACCAGGCTAACAAAGCATTACCTGGTCGCCATAACAGTAACCTATTCCGTTATTTTAAGAAGAGTTTACTAACGTCAAGCGTAACATTTTAGTCAAACAGTTATAAACAAAGCAAACGTCACTATATACATATAACGTTGGTTCCTTTCGACAAAAAGAAATACTGGAATCAACATCCGTTTGACCTTCTCTGCTCTGCCTGCAGGAAGCTATATCGAGACTACATCTTCAGTTCAGTTCCCATGTCTAGAAGGACAGCACGCGCCACAGCAGGTTAAATACTATCTCAGGTAACACCCAGCACATCTAGAAGTTCGACAATACTTACGGCAACTTTTTCCCTGACACAGAACAACACTCTCCTCTGAAGGTTTCTCAGGTGATGCCTGGTGAACTTCCGGTGGGCGTGGTCGAGACAGGCTACAAGCATGACAGCTGGTGTGAGAGGGTGGTCCCGTCTGCTGCAGCTGTGGACTTCCAGGATGGCCTTCACTAGGTCCTCCTCCCTCTCCTTGCAGTAGGCAAACGTTATCTGGTGACCCTCGCTGGCGGATGCACCCCCTTCACCTGCGTCAAACGACGCTGAGAAATCTCCTGACGTACCCAGACTCGAGTTGAGGAAATCATTGAGGGGAAGTCGATCTCTGGATGACATTAGCCGAGTCGAGTCATGGTGAGTCGATGATGAGTTGAACCATGACAGACTCTCGGGTATGTCGTATCCTCCCGATGGATCTTTGTATAGGAACATATAATGCCTGCCTATAGTGATGACGTCTCCAGCATAGATGTGCGCCATGTCACTTATTGGGTGTCCATTTACTGCAACCAGAGCTCCTTCGAACACTTCCATTTCTATATAGAAGCAGTACCTATTGTCCGCATGTACCGACCCTTTTCCTTTAGTATTCCTCAGAGTCAAAACACAATGTAACGGGAGTATATCAGGTCCTCCCAGTCCAATCTCGGAAGAATAAGGATGACCACGAAACTTGCCTACCTTGGTACATTTGGACTTGAGCTGATACTGCACCTGGTCCCGGAGTGTGTCGTAGCCTCGCAGCGTCAGGAGGTAGGGGTTCTGGGTGGAGCTTATATCCGAGCTGGTGGTGCCACTGTCGTCAGACATTGTCTCCCTTTGAATAGACTTGACGTCATGACTATGAATCTTGAACTGGGAGGTCTCCATGTTCCAGGACGCAGACAAGGGAATAGCCCCTGGGGCAACCTTGGCCATCATTATCTTTCTGGCATTGTCATTCAACCCTAGCGTATCGTCCGATGAATGTTCTCTTACAACTTCCGCCCTCTTATGAAGTTCGTAGCGTCTGGAGAAACCATTGCTAGGCTTCCAGTAGGATTGGAGTTCCAAAGGTTTATCCGAGTCGTCAAGAACACGCCTACACACTGTTCGCCACTTGTTGTTGGGCCTCTGAGAATACGAGAGGGCTGCCGTCTCCACCAGCCCTATGACTTCACACAGTACGTACTCCACGTAATGCCCGGGGGGCTGGCCGTAGCGCTCCAGGGCCTGCTTCACGAGCTCCTGGGAGGTGGAACGGGTGGAGGCGAGGACGCTCTTATACTCGGCCCCAGGAAGAACCGACTCACCAAATATCTTGAGGACACCAGGAAGCCTGTCGTCAATGGAGAGTTCCGAGGACAGTTCGGCATCGTCCTCTGTGAGGTCCTTGACGCTGTAGGACCTGCTGAGACTCCTTGTCTTCTTGGCCTTGGGGTGCCCTGGACCGAGCGGGGGTTCCCGGGGGGACAGGCTGGAGGTTTGTTGAATCTCTGCGTGGCGCGGGCTAAGGATCTTGCCCGGTTTAGAGGTCAACATCGTGCTGAAGGAGCAGAAGGCTACGCCCTTGCCTGAAACCAAAGGCGTTAATCATGAAGTAAAAAATTTTTATATTTTGGAATATATTATTTCGTCAACTTAGTTTTCTTCTGGCGTGCAATATATTGCTGGTTAACATTCGTAAAAGGCTGCATACAATATACATCCCCACAGACGGTGGTAATCAGTGTCAGATACTGAGGAAATTAAATCTTTTTTTCTTCCCCATGAAGCGAAGCAGCTTGTAGGAGTCAACGCGAGATCCACCTTATGGATATCACTGGTGTTGCTGCCGGTGAACTGACATTTGCCGTAGCTCAGAGCTTCCAACTGACACACAGAAGATGATAAAATACAGACATGTGCTGTTGTGAGTTGACTGTCGTCGGACGTATTTATCTCCTGGGAGGCACTCAGCCATGTACTTCATCAGTTACACGTTGACACAGGTGTTATATGGCAAGTTTTACGACGAAATAATAACTTCGTCATTTCGGCAGTACAAATGAAGGTTGATCTACAGATCACTGGAGCTCCCTATCGGTGTGTTGAACAATTTCGAACCAATCTCTTTTGCTCATAAATGCTTCACGTTAATGGGAACATGACTAGATTTGTTAATATCCTCAAGGACAAAGCTTACTGTTATACCTGATATGGATTGTCGCTAAAGGTTTAAGGTTAAACATTTACTTCCCAAGCAAAGGACAGGGCGCGAGTTGTCACTACCTATCACAAGTGATGATAAGATAACATGAATTCATAATTATCTATGTGCGCGTGTATGTTGGGTAACCCTGTACAGACCATACCGTCATCGTAATGGCGGATATACACTAGTAAGATAATATATATTTGGATGGATGGATGGATAGATGTAGGTGGGTGGGTGGGTGGGTGGGTGAATAGGTAGGTAGGTAGGTAGGAGGGGTGGGTGGGTAGGTAGAGGGTGGGTGGGTGGGTGGGTCGGTAGGTATGTATGTATGTAGGAAGGTAGGTATACATACACACATACTTACTGTAACGGTTGCAAACTATGCTGACTGCTGGCTCTCAACTGACTGTGGTCACATACGAGACTTAAGGCATTTTCAGACAGAACAGTTATCTTCATTTACATATATATACGATATACTTATACAAATATAGCAGTTTGTTTTATTTGTTATCAGCCACAACAAAAGTACAGAATGTCATGGTCGATTGTTATTGTTCTGTGTGCTAATATGAGGAAGAGGCCCAAGACGGCGCCTCAAGGCTTAAGCGTTGACTTTACGTGCCCGAGTCCAGGTTCGACTCCCCACCTGGGCACCATGGTTGAGGCTGTATCACGCCGTTATATAACATATCTCTAATTATTCCATCTATCATTGACAATAAACAAATCGTTTTAACGAGTGTTTCAATAGAATGCTGTGAAATTTGCGCGCTAACACATTACTGTATAAACACTTTAATCCATCACTTGTATGTATAAATCTACTCCAACATATCGTGAACAGCATTATGTTCTCGAGACACCCCGTTAACATTAAGTCGGCGATAGCCTGTGTTACTAAGTACAGGACAATATCATTCTGATTGGTAAACCCCTATATATCGGCTTACGTGCAGATTAAAGCCATATGTGAGAACTTCCCGATTGTGTAAGCTCCAGATTCGATACGGTAGAGGTTGTGCAGTGGGGGCTAGGGCTTGGGGGGTTTTCACGGGCTGTTAACCTCTACAAGCATATGCTTAGTCCAAGGTATTAGCCAGTTACATTGCACAGACTCCTGTTTGACACTGTGTTGGTGACTGGGCGGGTCAGAGCTTGGATTACCAGCACACCGATCAACAAGGCGATGTGAGGAACATCGATACATAATAATCATTGCCTTAACTTCGAAGCATTTCTGATAAAGTAAAACGCAAGAAGAAGCTGTCATCCATAACATTTGTGTTTTACTTGAACACCAACTTCTAAATGCCTCTCAGGAACCTCTTCGAAGCATTTGCATGGGGAATTTAGTTCAAATACTATAATACGGATGACAATCAGCGTGTATGGTGAATACATGAAGGGTAAATATGCGAGCGATTGCGTGTGCGATTGCATGTGTGTGTGCGCAAAAATGGGATGGGAGTATTACAATGAGATTTCTCCTGTATTTTCATTTATTTTGTTTATGGAAAAACGTCTCCAGTGTCGAGTTAACTATATCTTTTCCCCCGACGCCATTATCAACTTCAAGTTAAAGAATCTAACAGCAACATCACATCTATGAATAGGTAAAAAGAGAAACGTTTGGAATTGAATGAGCAAACCTTTCACACGAACCAGTTTCGTGTACACTGACGCCGAACGCGCGTGTAAATAGGACCCGTTGATGATGAACGCTGCGAGCTAGGAGGGTGATTTGAATTTTTCACTGAGCCCTCGCGTACATCTACCACGTGCACTACCCCATGTCTCTTCCGAGTCTGCAACCTCCCCCAACTCCCCTCAGAGCTCCTCCCGTCTATGACACATGGGCCCCTCCTCTGTCTCAACAAGTCGACCTCCTGCCGCCATGTCAAGCGACGTTGCGGTGATGGACGATGTTGACATGGGGATTTCTCTATTTTTCCCCTCACGTAAACCCCACAAACGACGACATAAGGTTGCGTTAGTAAAAGACGGGGGTAATCGCCTTGATTTCTTCCACAAACTACAAACAGCTACCGTACATTTCCAATTAAACTTCAGACGGCAGTCACGGTAGCCATGGTGTTCATCAGTGTTCATGAATTCTTTGGGCGGCATTTTTTTTATTTTTTTTTTAGAAGTTGGAAGTAGATAGAACAAGTATATATGGATGACAACTTCTTTTATTATAGAGCACGACGTTTCGATACAGGTTCTTGTATCGTTTTCAAGTGAGAATGGTACAGGGAGAAAACAGGTGATATATATACAACAAGACTAATTAACAAGGCAAGGCGGAATAACAATGTGATGATAGTGAATAAAGGGTAGCAGAGGACAACAGGGATACACATAGAAGCCAGTAGAAGCCAGTAATGTTTCTACAAGAGGCTATGGTTGATTGATGAGCTCATCGTATGCAGTGGGGATGAAGTAGCCTTGATCTCTAGTAATCAGTGGTCGGTATCGTTTGATGTTAATTCCTTCAGTTATCTAAGTGTTCATGAACTTGAGGTTTTACACCATCTTCTACACCACATAACGTGCAAGGAAGTTACGATAAAGATTGATTTCTGTTTAAACGAGTCCATCTCAAGTTAACTGCAGAATAAGTATAGCAATATATAATATCATACCTGTCACACCTTCTTTTTCATGTTTTAGATGTAGACAATGATATAAACATCCATAGCATTATCTTTTAGTCAGGACACTCGTTAACAAATATAGTGGACAGGGCATATGCTTTATAGTGTGGACACTCGCCAAACAAAGGTAACACGAATATGCTGCAGTATCCTAGCTACTATAGACTAATGCTTAGTCTCTGAATATATATAATTTTGATAGTAACAAACAAGCCCATTTAAAATGAAAAGGAGCCCCAGGGAGACCAGAGATTCAGAACCTGAGGAAATCTAGACTTGCTTTATTTAGGGCTTTAGCACTGCAGAGAGAGCTTGGCAGTGGGGAAAAGAATGTGGTTCAGGGACTGTGAGACAGACTACCTCTACTATGGACACTCGTGAAAACAAATGCATTTCCCTCCTCTACCATTAATGAGCTGATCATTCGTATCTAGCCTGTAATGTTATTGTATTTGCTCAACACCGATGATATCGATCACTGCATAATACAATGTGCATGCATTTAAACACGAAAACACGTTGAGCTTTTACGGTAATTGAAACCACTCTCTCTCTCTCTCGACTTTACTCAATGTTTTTTTCTCGTTACATTGTCAACTAGAACCTAGATATTGCTTTGAGGAAAACCTCGCAAAAAAACAACATCCTTACCGGAGAACTATATTTAGTTGCACAGCATAGTGAACAGGCGGAGTCACGTGACCTATATTTTTCTTCAAGACTTTGTAAATTAATCTGACCTTAGCTTTCCTCATGATACTTCAACAGCTGGCCGTGTTGACGGCAGGAAGCTGCACGACACATGGGTTAAACAAATTGGTTTTCTCCCAATTATGAGAGTTAAATTAAAAAAACTATCAACTTATTTCCTTGAAGAAGACGACATGCAGTGTATGGCGAGAGAGTCATGGTTCCTTACAGTGTCGAAGTCTGCACCCAGACTATGTTCTACGTAGTACTCTAACCATTGTCTCCAACAGAACGAATCCAAGCTATGTAACGCTGCTGTTGTCTCGAGGTGAGGCAGGATTCCAACTTAACTTCGAATAAAGAAATCCCAGGCCAAATTATTCTTCTACACGGACATGTCCACTGTTAACAGCACGTTACTCATTACTCAGTAATGAACTCACTACGTCAGTGTGTATTATATTTACACTAACTATATTGTTCAAAAAGTCCGACATGAATATACACAACTTACTGTATGCTTTATACTCAACTGTACTTCACTGGGTGAATTGGTTCCTCATAACAGATATATGATTCGTTTTACAGAGAGGACACTTTCTGAGCCAACAAGCATACATACCAAAGAAAGGCATCCTGTTCTGCTTTAAATATGCTTTAGATATTTTATCGCTAGGGTAGTAGTTATTATTCTAATTCAAATGTGCCTTCAGCATGATGTATATAATACTATTTCACTAAACAGTTGAACTGACAGAGTTCAACCTCACACTGTGTCCTCATATATACGGAACCAGTAGCCACCCACCAGATCTAGACAGCTTGCAGGGAACATGTGGATGCGCACGTTTTAAATATTGTATGACTTTTTTGTTGTTATTAAATTCTTATATTTATAATAATGTGAGAAAATGTACAACTCTCATTGGCAAGTACACTTTATAAAATGTATAAACGAAAACAACGATGTAATTCATGAACATGTATTTAGCTATATATATTTCCACGTATAATACTGTTTTCTACAGTATACGGCCAGTATCCTCGGCAGGTTTTCTGTATTTATTGTCTCACAGGTCTTATGGCTGGATGTTGCTTGGAAATTTGAAATCTTTTTGTTTTGTTTATCAAAACGTTGTTTTTTATCATATCAACTTCGTTTTCACTAAACACGATGTTTCGGGGTCAATTCTTACTTCTTCTTCTTCTATCCAGGTTTTGCATAAACACAGCTTACATGACGTGTGACGTATAAATATACTATTTCCCTCTTTCTCTCGTAAAACTCTGAAGTAACATTACCTTGAATAGATGTCACAAACGATACACATATACAACACATCTAGTGCTGTCTAGCCTTTGAATGGCAGTTAGAAGTGATACACGAAAGCGTGAGAATATATGGATGTCCTATTTTCTCAATTTGAGGAACACAACGTTTCAAGTAGTCTGTCTCATAGTCCCTGAACCACATTATTTCCCCTACTGCCTAGGCCCCTGCAGTGCTAATGCTCTAAATGAAGCAAGTCTAGACTCCCCAGCTTCTGAATTTGCCAACTGACTGGGGCTCCTTTTCAATTTAAATGGGTTTATTTGCTACTATCAAAATTATACATATTCAGAGACCAAGCGTTAGTCTACGTTTAAGGGTTTATGCTCAGGTCAAGGAGTAAGGACATACTTTGTTCTGTTTCATATGAATTGGTAAAAGCTTAATCCCTTACAACAGCGCCCACTAAACGCGTATGTATTTATATTTGCGCATGTACGTGCTTTCCTGCTCAGTACAGGAATAATTACCCAGAGGTCTACACGTGTTGTGAATGTACACACATATGTCGCACGTGTAATGGACCCTGAATGTGAATTGTGTACAAGTTACACCGTCATGTCTTAAGCTACCAAAGACGGCATGTTCAAGTGTAATTGTCAAATGTCGGGTTCGAGCGAGGTGTGTTTTCTGTGTTGAGTACGATGTTTGCCGGTCAATCGACACACAGCATTCAACACACGTTCAGTCACTGGTTCAAAAGTGGAAATAAGTTGCATAAATCTGAAAGCTGTCCTTGACCTTTGACCTAAAATATATGCATAATTTTTCTTAAACTTTCTGAGTTCTACAATAAGTAGACGAAGTTTATCTGAAACTGGACTGTCGAATGTCCCGTTTACAGACATTGGGTGAAGAGTGACATTTGCAAAAGGACAACTCGGGGACGTGTTTCAAGCCTTCCGGAATCTTGTGAATTACAAAACATACTTGCATTCATTTCCCGTTGCGTGTAGAAAATACGTTCACGGGCAAAACACCAAGTCTTTCTTTATACATGAACTCGTGTACAAACAGCTGTGAAAAGGTATGCACCTCGAGCAGTAATGCATGAAGCGTGTTGCTGTAGTCGTTGACTTCCATCTTTCTGTATCCTTCTCTTTACTGCACACTGACATCCTGTAGCAAGGCGGTGTATTTCACCCCGGCATGTTGAATAAACGTAAACCTATCGATCTACACACCCGTTCTATTACACGATCATAAATGAGGCCATAAAAGCATAAATAACAACTATCGATTGAAAATCGAGTTGTCAGTTACCTTTGACAATATAACAAAAAAACGCACCCTTACCTGGCAACGGGTATAAATCACTTGGTCTCTTGGCATCCAGACATGGGAAATACTATACTGTTCACTGTGTTCATGAGCACATTTTGACAGAACTCAGGGATTACTCGTTCAAGAGTGAAGAATAAGCCTGGTATCCAACTGTTTCCTTTTGTATTGTCGACACAGTAAACGGATACAATTGGTTCCATTAACTTGTGTTCAAAAGTACGTTTTTAACTTTTAACATTTTATAAATTCATCAAATAAGATTTGATAACTGTTGAACCCAAGTGTTGACGTATTTTGGAAGTAGTATTACAGATATAAATGGGAATTAATCATCCTTGGCATTGATCGTCACGCTTTTCAGCTTTAAAGTGTTTGGTAGAAACCCACCGCGCAAATAACCATTCTCGACTGAATACAGCTTCGGCCCTAACTGTAGGTGTCCATTTGTTCAGTCACACCTGCCGTGTGAGAAAACACACTCTACATACACTTACCTGTAAGATCAAAGAAAAGGAGACAAACGCCGATTTACAGGTAGACAGGCGAGGATTCCAGGTAAACTACGCACTCGCTCAGTATTTTGAGCGACCTGTCCCAATAAATGCACTCATCCTTTAAAAATGTGAAAAAGGTAGTCCCATCATTCCACGGGTTGTCCTCAATGGATATCGGTTAATGAAAAACTTGGTTTCCATGGCAATGGACAACGCGAGCAGGTAGAGCAGTACTCCATGTTAAGTTTCTACCAACTAACATCAAGCCATTTTCTTAGAGGAGACCATTTGCTGCAATTTTCTTCCCAGTCAGAGAACTTACTCTGTGCTCGCCACTGGCTGTTGTCAGGCCAGACCTGACTGCTCTAACACTAGGAGTTAGCCGATTACGATGGGCTAAGCCTAAGGAAAACCCTCATTCCCGTCATTATTCGGTCTCAATTAATCCCTCTAAAACCGCACTAACGCTGAGAGGACTGGTCCCGGGCTTTGCATGTAAATATCGCTGTGGAGACGCGTGGAAGCCATTCAACTTTAATTATAAATCCATCTTTTCTCCCTCACCAGGGCGGCGGTGATGCATGTGTCTCGAAATTGACACACGGGGTGTAAGTCATTACACGGAACATGCGGAACAGGGAAATGAGTTACCCTTGAGGTGTGGTGGGGGCAGTGGGAGGGGGGTTGCGGGTTGGAGGGAGAGATAAGGGGATTTGTGAATGTTCCAGTTTTCATTTAATTTTAGCTTAACAATTTAAATCCAATTGCTTTATCAATGATGAATTAATTACAAAGGCGTGAGTGCTTGCTTTATATACAGCATGTAGGCCAACTCCTTTAGGCAATATAATAACAGTGATGGTGACATCTTCAGGGTGTTATCGGTGGTGGTGGCAGCAGTAGTGGTGGAAGTAAGAGGTTGTACTAGTAGTAGTAGTAGTAGTAGTAGTAGTAGTAGTAGTAGTAGTAGTAGTAGTAGTAGTGTCTAACGGGATCGTGGTCAGGGTCGCTGACTTGGTGGACACAAGTCATCCTATCTCAATTGGGTAGATCGATGCTCATAATTTTGGGTACTGGATCGTCTTGTCCAGACTCGATTATTAACAGATCGCCGCCATATAACTGGAATATTGCTACAATCGGCGTTAAACAGCAAACAATCAAAATAAGTAGTTGTAGTAGTAGTAGCAGTAGTAGTAGCAGTAGTCTGTCTCACAGTCCCTGAACCACATTATTTTCCCCACTGCCAAGCCCTCTCTGCAGTGCTAAAGCCCCAAATAAAGCAAGTCTAGATTCCCTCAGGTTCTGAATCTCTGGTCTCCCTAGGGCTCCTTTTAAATATAAATGGGCTTGTTTGTTACTATCAAAATTATATATATTCAGAGACTAAGCCTTAGTCTATAGTAGCAGCAGCAGCTGTAGTAGCCTGTAGTAGTCCGCATAAACGTATGATGTGAAACTCGTTAAAACTGGGACAGGAACGTAAAAAATATATGTCACCGAAAACAGCTTCATCGAATAGTTCATTGACATCATTCTAGTACAGTCACCCATCTGAAGCTCGCCGAAGTGAGTTTGGTATCAATATAAGACAGATCCCAGCTTCCTCTTTCTCATATAACATCCATGACTGGTGGAGTCATTTATACTTTCATGTTTGATTAAGACAATACAAATTTAGAGCCTTGAGGTTTGATGATTTGAAGTATGAAAACTCCATAAGATTATTACCATCCAGAAAATAACTGCACTGTATTAGAAAATGAGTATTCAGTAATTTACTGTTATATTTTGATTGATTACAATTTACTCAGCAACAAAGAAGGTATTAAAGTAAGGATACTGGCAGTATGAGAAGGTAATCAAAGGGAGTCGTACCTTAATGAAGTAAGCTTGGAGACACAAACGTCCTGTACTTCAAAGACGACCTGCATGCATTGACTGACGGCAGACAAGCACCGCCGATGTCGCCTACCTTTTGTCTTGCACAGCCAAAACCAATATGACGGCAAGTAGCGGGAACACACGACCTGTACAATGTAAAGCTGCACACAGTGTTTGTCAACATTTTGTTGGGACTGGCCTCCCCCGTCAACTGACTTTGGCCAACTGGTTTCATCTTTTACAGCCACAATTTGTATTTGATTGGGAGGAAAGCGTGCCCTAAACTTGATTTATGTTTCCAGAGCCCGCGACAGATCGTGTACGGTAACAGGATTTGTACACCTGTTAGAGCCAGATTTGAAACGTCCGAGAGGGTTTGAATCTCGAGACAATCTCAGCTTAGAGGACACGACAGGAGTAGCCACGACTGGGTGAGGGGCACGGTCGGCTCTGTAGCAGTGTGAACTCTGTTCAGCAGTCATTCTCTATATAAACTATGAACTGGTTCACCATTCTGAAACATAATACGTATGAAACGTTCTTGTATGTTTCCTAGAGATATGCATACACTGGCAACACACATGGTACAATAAGGAAACAGACTGTATTATCTATGTGTATGGGTTGAAACAGTTTTGCGAATGTCCGGTAATAAAGGGTCGTCCTCACCTACTGCTTGTAATAAATGTGGACTAACGGGATCGGTGGTCTGGCTCGCGGCCTTGGCAATGCATATAATTGCATCACAACTTAGCTTGATATTACAGACCCGGGAAGATCCGGGCTAGAATTGGTCTTCAGTAACCCATGCTTGTAAGAGGCGACTAACCGGATCAGATGGTCAGGCTCGCTGACTTGACACATGTCATCGTATTCCATTTGCGTAGATCGATGCTCATGATGTTGCTCACTGGATTGTCTGGTCCAGACTTGATTATTTACAGACCGTAGCCATATAGCTGGCATATTGCTGAGTGCGGCGTTAAACAACAAACCAAAAGCCTTATATTCCAGACAGCTCACAGACACGGCTTATATTGTTGTTGTATCATCCTCGACTCACGCGGAATTAGGAGTGATGCTGTTTCGACTCTGTTCAAAAAGCAGCATACAGAACTACATTTCCAGGAACGTATGTGAAATGTCACCATATGTCTACCCAACATCCGTATACACAGCATTCACATTGACTGACACTGCGCCATGACGCTGTATGTGTCCAGTGACACACGTTATAACGGTGGTTCTGCTAGACAAATACAGTTATGCATGTGGTTACGTTATGTCTATTGATTTCCAGTAAGTGGCTCTGTTGGCAGAGCTTCAATGTTTCCACATCCGGTGCCAATATTTCTGCGATGGCGGCGCAAGGGAGCTGCTTCTGCCTCCAGGGCAGGTAATAAGCGGGCCAAAGATCCACGGTGCATTACCTCCAGTCTGTGAGGAAACTGTCCTCTCCACTGGATAACACAGACATACTGTGACAGACAATACGTCAACGTCACGACGACGTCGTTGTTTGTCGATGACATTAAACGACTTTGTGGAAACATGAACTGCAATACTCCTCATTGATTTCTTACCTAGAGCCTTTTGAAGCGTGGAAATGTCTGAAATAATCAAAATATTGTTTTCTGAAAAGTTATCACCCCTGAGGGAAATATGTCAGCGGATGAAGCTCGTGGCTAACACGCCGTAATGGCAGCGTCAATGAGTAAACACAATAATAAAGACATTTGATGAAAGTCATTTATTTCACATCACGATATAAAGTTATAAATGCCTCTTTGCGCTCGCTCGCAAATATGCATAAAAATTTAAATTCAGTCTCAGGCACTCGACTTTTTGTGTAAGTAGTGCATCTCTAATGCTGTGTATATTGATAACGGATCGTGTATATTTAAACCAATACCATGTATAGCCACCGGACTTCCACATCAAAACACACTGTAAACATTGACATCCAAAATATTGGCCCAGGTAATCTCAGGCAGTATATACAAATGCCCATCTAACATGGAGGGATATCATTGGGCAAGCCTTATTACCAAGTATTTGTTGTCCAGGGTAGGCGACCATCCCGTGTGTGGTCCACAAACAGCCACACAGAGTAGCCCTGACCAAGACGACTTGCCAAGTTGGCCCGTCTACAACACGGGAATTAACCCGCTTTGGACATTAATCCCATCTGATTATGTAGTTTACTTGTACTTTTATTGTGGTAAAAGTGACGTGTATTAAAATACTGTAATATGGAGAGAGAGAGAGAGAGAGAGAGAGAGAGAGAGAGAGAGAGAGAGAGAGAGAGAGAGAGAGAGAGAGAGAGAGAGAGAGAGAGAGAGAGAGAGAGAGAGAGAGAGAGAGAGAGAGAGAGAGAGAGAGAGAGAGAGAGAGAGAGAGAGAGAGAGAGAGTATTGTCTTTTGTATCCTTTATTGTTGAAAGAATGACACTTAAGTTTCAGTAGCTATTTGATACGAAATGCATGTTTTACAATGGTCAGTAAACATTTCATGACCCCGACCACTGTATAAACAAAGAGTATATGCACTTTTACCTTCTGGTCAGTGAAAGCTGTTGCCAGGTTTGAAAACGAAACGCTCATAGATCTTTTATGACATACAAGAGTCTAAATGGCATGACACCAGGATATCTAAGCGACCCCCCTACAAACAACCCAGACAACTGCGATCTGAAAGCAAACTTTTATTGAAAACTCCTTCTTATAGACTGGACACTTTTGCCAGTTTTGAAAAGCGTTCTTTCAGGGTTTGTGCTCCTGCGCCTTAAAACTGTCTCCATCTTTTACTGCGTTCAAATCACATCAAGCGCATCTCTTTTCACTACACTATTTAACTCTACTTAAACATATATTATTTTGTAGTGCTTTGAGCACCCACTTAGGCTGGATTTACACTACGTCCGATTTTCTCTGCGTTGCGTAATGTGTTGCGTCCGAAAAAACGCAAGCAGTACTATTTCCATTTAGACAATACACTAGGTGCAAATTTTGCATGCGTTGCGATCCGATACGATAGGTAGGCCTCCTATTTTTGACGCAACGCAAATGAACTCACATGAGGAATACCCCTGATGCGTCATTCCAAAAAAGGTATTTCCCCAACACGTGGGCAATCAGGTAAGGTTATTTCCTCATCTTTCGATAAAAATACACGATTCCAACTGCAGAGAAGCTGTGGATTTGATGAGATATTATCTATAATGTGTTTCTGCCCCTGTCTGTACATAACATATACCATAATATGACAAACATTTGATAAATTGCATTCTCAGAACAAGCAGAATGACAGGTAAAAGAGGTCAACGGACTTCCATCGATACGGAACAATTAATATCCCTTGGTGAAGCAAACAGCACGCTATACCATAAGAGATCCAGAAACTACAGAGATGTGGATGTAATCTATAACATACGGACATCTATATCCAAGACCCTTGGTGTCAGCGTTTTATTTTCCTCAGGTTTATGTATTATTAAAGAAAATCCCTAAAACCTTGAACAGCTCTCAATATTATCGTGGGATGTTATAGGTTGCAAGATGTGTATAATATTATCAGCCCAAAAGACATTGTAAAATAATCAAAATAAATTGTGTTATGTTCTTTTATTGTCTATCAACTCCGCGTGTTTTAATTGCAGCCAGGACTCGCTGGAGGAGCATTAAAGACACGTATATAAGAAAACGAAGGGAACAAAGAGAAAGCAAAAAAAAGTGGCTCATTAAGAGATGATATTAAGGAACCAAATTGGCCTTGGTATAAAATGTTGGGATTTCTAGATGAATACATGGAAGATGACTAGTAAGTTCGTATTCTACTTCCAAAATATCAAACAAAATGATTTGTAAAAAACCAAACAATTGTGTTTTTCATGCAATGGTTGGCTATGTGATATCAAGCAAAAGGTTTTAATGTTTAAAACAAACACTTGTTTTCTGCAGCACAGTGAGCAACATGCCAAGTGACACAGGGGAAGGTCGGGAAGAGGATGACGTGCACTCTGAAGACAGTGTTGACCGCGGATGTTCTGAAGGAGACAGCAGGTAAGATATCAACTTATCTAGTTTGGAAACAGTCCTCTCCTAACAACATTGATCTGCCATGGTACTTGACCCTGTTAACATATTGTCTGAATGCATCCCTCACACTTTCTGCCTCTCGGCTAACGCGCCTGTTAAGCCTAGGGAGCCCGGACCATGATGCACATTCCTGAGAAGACTCATCAGAACGTCTCTGTCGTGTTGGTGTCGTAGAGTTATGGAGATCACGCCGAAGATCCGGGTTCGATTTCCCACGTGGGTACAATGTGTGAAGCCCATTTCTGGTGTCCCCCGCCGTGATAGTGCTGGAATATTGACAAAGGCGGCGTAAAACCATACTCACACACTCGCTCAGAATGTTGAAGTGCATGAAGGAACACGCGTGCCAATGTCTCAAGCTGACGACTGTTTTCAGTCACGTCTTATGGTGTCAAAAGTGTTGAGGTATCTTGATGTCTAGAAAGGCGAGTGTGTATGTCCAGCGTGCCAATAAGCCTTCTGTCAGAATCTGAGGTACATTTGGAGGTAATGTTTGATTTCACTGCACAGGATGTACAGAGTTAGACCTGGTACCGGCTTAGTGCTGGTTATAAGACCAGCTGGGTGGTCAGGGTCGGAGACTGGTGGACTGTCATTACGACGGCGTCGATCCTTGTCACCACTCTCTCATTGGCTGGGTCCAGACACGACTGGGTTCCAATGAGCTATTGTAGATGTGGGTAAAACATTCACACAAATCATACCTCCCCAGGTTCCCCAGAATGGATTCGGGTAGAACCCAGCCAGACTGGTCAGTTTTCCCATACAAGATTATTAGATCCATTTTGTTTTAGATCATATAGTTTACAGTTTTATTCATACTAAGTACTTATCAAGGAGTGAATGGGGTTTTGATAACATGTGGTCGCTTATATTGAAAATATCCCAGCCATAGTGAGTGAGATTAACACCGTTTTAGAAAGTACTCATGATCAACATGAATCCAGGTGTACAATGTTTCCGCTACCTCAGGACACCAACCTGGAGGAATGTGTTTCAAACACCACAGCCTACATTAACACTTACAAATTATTAATTTCATGGAAACAAACAACAACATTTAATTTGAAAAAGAAACAGTAATAATACAAGAGAAGATATGGTTCTGAGACCGAGACAGATTGCTTGTGCTTGATCAGGAAAGCAAACAGGAGTCTTCCTGTGGGGGAACGTATGAACAGACTAGCCATCTGCCAAGTACGGTTACATATAGTACTCCCATGGTCACCTGTGTATGGTATTACTTTTTCACAAATGACCTTTAATTTAATGTCTATTCTAACTCCTGTGTCACCACTAGATGTTCTTGGTCTTTCCTTAAGAACTCAGTAGGTGTTGAAAGGGCCGTGTGGTTGTAATATGGGCCATGTGGTTGTAATATGTGAACTTGGTGATTTCAAATTATGTACAGAATTAACCTTCATGTGGCAACATATCGGGATATCCACTCACGCTCTGTGTTAATATCATTGAATGAACACTTGATGTTACTAACATTTCAGTTGACCACTATTTCAGTGTTATTCTCAATCTAACCTGGTTTAAAGAGCCCCGCCCACACAATCAGTAACATCCATTAGAACTCAGGTAGACAATGACAAGAGCAAAAGAATGTGTTGTTATTTTGTTTTATTCAAAAACATGGAATGATTACCTGGACACAGGATCGGAAATAGCCTTGCTCGGATCACATGTAAACGAAACAGTAATTGCATATCGTACTCCATCTTTCAAACGTTCTACAAAATGGACATTCTCCGAGCCAGAGGTGAAGAAAGACACACGACCTGAAAAAAGATGGAATATAATTACCTAGTGATAACATTTCCACTGACATGTGATAACTTTCTTACTGACATGAGATAACACATTCTTACTGACATCAGAACATCTGCTTCAGCTCAAAAGCCATGCATGCTTTAATGTGTCACTGTATTTCATTTTGTGCATTCATATACCTGTCCTGTGAAAATGGAAAATGAACATGTTTATGCCAAAAAATCTTCATAATTTTCCAAAATATGAGAAAGCTGTTTTCAAAGCTTGATAGGGTGAGATCTGGAGAATTAATCTCATTTTTGTGGTAAAAATTACTTAGAGGTGAGGTGAGGTGAGGTGGAATTGGGTTTAACGTCGTGCTTGAGAATATTTCGTTCATATGACGACGTGCATGCGTGTGTATGTGCGGCTGCTGGTACTAGCCCAGACTTAAGCTGGTTTTATAGTGCTAGCCCACTGAGATACCATGCCGCAGTGAAGCATGAATACCCCACTCAGACACATTATACTGACTCCGAGCCGACCAGTCCTTGTTGTACCCATTAATGCCGAGCACCAGGCAGGGACCAACAAGTACCATATTTTAACGTCTTTTGGTCAACGCGGCCGGGGATCGAACCCGCCGCCTTCCGCTTTTTTCCGGGTGGACGCTCTAACCACTACACCATGGAGGCGGTTAACAATTATTAAGACCTTTCACGATAAGCTATTACTGACATTACAATATTCTTACCTAGTTTTGGTTCCACCGTTCTGTTGGCATCATAGTCCACAAACACAAACCTGCCACCGTCAAAGTCCTGCTTGTAGTTGGCCAGATACAGTAGCGAGGTGTAGTGGAAGGAGCCGTACGTCTCCTACAGTCACACATCACATGGATGTTAGCACAAGCATAGTGTCGGTCAAAAAGTCCAATCAAATGATCTCTGAAACTGACTTGTATTGGGAAAATTCACAAGCCTAGTAATTTCAGTATAAGTCATTCATTTTTCTACTTTTAAAGATTACAATAACTACACGGAGCATATTTTTAAGACTTGAGTTGTTCAGGTTGTAAATCAATTAAAATGTAAAAACCAGCCTCAGACAGACTCAACACCCTAAGCATCCCCCAGCTATCCTGTTGCCAGTATTATGAACACAGATGTACCTTGTCTACATGAGCATGCCAGGATTATGAACACAGATGTACCTTGTCTACATGAGCATGCCAGTATTATGAACACAGATGTACCTTGTCTACATGAGCATGCCAGGATTATGAACACAGATGTACCTTGTCTACATGAGCATGCCAGTATTATGAACACAGATGTACCTTGTCTACATGAGCATGCCAGGATTATGAACACAGATGTACCTTGTCTACATGAGCATGCCAGTATTATGAACACAGATGTACCTTGTCTACATGAGCATGCCAGGATTATGAACACAGATGTACCTTGTCTACATGAGCATGCCAGGATTATGAACACAGATGTACCTTGTCTACATGAGCATGCCAGTATTCATCGTGTATCGTCTTGGGAGTTGTCATGTTCATTCTGGAGAAGAATGTTGGCTTTGTGAGATACAGTTTCCCTGGCGACACACCAAACTCTGTGGCAATGGCACCATGGATCTGGTCTTTGACTTTCCTGGAATGGTAACAATTTTGTAAATCATGACGCAACTGAAGTCTGTTAGACACAGTAAACTGAGGGGCAATGAACATTAAGTTAGAGTTGAAACCCCGTATTTTAACACCTTGCACGACATGTTTACATCCTTACAAATGAAAATTGAGACATTTTTCAGTTGCTGGTATGATTCTGTACGAGTTGCACAGACATGATCTTCTACTTTAAATTTTTACATTTCAAATAATGTACAGGTATCAAATACTCAGTAACACCAACAAACTTAAGACATCTTCCTTCAGGAGGTGTGATATTTAAAGACTTTACCATAAACTTGTCTAATTCTATACTTTGTATCATCTCAAATCTTACTTACTTGTAAATCGTAAAATCTTTTTCTGTCAATAAGTCAATATTTTCTGCTTTAAGTAATCTGAAAAAGCAAACATACATCTCTTTACATATGAATTGTATACAAAATGCCAATATTGGCAGATGAAAATCTATAAACGACAACTGAAATGTTTATGTTTTCATTCAACATAATTCTGACATGAGCAGTATATGCTCATAATGGTGTTGTCACTTTTGTACAACTATGGCAAAATAACAAAATTCTCCCTCAATCTAGTCAATGTTTAGCCAATGGAATACATTTTCTGCATTTCTTCTCTATACCATCTCTTTGGGTTTCCATATACGTACAAGTAGATCATCATCCCCAACACAGAAAGTAAGAAAAATGTTGTATGAACAAAACACTCTGATTGCACAGTTTGCTGTTTTACTTGAGAAGATCCCTCAGAGAGCTGCATGCTGCAAATGAAATGCTTTGTTCTGGCAACTTAACTGTGGAATTGTGTTGAGAGCTTTTACAATATGTCTGAAAAGCTTCTATGCAGTTAGAATTGTCCATTTTGTCTTTATATAAGAACAGTATTATTGTGTTTGGTGGAGCAAACCTTACTGCAGGCAACTGTCATTCCATATTATTTCAGTGATCCAGCATCCCAAACTTTCAAGTTTCCATGTGTATCTGTGGCCTGGTTTCGGGGACTGGTAAACTCACAACTACAGAAACAACCTGTATCTACCACTCATGTCGGATACACAAAGTAGCGATATACTGTTACAAGGAACTGCTAGTAAGTAAATCAAATTAACAGGATGACTATTACCTGTATATATCTATGAATGCATTATCCTTCGACAAAGCTCCAGTGTGCAGATCCAGGATGGAAGCCTGACGATATGAACATTTGAGGCATTAATCACAACATTAGCAGCGCAAGTTAATTATAGTCCATGGAATCCCATATTTACCACATATATTGTGTGGTAAACCTTCCCAGTCCATGGAATCCCATATTTACCACATATATTGTGTGGTAAACCTTCCCAGTCCATGGAATCCCATATTTACCACATATATTGTGTGGTAAACCTTCCCAGTCCATTGTCCCATATGCACATATTATCAGTTTCTTATTGATTAATTGTATAACACTAATTAGTCTGGATCCCATGTCTAGCTGTATTTAAAAGAAGAAAAAAAATAGAGAGTTATGTCCCTTTATATCTAATGGCATCTGAAATCACAGTGTAAGTGAACACAAAATAACCCTGAAGGCTATGAAAAAACACTCTGTTGCCTTATGACTGCATAAATAATATATCTATATATATATCTAGCGGTGTCCCATGCTGGCCATAATGGCAGGCTGAGCATCAGATGATTGTGTGTCATTACTGGCCAACAGACTTTACCTTGTGTTAGCTGTTTTACTGGTTTGCCAGGTTTTATCTTACCCCTCCACTTGATCCAGCCAGTGCGAAGCCCTTCTCAGCTACCCTGAAACATAACATACTGATGTAGAAACAACACTCACATCTCCCACTGTGGGGACTTCATATTATGTCTTGCAGCGACATCGGGGTCAGGGGGTCATGCTACCAGTCAATGATAGTCTAGCTAGACATGGAAGTCACTATGCAGATGACGGTCAGTGAGCCAGCCACCATGGCATTCTAAGCACTACCTTTTAAATATATACCAGGAATTTGTCAAAATAACTAATGATTGTTTACCAGGGTCCGACTGTCAGTCCCAATCTGGGGACTGTCACGCACAACTATTGGGATCCTAACATGCAGTGTAGGCAGCTGGATGCCTGCAGCTGCTGGTCCTAGGGGATAGCCAGTGCACCCAATATCATCCATGGTGGAGTATGATCACTCAATATTTTGTGTTGGGTAATTGTACCCTGCTTTATTGATAATAACCAGGAAACTGTGTAATAAACCACATATACCAGGGTCAGTATTTCAGGTAACCATAATGTAAGGTGTGACATACCACCGTGTATGACTGGTTGGGTAGTGTCTGAGTCCAGTGTTTACCTCAGCAAGTATTCAGCATCTTCTCTTCTGACCAGGTCATCCATCACCACTCTGCCACATCTCTTGGGTTTGCACTCTGAAACATACCAGCCATCACATACCTGTAGTACATGTCAAACATATTGGTTAACCTTTAATTCAGCATTCGTGATCATAAAGTGAGGAATACAAAGTGGTTGAATCAGGTTGGAGGGGAAGACATACACTGATGGCAGACTTTGGCTGAGAGACATTGTCTTGTTTATTAACGCTCTTTGTGCACACGATAAAAATCACTTATTCTTTTCAGAGTAGGACTGTAGTGGTTTTATGAAAATGTACATCTGTGTAATAGATTTGCTCACACTTTGTACCCAATTGGAAATGAACCCAGACTTTGATGGCAGGAGTCAGTGCTTCCACCACTATGCTACAGTTACTTCCCTTCATCACAGTAGAATGCATTCTATAAATTAATACAGACACACATCTGAATGAAACAAAAAGTTTCAGTGACCTGGAAATTCTTCTTGTGAATAATCTTTTGAGCATGGAACATCATATACTGCCCGCTGAACGTGGTCCGACACTCGGACAAACACTGTGTCTGGGGTCGCAAACAGGAAGTAGTAACAGCACAGTCCCGCAGCAAGGGTGAGGAGGAGGAGGAAGACTCCAGCTGATGGACCTCGGGATGACTTACTGTTCTCAGCTTCTGCTCTGTAACAACAGGTGCAACCAAAAGTCAAGTCATTAATAGGTAACTTACATAGAAAATATTAACCATGTTCACTTATTAATAATGAAAGACAGATAGAGTTGTTCTTACAAGGTTTTGAGGGGCAAATATGCATGCAAACATTGCAACAGCATTTTGAAAACCGGCTATGTTTGAAAAATGCAGCATATCAAGTTCAATTATTCATAAATTCGTTATATATGATTGAACCTAACAACAATTAAATCCACAAAGTCCTAGCTGTAGCTCTCTTAGGAACGTTGTTTTAGATAACACAAGTTAATAAAAGAGTTAAACCAAATTAAATAACAGAAAATCCTAGCAATGTGACCTTGATATATGCAAACACGGCAACATATAATTTGTCATTGTACCACAGCAGCATGCTCATAATATTAATTACTGGATCGTCTAGCATGCATGTGGGGCGGTGGGGTAGCCCAGTGGTTAAAGCGTTGGCTCGTCATGCCGAAGACCCGGGTTCGAATCCCCACATGGGTACAATGTGCGAAGCTCATTTCTGGTATCCCCCGCCGTGATGTTGCTGGAATATTGCTAAAAGCGGCGCAAAACCAAATTCAGTCAGTCAGTCAGTCTAGCATGCATGCAAACCTCCGCGCACAAACACATGCGCACGCACGCACGCACGTACGCACGCACTTGTCCTGACAGGTCACTCCCTGATAACAATGTTCGTTGGGCCAACATTGGCCAACGTAGGCCCAATGATGGCCAATGTTGGTCCAACATTGGCCCAACGGACATTGCTATCTGGACTGACTATCCAGAATAGTAAGATGTTTCACCTACCGTTTGCTTTCTTGTGGTTTGCTCTTTGCATGTGGACGTTTTCGTACGGTTCTCTCTGCCATGCTGGATAGTGAGAAATTCCACCTGTACAGTGTTTACCAAGTGTGAATGAGGGGCAGTTTATGTTAGAAATTGTTTCATCACAAATTTACTTATCAGAAAGTTGACCATCCATTCCACGCGTTTGTCACCAACTCCTGAGAAAACATTCAAATCGTCGTAAGTAAAAGTTTGTCCTTTGTTTATCACAGAGAGGCTGACAACGACTTGACCTCATTTAGTCCAGTCAATACATGTTGATTCACACGTGTTACATGTTGATTTGCAGTGCTGGCGATAAGGACGGGAAAACCCCAACAAGAGCAGATAACTCTGAATGACTCAATTACGCTTTTTGTGTGGCATTCTCAGAATAAATAGGTGTTCACATCACGCTCGACGGTGGTGACTATAAAATATATTTTTATTTGTTTTAAGACATTTTTAAGGATACCATTGAATGTATGTGTTTTCGATAGATGGGAAGGTTTATTTAATGAAAATCAAACAGATAATTTTGTTGAAACCATAAATGTTCAAAAGGTGTATAATTGTGTGACGTGTGCTCATTACAGGTGTATTGGGTGGTATACTCCCCGTGGAGCTGGGAATGTAATATGAGTGCCTACCAATGCCCTGGCCATGGTGATAACAGTGTAGTGCCATGAACATGCTTTAGAGCATGGATACAGTTCAACATTATGAGTCTAAAGGTAATTTATTCATTGTGTACATTTATCATTGTGAGTGTGTCATATTGGCAATATTTGCAATATTCTAGCTATAACATGTTGGTATACAACTTTTCAAAAATGCGTAAATATTGATTTAGCAAAATCTTCAACATTTAAGAACCAAATGGCAACTTGCTGTAAATGTCTTGCAAACATAATTCTCAAATAAACCTGTTTATCAAAAATTGCAAATTCTGAGAGTCTCTTCAACAATGTGAAATCATTGATATGAATAGGACTTGGACTCAATGCAAGTAGAGGAATGTTCTAAGGCCATTCTCAATAATTCACTGTATTCTCTCTCCACTCTGCTAAATAGAAAATCTCACCTATTAGTGCCACTGATATTTAAACATCAACACAAGCTGATTACAGAAGCAAAACACTGGAGTTTTCTACTTACATCAATGAGTGATGATACACCTGATAGCAAGACTTGAGGGTGAGATTTTTTATTCATTAATGAGTATCAATGTCAATCATTAAGTACAAAATATAATGCATTACCCCACCCAAAAATATCAAAATACATTTCATTTATTCAAACAAAACTTTCATGGCACTGCTTTATTTTTCCTAGTATGGTTATTTTTTGCAATTGTACAATAACTATCAGAAATCAGTACCAAAATATTATGTTTGTGTTTTTTTGTTTTCATGTTTAATCTGTTGATGGAACATTGTTGCATTACTTATATGGAATGTATTGACTTGAAACTTCATCCGCACTAATAAACACTTTGGTATTCTGATGACCAGTTTATGACAAGGTAGAATGAAGTGAAAGAAACTACGCATTTTAGCAAAAATGATTGGGTTAAAAAGCATTTAAGCTCTACACTAATGTTTTTTCCAAGAAATATGGTTCAGTCTCACAAAGTGGCATCTCTCATGTGAGTCTGAACTGAATGATAAATACCCTTTACTGCTATCTGTGCTTTATTTGGAGCCCAGTTTGAACAACACAGTGGCCGTATAGCTGTCCAATACAAGACATAAGGTGCTGTAACCTGTACTTTGTAACTGATGAGTTTGTGGGAGATGAAGATGGTGACTTCAGCATGCAAGTGGTCCAGGATACATGTATCAATAGTAGAATGGAGATACATTTCCCTGAGTATTCAGGCGTGTGTGGTGAGCAGATATGACAATTTCCTCTCTCCCTCTTACCATGAAGTATTGGTGTTTTGTACTGGTATCATATCATAAAAATATCATGTGTAGCTTACATGTCAGATGATTTCATGTGGTACTAAAATAGACTGAATCATCTGATATCCTTTCGGCTCTTTGATGATGTATTTGTATAGTTTCATACATCTATTTCAACACATGTTTATTCTGCTCTGATGGGAGGAAATAAACATGCATTCCACAGCGTCGTTGTGTTTGTTAAATATAAAGACGAAGACTAAATGAAGAAAACAGTTTAATATCTTCACACAGATATAAATATACATTTCCGGCTGAACTCTTACCCATACTTCATCCCCCCATGTCCTGAAACATATTACAAACACCCAAGGTACTAACATTCATGGCAATCATAGTCAGTAAACAATAGTTTCTTTCATATTTTCCATGTAAGAAATCGTAATGAGCAGTAAACACATAGTGTCCTGGCACCAAAACTAAAATTCAGACTAAAAACGTTCATTTAGCATTAAGTATCAGTGCCATTCAAAAGGGATCTTTAAAGACAAACAGAATATGAAATGGATGAAAGAGTACTAAGTTCGTACCACTCGGATACAATACAGACAACATTATCAAAATATTCCAATATTTAGTCTATTTTAATGTATATTTTTATCTACAATAAAAGTATGTACAGTTATGAATTACAAATTATCACAGTTGAAAATAATGACATTCCAAGTCTAGATTTATATACAATTGATCATATCAAACTTTGTAAATGACATTATGTAGTTATCCTTGATTGTGCAGGGGGGTGGGGGATAATAGGAGGCAGTGGGGGTGACTCTCCAATAGGGCGGAGGACGGGGTGTGGTTCGGTCCAGCAGATCGGCGACATCTAGGGCTTGTGCTGGGATCCTTGACGCAACTGGACGGAGTGTTTTCTGATGTTCTTCCATGACATCTGATTTCCTGACATACTGGAACAATTACAAGTTAACAGTGATGAGCTGGCACCATCAATCACCAGTATAATATCTTCACAGCTACGATTAAGTTTTCATTGATGCTGTTTGTTTTGTGTAAAACACTTGTATCATTGTAGATCTACCATGTTTCTGGCAGAATGTAAGATATATTGTGATAACAAGTCAATTTCTTGTCCTTACCCTGTTTGGTCCCTTCTTGACCCGTCCACCTTCCTTGACCGTTACACCAGCTGCAACCTCCATTGCCTCAATCTGGGAACACATACAGAGAATAAGTACATCTATAAAAATCAAGACCAAAATGAATTTCATAAACAACCTTCTGAACTGTAGTTCAGGAAATTCTGAATGAGAATTCAGCATGTTTTAATTCACTACTGACATGTGAGTCTGTGTTTCACACCACAGTTTGTTGGTTGGTTGTTGTTTAACGTAGCACTCAGCAGTATTCCAGCTATATGGCGGCGGTCTGTAAATAATCCAGTCTGGACAAGAGAATCCAGTGATCAACGGCATGAGCATTGACCTATGCAATTGGGATACGGTGACATGTGTCAACCAAGTCAGCGAGCCTGACCACCTGATCCTGTTAGTCGCCTCTTACGACAAGCATGGGTTACTGAAGATCAATTCTAGCCCGGATGTTCACATCACAGTATTTCAGCAATATCAACCAATGTCTGCAAATTGTGGAAGGATCCTATGACCATGGGTATGGTGTTGTAGATAATACATGTACAAGAATGTTTCCTGAAGACAATTACTGTGAAAACCGGGTATATCTACTTTATCAATGACAGGGAACTCACCAGTGGAGGTGGCAGTGGAGCAATGGTGGGCTGTTGAGACATCTTACTGGAGGATTTGGCTGGAAAATAGTATTGGATATACTGGTACATCTCACATATCAACTAAACTGGCTTGTATAAGTCTTACTTTTTCTATTAGCAAGATAATATTCTGAAATAACTGTTAGGCTAGATATGAACATATTATCGAATTTGTTCTACTCATCATAATTGCGAAAGAAGGTAAAATGCATGTGATTTCTGCAATCATATGGCATATAAACACTTTGTTGAAAGAATCTAAGTTTATGTAAATGCAACTGAAACCATATGATCACAAATCCTACTTTAAAAGTGAAGCAGCTGATACTCACAGGTGGATGCTGCATCAGTGTTGCCCTTGATTCGTGACTTGATTCGTCTGATGGTTGGTACCTGTGGAGCCCCAGAATATTTACCATGTCTCATGGCTTCCAGTCGAGCCTGAGCCGCCTCTATAGCAGGGTCCACCACCTGGTACTTTATCCGCACTCTGGCAGATACAAAAAAGGGTGTAGGTTTCATAAGTGGCACCAAGAGAAACATATGGAACTGGTTGAGTTCACAGAAAACATTCACATGCAAAATGACTGAAAGGAACATCTACAGCATTAGTATCAATCCACAATGACTGGATCCTGATATTAGTATGGGGCATAACTCTTCACAGCCAACTGTAGCGCCTTAGATGACTGGGACAGATGTCCTGCTCTTCAAGCAGCACTTAAAAAACTATAAAAATTCATAACAGGTACAAATGTTGTCTTTCAGTGGCATTTAGAAGTTGTACATAGATGTCCAAGATATTTTTATGGATTAAACTTCTTTTTTATTTCCCTCACAAAGTTTCGGGACCATTCCAGGTCCCTTCATCAGAGTTCACCAGATGAAGGGACCTGCATGAACCAGTTCACCAGATGAAGGGACCTGGAATGGTCCCAAAATGTCGTGAGGGAAATAAAAAAGAAGTTTAATCCATAAAAAATATCTTGGACAGGTACAAATTTGTTTTCGTACATGGCACTTAGAATGACTACAGAAACGTTGAACTTGAGAGCTGGGTTAATCTTACCTATGATTAGGCAGTTTCTCTGGGTCTAGCTTGACAACAGCAATGACATTACCCATGTCATCATACACGACGTCCTTGTTGCCGGGGGGACGACCTGCTTGAACCTGCAGTCACATGGATATGTGTCACTTTGTAAACCAATGAAATAACTAAAAGTGTCAAAATTGATGTTAGTATTTGTCCAAATTATTTGCTGATATTTGTTAGGTAGTTGCACAGGTTATTGTTTGAACATACAAATTTGAATATCATTTCAGTATATATACTCAGTGTTACTACCTTAAAGATGCAAACATATTCAAAATACCAACCATTATCAGAAATACCAACATTTCACTGTGCAGTCAGAGCTATAAATGAATATACATTTTGTAATAAACCATAGACACAGGATCAGTTGTGAAAGTTCTCCCAGAACAGAAATTAGTATGAAGAAAACTGTTAGTAAAGAAAAAGTACAGTAATACAAAAATATGAACATCGTTGCAATCTCATTCAAATTCTATCTTAGTTCCTGCTACTGCAACACAAATATCTAAGGACACTTCTTTTCAGGTCATGACCTTTTGATAATTGAGCAACCAGTAAAAGCAATGCTTAACAAAAAGTCAACATTAGCCAACCAGAAAGCAGTTCATTCTGGCGACTTCCATTCTGGACTACACTTTGAAATATATTTTTATAAAGTTCTTGATTCAGATTTGAAAACTGAACAAACAAATATTCTGGAATGTCATCTGCATGACACAGATGGTAGGATGTGCTAAGTCACTTGTGTTCAAATGTTGTAGATGACGTTTTTGACAGATTCAGTCACAAATCTAGCAACTGTCATTTGGAATAAACCACATGAACCATTGCAACGTTACACTTTTACAAAATACATTCTGACTGTCACTAGGTAAGCAGCTTTCTGATTGGTTGGCTGAAAGGTCATTCTGACATAACCCCTAATCTGATGTCCTCAGATCATTGTTTAGCAGTAGCAATGAGAAAGATTTGATGATAATGAGATTGAAATTATTCACAAATGTAATCAGTATTCATGGAAAAATTACCAGTTGACAAATACCAATCTTGTAACAATAAGAAGAGAAACCATGCCAAGCTGCCAAAGAGCTGAAATAACTTAAACCATGCAGCAGTAGGGTGTGGCTAGGGGAGGAGGGGGGAAGGGTGTTGTGGTAAGCAATGGATACACATGTGGGTTGTGGTATCTAATGTACACACAGAAAGGTGATCATGTAATATACTTCAATTTACAATTTTCCTCCATTTTCAGAGTCAATATTTGCATAAACAATACATGCTTAATATTTATACCTATGACATGCGTATGCATATATCACATGACTATGAACTGCTTGTGATTCTAAGTACTACAGTAAATGAAATAACCATCTACATTCCTTGTGGGCGGCTGAGAACTGGTGAGTGCTCTATCAACATAAAAAAAGCCCAGTAGCAGTAGCAAACACAATTAAAATCTCATACTAAATGTTTAGATTCTAAAGCATTTGCAAAATGTGACAGTTCTAGTGTCATCCATTATCTTGACTTTTAAGGTGAAAACCATCTACACACTTCGTGGTAAAGTAATATGTTTAAACTAATGAGAAAAACATTGTCTACAAAATTATAAGTGTTGTTTGAAGTCTTTCTACATATAGTATACCTGCGGCGGATGTGGCATCAGTATTACTCTGAAATTGGCAACATTAATACCTGCAATATGTTATGTAACTCTCCACTACTCATCAACAACAACAGCTGTATTTAACATTGAACATCAAATGATGCAATGAAGACCATTGATAGGCTAATGATTGACACCTGCCAGATTGTAAGTGTGATCAGTTTAAAAAGACGTTACCTTTATTTTCATGCAGTTAATGACAGTGCAGGGATGTTAAAACACAACAAGCACAACATCAAAACATGGTGCACAGTGAGGAACACATCACTCATGTTTATAAGTGATTAATATGTCATACAATATTTATTGTTGGTAGAATTAGAGTCACATCTTTCTTTCACAGGTCTTCAGTGAATGTAGCATGTTTACATTCATAATAAGATTTACTGTACAAAACTGCAAATATAACAGAGAGCTATGGAAAGTGAAATTGACATGCAACTTACGCGGAGAATGGAGTGACATGAGGCAGGCATGAGCATTCCACTGGTACGGTCTTCTGATGGGAGGGAGCCTGCTATCTCATCCATGTATAGTTTCATCTCTGTCTCCTCCAGGGACTCGGTTATTTTGCCCACTCCTGCAGACTTAATTGGACCTCGGTACCGCTTAAACTTAAACCTCTTCTTCTTTTCTACTTTTTCATCCTTAAAAGTATTTGTTAAAAAAAGTATTATTCAGTTGTAATCTAAACTGTTAGCGACCTCTTCATAAATATATAGATTACATTTAGAAACATAATGTTTATATAATGCTACATAGATACGACATTGATTTAATGAAGTTCCGACATGACATCTACAACTGCGTACCTTCTCAACAGTTCCTGCCTCTGTTTCAGTATTTTCATCAACTTGGTCCTCATCGGGTTCTGACACTTTATCAGGCAATTCAGGATCTTCCTCTGGGTCCACAATCTGGACTCTGAAACAAACAGTTATCTCCCCTTCACCACACCTGGTAACCTGTCTGTGCTGCTATCGTGACTGTCTTAAGTAAGGACATGCCAGTGTAGGTGTTTTACACACATTTCAAGGAACAAAATGTATTTATCATTATTAGTCAATTTAAAATATGATGGACCTGTACTCAAAATACTAAGCACGTTTTTGATAAAGCATTCTTTCTTTAGCAAACTGGTAAAATTTTCCTTAACACTTCAAAGTCATATTTTAATACCATAATAAACTAAACATGCATAATATAGCTAGATCTTAAAATGAGCCCATCCTTTGATAGTGTTTATTCCCCCTGGGTACATAATACATAGACTATTAATATCAAGAAAGGACTTGCAATATTATATTAAGGAAGCAGTTGTATCTCTCTAAGTTCAAAGAGAGGGTGATATACTGAATGCTGTGTTCTGCTTACTTGGCTTCTTCTAGATCTGTCTCTACAAGTTCCTCCTCCAGGTGCTCCTCTGTCTCCTCCACTATTACTGGGGTGGGAGGTGGCAGGTACGTCCGCGGTACTGATCCCTGAGCCCAGCAGTCTGTTGTGGCAGGGTCAGGCTCTGTAGGGAAATATAGAAGCATCATGATGTTAAAAATAATGGGTATGCCTTAAACTGTAGAGAGGTATCAATAGTTTAAATGCAGTGGTATATTCAGATTGGCAACATTTTCTTTCTGTTAACATTTATTGCTGTTACCCAATGATGGCTACGAAATGTAACTATTATGCAGAGACCCTCAACAACTGAATCAACTTATGTTGGTACTCTGTCAGTTCATCTCACCTTCATCCTGGAGCCAGGTGGGATCCCCCTCTGGGTTCACCTCCCCTCCATCCCTAGCCAGGAACTGCCACTGTAACAGAGATGACTTTGTCAATGAAAGAATGGAAAGCTTATTCCAATCAAATTATTTTGGTATGTAATGAAAAATTGAAACAAAAATCTGTTGGTTGTTCCCATTTTCAGAATGGCTACATTCTCATATCAATGTAACTCAAACACCACTATTCCTTGTCTGCATGGATACCCATACTCGACAGAATTAAAAAACCTTGTCAATACACATCTTTATTACCTATGAGCGCAAAAATATCTGGGTTCATTTTTTTCATATGATGCCCTAGGGCAAAATATCACATTGTCATGGTGACGTCATGTTTCCTCAGTGAAGTTGTGTTCTACATGCGGCGACAGCGGGTAGCCAGCCTATGTTTGAAAGTAGATTTGGGTTTATTTTCTTCAGTTTGATGATTTGGGTTTATTTTCCTTGGTAATAAACAGTATATTATATTCATGCCCATATCATACTATGTTTTTTATATACTCATGCCTAAATATCGGTATATCCCTCGCTCTCGGTATGGAAATACCAAAATTTACTTCTTTAGGCACTCATGTTGTAAAGATAGTATGACATGGGCACTCATTTAATATCTTCTATATAATATGTACAATTAGGTTTATCTTGTTGCTTGCATTTGAAGCATTCTTGTATTGCAAACTCATTTTAAACATGCACACAAACCCACCCACCAAAAAAACCCCACAAAAAACAACAAACACACTTGAGTTCATGCCAAGGCGTCTGATCAGTATTTTGGCCCCTTCAAAATGCTCCTCTGAATCCGGCATTAAGCTATTAGACATTAAAGAATATGGTAAATATATCTTACAACTAAATAAGCATACTTACATATATAATGCCAACTGTTTTAAATTTATTTTACACCAACAACCTTAGTTATTATGATTCATATCCATATCTGTCTTACAGCAACAATCATAACCTTAAATCATAAAATGACTCACATCAATTATTTGTAGAATGGCATCTTTAGCTTGAGATATTGTGAATGGGAGAAGTTGTTTCTCAATGTATGTCTTGTAGATCATGTCCATGGTACTGTCAACAACCTCATCCACAATGTCCAGGATAAAGTCCTCAGTTCCATCCTTGTCCAGCATGATATTCCTAACACATAAATGAATGGTCATAAATTGGACACATTTTCTTAGAGTGAAACTTCACACTACTATACAAAAACATGATTTTTTCATCTATATTTTTATTACTAAAATACCCTTTCATGTTTGGGACCTGAATGAACACACTTTCTGGCATCACCTGTATTATTAAATTCAAAGTTTCTTCATAATGTTATGTTAAGTCAGTTTGGCAATCAGTTTTAAAACATTATATTTTCAAAATATATTCCTTTATTTCTAACTATATATTTGCATATATGTGGATATACAATACTTGGGTCTACCTTTCATGAATACCACATACTCTGATAAAAAAGAGCTGCTGCAAAATTACAAATTGGTGTTTTAAAGTCTCCATTTCAAAATATCAGTAATGTCAAGAAAATTAAATGCAATTCAAGAGAATATGCACACTATCTATATCTGACAACCATAATAACAGATAGGATGTAAAAGATTTACTGTCTATACTTTAATATACATTGTATTTAAAATGTACCTCTGTCATGATAGAAAAATAGAAACAAAATGTTACCATTGTGCTACCGGGCACTGAAGGTATTTTGAAAAACTTTCTATAGAGAGTAGCAAAAAAAGATCTCTACTGGTAATGATAATTATTGTATCGATATATAATAGAAAGTGACAAGTTGTCAATGAATGCAAAATAGTAAGAAGTACCAAGTTATCAGCAGGAAATCATCAAAACATCAAGAGAAAATGTTGGGTTAAATAAAGGAGCAACATACCAGTCATGGTCATTGAACTTCCCTGGGACTATTTCGTGGGTGATGACAGGTGTTTGTGCTGCTGGGGGCTTCCCTTTATCAGCCCTAGATTTGGAAACTGCTGCTCGTGACATTCTTGATTTGTTGATAGCTCACTTTACTGGAAAATAAAAATGAGAAGCAGATTGAAGTAATGAGAAAATTTTCATTAACATCACATTACTTTAAAATTCCAGGTAATGAAATTGACAATCAACAGTGTTGACAGCACTCTTCCCTTAGGGTAACTATTTACGGTTACGTCGATCCCTTAGATACATATCAACTGTAGAAATATACATAAGAAATACAAAATGTGCTTGTAGTACCATTGGATTTGTTTGCAATCCACACATCATACTCTGACTTCAAACTGTCATTTTGGATAAATCTAATTGTCTCCAGTTTAGGAGGCATCCATTACGGCGGATGTTAACATCCCTATGGCAACATGACGCTCTCGCTAAAGCGTGAATTATTTATCTTCTAAACATGTAATTATTTTTATATTACATATATTGATATGTGAATATACTTTATAAAAAATGCTTTATGTTTCATATCTATAAAAACCTGTGTATTTTAAACGGTTACTTTGCAGTCACGTGACTTAAACAAACCAAGATGGCGGATGAATAGTTACACTGTTGAAGTAGGGAAAAAGCTTTTGAAATCGTGTTTCTTCTTCTAACGCATCTGTAAAAGGTATTGTGCAGTGATACTTATACCATTATTATTTTTCACATATAATATCATATCATGTCCACCAAGAACGCATTGCTTGCTCTTAAAGGGAATATATTCCGAATTATTCATGTTGAATCATGACTGCACGTTCAGTGAATTCGCAAATTGTGTCTTTTTGTTCTGACATTTAAATGATGCGAATGGTTAGTAATAAACACCATCTGATTGTAGTGTTTTTATAAGTTACTGACATGCTTTACAGTTGTTCATGTGATTAGCAAGAAAACATTGAAAGTTTCAAAAGTCATGTTAAGCATCTGAAATCCTGTAATTTGAGGATAGTGTTTAATGGGTATGCTTGTGGTGCACTATGTTGTACACACGTGCAGGTAACTTTAGTAAGCAGAATAGTAAACATGGTAAATGCGACACACGGGCTTCACCATTACTCATTGTCAACAGTGATCAAAGTTAGTGACAGTTTGTCAGCAGGTGTCCAGTAGATTGCCTTTGCACATTTCCAGTTTCTGTTGGTCATTGGAACTTGTCTGGCTTTCAATCCTGCTCTATATAAACGCTTGATTTTTGTGTTTAGGAAATGATCCATGTTTTCTCAGATTTGTTCAGGAATAGACACAACCAGTAGTCTGTTAATTGGAAACAGTATTAGTTGGAATATATGTATATCTGTCATCTGTATATTTTACATGACTGCCAGTCTGAAATAAGCTTTGACAATGACTCATGTTTATCCAGTGGTGTTTGCCCCCGAAGTTTAAAGCCACAGGATCATGATCATATGATGACAGTACTCTATGACAATGGTTTTTGAACAGTGATTTTCCTAGGTAAGGGTGTTAACAACCTATAACAATCTGTTTGCTCTCCATGAACTAGGCTTGATCATTGGTAAAAAACCTCAACGAAGCAATCCACATCAAAAGACTCCAACCGTTCATTAACCCTGATCAAGGCTATTATTAGTATTATCTATGACCTTAAACTATGGATTGTGATTATGATGTTTGATTTTTTATAATTTGTAGATATGTATTTTTAAATAAGAAAGCTATTTCTAGGACTGAATGTTAGTCAACAAGTCTAGATAAACTCTGAAATGTATTTACCTGGATTACTTCTTGGTAATATTTAAACATCAGATGATAAATCAAGTTGAAGTAAGTAAATGTTTCACGCTGCAGTCAGCCATATTCTAGCTGCATCAAGACTGAGGAAGATGAAACAAGTGATTGACAATATGAGCAACAAGCCTTGTGTGATCTGTAATCTAATGCTTGTTATTTGCATGTTTCAGCTACACAGATTATAGCTGGTCAACACAGTTACACTAGTGAGGATGCAGGGGATGATGATGCAGGTAGATGGTCAGAGATATGGAACATCTCACTACAACAGACCTGGTAAGGCACTCCCTGATAGTGAGCAGCATTCTCATTCAGTGTTATGTTTGGGATTACACTTCCTCAGTAAAGTACAGATTCTAGTACATTATTGGGTTAAGTCCTCTGTGGGATTCCAACCCACACTCGGGTGCCTAATTGCCAGCACAGAAAGTCAGCCTAGGGCCGACAACATGAACAAATTTTTGAAATTGTAAGATCAATTGCTGGCCCTTGCTTCATGTTAGAGTCAAAGTTGAAAGAAACAGCAAAGTATTTCTTAACATGCTTAAGATAAAAAATAATGAAATTCACACTTTAATCCCTTGTCATGATTAGTACTTAGGTAATCAGTGTTACAGTATATTGTTCATAATGTACAAAGGGAGGTAATACAGTTATCAGGCCGAGCCGTAGATGCATCCAGGGTACTAATATAGATTTTTTGGAATGTATACCCTGGAGATTTTCAAGGATGAGTCTGGTCATCATGGTCAGCTAATACATTAACATGAACAATGATATGAAAAAAAATCACCTCCTGTTTTACTTTTGTAGATATTGCCAATTGCAGAATTAGTTTTACCTGTTTTGTTATGCTGAAATATTGTGATGTACAATAACACAGTCTATTTTCTACTCTGTGATATGATCATGATAATCCAAATTGGATCATGTTCTATAATGAACAGATTGTTATTATGTGTATCATATCATACCATGCTTAACAATGGCATTAACATTTGTTTGTTTGAAGGGTCCCGGTCTAAGGACCATGTCCAAGAAAATGTTCGTCGCATGCGGCAGATACAGAGAAGAAGTAAACAAAGGGAACAAGAATCCCAGCAGCCAGTCAAAGTCCTGTGGAAGTCAGCCCAATTCTCAGATGTACAGTCAAAGATCAAGGATGATATTGAGGTCAGCAGATAATTTTTGCACAAAGGGTTCATAATGTTTCAACCATGGAAAGTCCATGTTAGAGGATGGAGCTACAATCATGTTAGTGACTGGTTTGTGTAGCAGGGTCCATGGTAGTTCAGAAAAGTCTGACATTTCATCCTTCCTTTAAATCTTGCAGAGGCCTCCTTCAGCACCAAGACCACACTCAGCTAACTACCTCCGTGCCCACTCACGAGCAGGTCCCCCTGTGAAGCTTGAATCTCGGCCATGTACGCCAGACCCAGAAGTCTCCGTACCTCCTGCAGCAGATGCCAAAAATGTAAGACTTGGCTGTGTTATGTGAAACTGTAAACATGACGAACTGCTGACAACTCAGTGCCCATCTGACCTGTCTTGGTGACCTTAGCAGGCTGTCAGTGTTTAATGTAGGATTGTCAAAATTGTACGAATAGACTTGTGCAAACTTGTAGAAGTAAAAATATGAACATATGTATAAGCTAAGGCACGTTGACAACGATAAAATGTTGAGGCTTATTGTTAAAGCCACTAGCCACGTTTCTTAGTGTGTTTGTTAACAAACTTTAATCCGATGTTAAAGATCAACATTTAAGAAATGTGAGTAATAATACCATCATGATTTGCAGCAATTTAACTCACACCAACCAAGCAACTAAAACCCAAGAGAAGTAGATCAATTGGGTAATTGCTTGATTAGTATTTGTTGGTGGAGAGTATATATGATAAGCCAGTCAATAAACTCTATCAAATATTCCTGTCTCCTGTCATATTTCATAATGCATAGTTCAAGTTTCTTTGGTGGTTTGCATAGAACATCTTGTCTCCAGTTACTGGTAAAACTTGTTTCTAAACTGTAGGAGACAAGGAGTCATAACATAACTGAGACTTTACCCCCTGTGCTGGATTAGTGTACATGAATGTCGCTATGTTGAAGACTGTATGTGAAGATTTGACCATGTTAACAGTATGCATCTATGTATGTTTGATCAGACCAAGCTTGTCCGACGTGATATTGACTTCATCAAACTGAATGGGCGCACAGTAAAACACACCAAGATGCAGCGAGCTCCAAGTCTCACAGCTTTAGATGACCTGAAGAAGAAAGATGAAGACAAATTACAGAACTACCAGCGAGGAGAAGTGCCCAAATAGTGAGTGACTTAAACTTTGTCAACTTGTTGAAATTTCTGTTTGAAGTACAATCAATATGCTTATACTGGTGTTGCTTACAATTCATTAGAAACAGTATGACTATTTTAGACCAGTCGACTTGAGTCCAACTGTCGGTCCATGTGAAATCAGTTACATCACTGACATAACATGTCTGTCTGCTTAATGCCTGCACCATGTATATGTCCGTCTCCTATTCTCGCGGTAAATACGTTTTCTGCCGAAATCGCCGATGCGTGACACTTAGCGGTTGTTTACATCATCGACTGGTAACTAGGAAGTGGACCAAGTCGGTGAATGATCAAAATCTTGTAGTGTCACGAATATTGGGGAGTTTATACCAACTTGGACATATCATTACTTTTTCCCGCCCTTTCGGCAGGATTGCTCTTACATACACTCAATAACGTTAATTCCTGGTAATTCCGCGAGAATGGGAGAAGCCTCGTTTTGTCAATGGCGGATGACATTGTTTATCACCGGGCTCACGAGTGGTAATTCACCTGATGGATCTGGCAGCTGATAGATGTAGATGCTAGAGGAGAAGACCCTTCATTTAATAACAACAAGCATTCATACGATAAGAATTGTTTGTGTTATTTTTTCAGCCGATATCCGTAAGTACCGCGAGAATAGGAAACGCCTTCCTACACTGACCCAAGTATTATATAATGAACTTTTTACCTACATTTTGAATGCACCTGTGTCATCTTTGTTATGATATAATGTCACAGGGCAGTGAAAGTGTAGAGTAGAACATATTCTGGTAAGAATTCCTCCCGTTTCCCCATCCCAAATAATATTTATAAATTGATATATACTAAAATTATTAACAATTACTAGAGAACTCACAAAAATAACTAAAAGCCCCAAAATTACTTACAATATCTAGATTTTTACTTATCCTGACATCATGATCTTTTGCTTGTCTCCCTTTCCCTTTCGAATGGTAGTGGAACACTTGAATCCCTTGAAGTTCCCGAACCGGACATATAAATACACTCACCCACGAGTTACCTCCCTTTGCCCTTTCCCGCGCAAACCAGTTAGGTGATGAAAACGGATAGTTTTGTCAGAGTTTAAAACTCAACAAAAAGATCTACATGTGTGATCTCTACAGTTACAGCCTGCACAACTCTACAACCTGCACAAACCTTATACCTGTATAAGTTCAGTTTCGGACGACAACCTACTTGATGATAGGAATCACTTCATCTATAAGGATGCTGAGGTCTTATACCGGGTAGCAGATGGCCTGCGGATATTGTCGTTTATTCAAGGGGATATCTCAAGTACTGCAGAACCTCAAGGTGACCTTTGTAAAGGGCTTAAGGTTAACAACGCCTTCAAGTATCCTTGAACGGACGTACAGATGATATTATTAACACTCATCACTCGGCTTGGGGATTAGGAATTTATATCCTATCTACTAGATTCAACATCGGTATTTCTTCAAGATCCATACAGACATATGTCTCAACAGCCTCCTTCGTCATGCTGGGAATAAGTGATTTATATCACTGAACAAGAATTTACACTTGGAGCAACCCTTAGTCAAGAGGTTTATATGAGCGGCGTAGAATTACGCGCGCTTTTACTCTACCAACTAATTGCATCAGATTTTATGTAGGCCAACTTGCTACAACACTGGTGACGTCATGCTTGAAGCCGATTGGTCCACGTCAGACCACTGACAGAGCAGGCTCCAGCATGTTTTCTGATTTGTAATTAAACCCGTGGTACGGGGGAATACTTCATCGGCAGCCTTGGAAACAGTATACAACTACGGCCTGTTATCATCATGGGAATCTAATAGATGTCTAACCTTGACAGCAGGATAAACGATGTCTATTTTGGAAGTTGTCGCTGATAAAAGTCAGTATGAGTACCTGTCCCCTTCGATGCTACACTGGAGCCAGCCTTGCTATAAATAGACATTGCTTCGATGTCAACACAGATCGCCTGCGTATATAAGGGGAAGAATGATGTATCATCACTGCAATCAGAGGTTAGCACTTCCAATGGAACGTCCTACCGTTTGGAATATCGTCGGCTCTATGATTATTCATACGAATAACCAAGCCTATCAGCACCTATCTGCAGCATCGAGGTCTACACAGTGCCGGTTATCTGGACGACGGCATACAGGTTCTTCAAAGTGCCAATCAACTCAGACAGCAGCTGAACTTCACAATAAAGTTGCTCACGCAACTAGGATGGCTAGTGAACCTGATGAAGACTGGAGTTAGAATCATGGGGTTAGAATCAAACAAGATCTTCAATTGCTGGGAATAAGAATTATCACAACCCAGAATCGAATTGTGGTCCCAGACAATCTCTCCGTTAACACTACAACATGGCAATGTCTACTCGGTCTACTAAACTCTACGCAGGACTTGACTCGCACAGGAAGATCACAACTAAGGCCGCTGCAACGGTTCCTGACAAAACATTTGGACAGCGACAACCCTATCTTGCTGCCAGACAATCTTAAGAGGTATATACTGTGGTGGACACAGGTCGAACGTTTGCGGAGGGACCTATTTACAAGAGCCGGCCTTCGACACACATCTCTACGCAGACGCCTCGATGCAGGGATGGGGTGTGCATCTCAACGATCAAATGGCGTCGGGAAAGTGGTCCAACATAGAACAGCAGCTTCACATCAATCTGCTAGAGATGAAAGCCGTGATCAACGCCTTACAACTATGGTCAAGCTTGCTGAACAACAAAATGCTGATGATCCACACGGACAACTCTACAGTGGCATTCTCCATAAACTGGCAAGGATCCACAAGGTCTCCAAGCCTATTGCAGCTCACATTCCAGTTGTTCCAGGTCACACAGGAAGCAAACATCTGGATAAAGGCGTGTCACATACCCGGAGCCAAGAACGTACTGGCAGACGCTCTCTCCAGACCACTGCACCCGTCACCTACGGAATGGATGCTCTAACCAGAAGCGTTTCGGCTCATAAGGGAAATAGGATCCCCTTGCATAGACCTGTTTGCCACGAGGTTCAACAAACAACTAAACAGACGTTTGTCTCGCCAGTTCCAGATCCTCAAGCCTCGGCAACAGATGCACTGAGCATGTCGTGGGAAGGACTAAACGCCTACGCATTTCCGGCCCCGATACTACTTCCAAATGTACTGTTCAAGATCAAACAGACTCAGACGCTACAACTGACTTTGGTTGCGCCCTACTGGCCAGCGAGACCATGGTTCCCAGATCTAATAGAAGATCTTGGAAGTCCAGTAATCAAATTACCAGATTGGCCGAACTTACTAATACATACATCCCGCACACCTAAGCAAGTCCACGGAAACCCGACAGTGTTCCAGTTACATGTGTGGACCGTATCGAAACATGCTTGAAGAAAAGAGGATACTCTGCCAGGGCAACCAAAGCAGTAACGCTAGCGTTACGCAGATCGACTCGTAACCTATATGATGACAAATGGCTGAAGTTTGACTTTGAGACTTATGCAAGGCGGAAAGGCTTCACTGCGATGATAGCCACTCATCCTCAAGTGGCGGAATATCTGTGTCATCTTAGACAGACCAGACATCTGAAGGGTTCGACATTATCTACATACCTCGCTGCTATCAGTACAGTGATTACCATGAAAACAGGCATCAAGTTGACGAAAGTACCAGAATTACTTGTTCTGCTGAGATCTTTTAAGCTGGAGGACCAGCAAAAGAAATTCAGAGCTCCAGCCTGGGATCTGAATGTAATTCTACGTCATCTTACCAGTGATGTCTACGAACCACTAGACCAGATTACACTCGAGCTGCTAACACAGAAGACTCTGTTCCTGCTTGCGTTAGCCACGGCAGCTCGAATATCGGAGATACATGCGCTGGACTTTGGTCGAACCAGATTCGACAGAGGGCAACATAATGCAGTTCATCTAGGACCTAGATGGGACTTTATTGCCAAGAACCAGCTACCAGGGTCAACCAGATAGACAGTTCCACTTACCAGCGCTGTCTACAATCCTCGGTCCACAGGATATAGAGGACTTATCCTGGTGTCCGGTCAGAGCCCTGAAGATATATCTTCAAAAGACTGAGACAAGGAGACCATAATTCAAGCGCCTGTTCATCCCATTATCCCAAGAATGACCATATCGTTCAGGATGAGAGCCGTTATATTGAGAGCCTATAAAGCAGCAGGACTAGAACCTCCTAGAGCTTCGAACCCACACGAAGTCAGAGCACTGGCGTCAACACTGGCTCTGCACGGAAATTGCTCTATACCAACCATTATGGAGGGCTGCTTTTGGAAGTCGGACACAGTGTTTGCTGAAGACGTCTCAGGCATTCACCAATTTGGGCCTCTCATTGTAGCACAGCAACTAACGGTTCCTCAAAGGCGCTGAGTTGGAAAATCTCACCCTTTATCACGTTGACTTGTTGATAACTGTTACTAAGGAAAAGTACTAGTTTGAAAGTCCATGCGCACAGTCTAGCACAGGCTAGCATGAGTGATTAAAGATCCTGTACGGGTAAAGATCTTACCTGTACGTGAAGGGGTCGCAACTCATTTATGATAAAGATCTTATCATAATCTATGGGTTGTTATAAGATATCTAGTAATAGGAAGAAACTAGTTTTTTTATCTATCGCCACATGAATCAACATGATTCTACTTGTCTGAGATTGAAGTAAGACAAGAAAGTGGTCCCCCCAAGTTATAACGGAAGTTGGAAGAATAGGATCACGGAAATGTCGTTTCGCAGTTCCCATGGGGGGGATACAGGACGTATCTAAGGACAGCTGATGAATCCAGGAAGTGGCTTGACCCACCACCAATCTGTCGGATTCTATAAGCAAAAGATCATGAGTCAGGATAAGTAAAAATATGTAATTTTTTAAGTAAAATTGATATTTTTATACTTATCCTGACTCATGACGAGAAGCCCTCCCAACCTCCCGTTGAAGACACTTGAGATTTCACAGCAGATCCAAGTGCATGGGCAGAAAATCAGGAGAGAGTGACAAGTATTTAGGCAGGTCACCTAACTGGTTTGCGCTGGAAAGGGCAAAGGGAGGTAACTCGTGGGTGAGCGTATTTATACGTCTGCTTCGGGAACTTCAAGGGATTCAAGTGTTCCACTACCATTCGCAAGGGAAAGGGAGATAAGCCAAAGATCATGAGTCAGGATAAGTATAAAAATATCTATTTTACTTAAAAAATTACATTATAGTATGATAAGGGCCCCAGGCACAGTAATGTTACAAAAGAAATATGGGGGAACGGAAGGAACTCTTTCCGACATAAATATGATACATATTTTCATGACTTTTTTAATGATACATGTTTAACAGAACACAAAGAATGTTTTGTAAGAGTTCCGCCCGTAACCCCCGCTTGAAATGTATTCGATTTATTAGGGTTATTTCGAGGGTTTATGGTTAGGTTTGTGGTTAGATTTTAGGGTTAGGTTTAGGGTTAGGGTTTAGGGTTAGGTATAGGCTGTTTAAAAACATAGGCGTATATTCTTTGGCATATATTGATTAAAAAAATACGGGGGTTACAGGCGGAAATCTTTCCGAATGTTTAACATGTGGATGAGACTGGGCTGCTCACAACCACAGTGTGTAACAACAAACAATGCCGCTATACTATAACATACACTCTATAATATTACTCATGTATACTAAATACAGTATCTTTCACAGAACTTATCACAAAAGTATTTAAAACAACTTATTAGGTTAAACAACACTTACACTCTTTTCTAATTCATACCAGAATATTGAGATACAAAAGTATTGCATTAGTAATTGGAAGTCGTAGTGGCTGAGTGGGTTAGGTGGCTGGCTGTGTGTGCTGGCAATTAGGTGCCTGACTCTGAGGGTCTGGGTTCGAATCCCGGATGGGACTCAACCCTAAAGTACTAGAATCTGTACTTATGTACATATGTCACATTTGACCACTTTTTAGATGGCATTGTGTAATCATAGTAATTACAAAGCTTGTGATTTATACACAATGTTTACTTATATAAATTGTGGTTAAGCTTAGATAATGATAAACATGTTTAAACATTACAGGTTGAATATTGAATATCTACAGACACATTGAACTAACCTGATTTTCTGTGAACTTGTCAGTGGTGAGAATGTTTGCAGACTGAGTACATGAGTGACACAAAGGGTTAAGTGAGTTGGTTGGCTTGGCCAATCAGAGCGATCAGTTGAGCATGTCCTGGCTTGGATATGCTATAGGCTCAGTAAATGAAGGACACATGAACTATATTTTAGCATCCTAACTACTAATTATCCATTAAATATAAACAAAGAACCTGAAATTGAATAAAAGTGCAGACACTGAAAATTATTAGAATAAACAAATCTGCTAGTATTAAACAAGGACTAAGAAAGGAATTGTTGGTTTAGTTTGTATACAGCAGGTGTATGTTGTCAGTTTGCGGACCCGTCAGGCCTCATGGAAGCAGGAGGAAGCAGAGCGTGTGGCCAACACTCCGGACCCCGCCATGCCGCCAGGACACAAGATGATGCCAGAGGCTGAGAGGACAGAGACACTCGGACTGCTCAGGAAAAGTTAGTGTTCATTTGTATTTTCCAAAAGGCTCCATGCAAGGTCTAACTGTATGATTCCATACAGATGAGTATAGTACTGTTAGTAGCACTCTCACTCCAGCGTGTCTCACGCATGACCTGAAATGCATGCTGATGGGATGATTACAGCCACTAAAGTACTGAGGAACCTGATCATGATGACTGTTTGTGAAGTTGTTGTACCAAACTTATCTCCCTTTGGCCATGTACACTATATACAGAGAATTCTGTTTTTGTTGAACTTTTATTGTCCCCCGCCGCAACGCGGAACGGGGGACTATGTATTCAGTGGCGTCCGTACGTATGTACGTCCCGATTCTTGTTAACGCGATATCTCATGAAATGTTGTACCCAATGTCTTAAAATTTGGTGACAGCCTACATTGGGTGATTACGCAGACACCAGTCGATTTGGGTGACCTTGACCTTATTTTCAAGGTCACCACGACACTGACCACTTTTCAAACTGTTAACGTGGTATCTCATGCACTGTTGTACCAAGTGTCTTCAAATTTTGACGACAGCCTACATTGGGGGATTATGCAGACACCAGTTTATTTAGGTGACCTTGACGTTATTTTCAAGGTCACCACGACACTTTTCACACTTTTAACTCTTGTTCTGGATATCTCATGGAGTTGGACTGTTGTACCCAATGTCATCAAATTTGGTGACAGTTTACATTGGGATATTATACAGACACCAGTTTATTTGGGTGACTTTGACCTTATCTTCAAGGTCACCACGATACTTTGACCGCTTTTTAAAGGCGATATCTCATAAAACATTGCACCCAATGTTTTCAAGTATGTTGACAGCCTACATTGGGTGATTATGCAGACACCAGTCATTTCAGGGATCTTGTATGTGACCCAAAAATAAAAAGTAGTAAATATAGATATTCCATTCTTTAGCGGCGGGGGACATTGCCACATCAGTGGCAAACACTTGTTCTAATGAAAATGACCTGAGAAAAAGTAAACTGAAGTAACAAGTAAAAGGGACTAAAAATAATCATTAACTTTGGTCAGCCCCACTACATCTCCAAGCTAGAGGGGACCCACTGCAATCTCTTCTTGTCTTCCAAGGCAACCATATTAGTGCCAACCTGTTGCATACTACCCCGAAAACGAGCATAAGTAGTTTCCTTTTCTAATATCTGTCAAATGAACAGCCTTTTTTGCCTAAAATCATATTCACAGGATTAAGTTCATCCAACACAAATCACATTTTGATAGTTTAATGCAATGCTGCATAACTATTTTTCCTACAGATCAGTAAATCATCACTTGTGCTAGTAACCCAGGGGGATCCACTTTATCTGTTCACAGTTGTCTTAGTTCTTAACATTTTTATGCATGGTGACTGTCATTTGATGGTGACACTTGATATTTCAGAACAAGATGACCTTACTCGTCAGCTGCAGGCGCTACCCCTGAGGAACGACACCTTCAGAGTGCGGACGTGTAAACAGGAACTAGAGAACAAAATAGCTGAAGTAGAAGAAGCCATTAAGATATTCTCAAGGCCTAAAGTCTTCGTCAAGGATGAATAACAATATACTGTTTATTTGATTGACATTCCGTTGAAGGATTCCTTGCAAGAACAGTGGAAGCACAGGACAAAATCCACCCGGACAAAATCCACCCCAAAATTGCAACCTAGGACAAAATCCACCCCGGACAAAATCCACCCCTAATAAATTCCACCCTAAGAAAAAAAACCTAATGACATGTTTAGTCACAGAAATGAATTTTATTCATATCAGTCATTCATAATCGATAACAAAAAAACCCAAAATACATATGTAAGCACATTTTTGCATATATAAATATGACAACAGCATATGTTTTCACACATTCAGACATATCTATGACTAAACATCTTGCCACATTTCAACAACGCAAGCAACGGCCGACGCCGTGGAGAAAGTCCTCGAGTGTCTTTTCCTTTGCTGCGTAGGTCTTGCACAGACCTTCAAGGCGCTCTTGGAGATGTTTGGTGGTTGTTCTGGTTCTTTTCTTAGGGGAAGAACCCGGTTTGGTGTCTCTCGGGATGTACTGGCCTTCTGCTTCATCTCTGACCGCAACTTGAGGGCCACGGTAGCGCTGGGGTCTGGGGTGTGGCAGTGGTTGGTTGTCAGTACTTTATTCTTCACTTCCATGTCTGTGGTCACTGAACCCTTGCAAGACAGCGGTTTCCGTTGGGAACACTCCCACCTAATTGTTGACTTGCTCTCTTTCTTCTCAAACTCATTAAAAAGTATGTTCTATCAAAACATGAGTATAAAGGGCTCCAATCAGGCTTGCAAAAACATCTTAATTCTTTAAGGGGATTATGTAATGATCAAAGTGTGAGACTTCTTAATGATATATGAAAGAGGATTAAGTAGTGATCAAAATGTGACAAATGGAGTTTAACCTTTAATAGGAACAATTTGAAAATTGCTAAAAGCTATCAAAACCAAATCAGTCAGTCTTAAGGATATGAACAGGAACAGCCAATTAGGTGACAAATGGAAAACCTTTAATGTTTGAAACAACATCAAGGAACAATGCCAATTAGTCTACTAATTGAAATGATATCAAAACAATGCTTATGCAACACAACTTGAACAAAGATCAGGACACACTAAAACTTTTAACAATAGCAATTTGAGAAGGGTGGATTTTGTCCATTTTTTTGGTAAGAAGAGGTGGATTTTGTCCGGGGTGGCAATTTTTGGGTGGATTTTGTCCGGTCACCGGTATTTGGATCCTGTCAAGAGTGAACCCAATGAAACTCTACATTGTACTAAGCCTTTTAGTGATTCCTACAGGGCAAAATTCGAATGTAACCTGTTCAACAACAATCAGTTGAAAAATCCAACTATGAGGTATCTATTTTCTGTCGAAAATGAAGATCTATGGCAGGTTTCTCAAACACTTAAAATCAGAACTGCTTCATAACTCGTATATATATATTATTGGAGAAGAAAAATAACAGGCAGACACACACACTCTTCTTGTAACAATGAGAATTTAGAAACTAGAAATTTAAAAATTAGCGGGCACAAAGAAGATTGTGTGGAACATGAATAGTACACATCATAAGCATAAATGAAGAAAATGACTTTTAATCAGTACTTAAAAATATTAAACTAAGTTATTATTATTATTGGATTTTCTTTAGATGTTTCATTTGTCTAAAGGCTGTGTTTGTAGAGAGTTTGTTTCTTGGTACATGTGCCCTATAATGCCTACAACGGTAATATGTTCACCTATACACAATAGGAGCAATGATGTTTTTAATGTTTTTACAGAAATTTGGTGCAGATGTCTTTTACAGAAGATTGTCAGTATTTAAAAATTTCATGACATCATAATCTGTTTACCCGTTGCTTGAGAGATGTGTATTCATTAATGGGACTTCCAGGGAGTTGGGCTTTAGCTGACATACTGTATCTATCCCGGTCTCATGACATTTGCTATCGTCATATCTGACTGTGCCTAATCTCTGACATACTGGATTTATTGAGTTTTTCTTCATTCTGTGATATTTGTTAACATTGAAAACTCCCAACATTACCATTTCTTGTTTAGTTTTGTATGGCTCACAGGTCTGGATACACACCATGCCATCTAGCTAGTGGATCTCCCACACCATGCCATCTAGCTAGTGGATCTCCCACCCCATGCCATCTAGCTAGTGGATCTCCCACACCATGCCATCTAGCTAGTGGATCTCCCACACCATGGAGCATCTGGCTAGTGGATCTCCCACACCATGCCATCTAGCTAGTGGATCTCCCACCCCATGCCATCTAGCTAGTGGATCTCCCACACCATGCCATCTAGCTAGTGGATCTCCCACCCCATGCCATCTAGCTAGTGGATCTCCCACACCATGCCATCTAGCTAGTGGATCTCCCACACCATGCCATCTAGCTAGTGGATCTCCCACCCCATGCCATCTAGCTAGTGGATCTCCCACACCATAGAGCATCTGGCTACTACAGAGACACTGGCTGTCACTTCACTCTGTCCCACCTGGGGATCAGTTATATCTCTGTGTGTACTGGTACCTGGTGAGCTACTCCTTGACCTGTAAGCATGGAGTGCTTATGACATTAGTAACTTATCATATATATTTATGTAGCTGTCATGTAGTCATTGATTGTAAATAAACCCATTTTCATAGAGGAATTGTAAATAACTTTAGTGCTGGTACTCCACATTTGTGTTTTGTTTCTTCCCTGATGTGGTGGTGGAGTATTAAATATTGGAATAGATGATATCATTGAGAGGACTGAGGTGCTTCAAGAGACATGCTTGTGAGAAGAAGCTGGTTGAGGAATACTAACTTGTGGTTCAGCGTAGATAGTTGTCTAGTGTTCATGATTCTCTGGATAGTTACAAATCCAAGTCACCACTGAAAGTTAAGGAAATCTTACTCAATAGAAAATGTCATGGTTTTCTAAATTTGAGGAATTACACAACTCTGTTTTCTGTCTGACTGTACTTGAATCTTCAGCTGTGTCTTTGAGAGAGGTTACCACTTTGTGTAACACAGGAAGCTTCTTCAGCAACACTGGTCCAATGGTTGGGAACATGACAGCTGTGTCTTTCAGAGAGGTTACCACTTTCTGTAAAACAGGAAGCTTCTTCAGCAACACTGGTCCATTGGTTGGGAACATGACAGCTGTGTCTTTGAGAGAGGTTACCACTTTGTGTAACACAGGAAGCTTCTTCAGCAACACTGGTCCAATGGTTGGGAACATGACAGCTGTGTCTTTGAGAGAGGTTACCACTTTCTGTAAAACAGGAAGCTTCTTCAGCAACACTGGTCCAATGGTTGGGAACATGACAGCTGTGTCTTTGAGAGAGGTTACCACTTTGTATAAAACAGGAAGCTTCTTCAGCAACACTGGTCCAATGGTTGGGAACATGACAGCTGTGTCTTTGAGAGAGGTTACCACTTTGTATAAAACAGGAAGCTTCTTCAGCAACACTGGTCCATTGGTTGGGAACATGACAGCTGTGTCTTTGAGAGAGGTTACCACTTTCTGTAAAACAGGAAGCTTCTTCAGCAACACTGGTCCATTGGTTGGGAACATGACAGCTGTGTCTTTGAGAGAGGTTACCACTTTCTGTAAAACAGGAAGCTTCTTCAGCAACACTGGTCCAATGGTTGGGAACATGACAGCTGTGTCTTTGAGAGAGGTTACCACTTTCTGTAAAACAGGAAGCTTCTTCAGCAACACTGGTCCAATGGTTGGGAACATGACAGCTGTGTCTTTGAGAGAGGTTACCACTTTCTGTAAAACAGGAAGCTTCTTCAGCAACACTGGTCCATTGGTTGGGAACATGACAGCTGTGTCTTTGAGAGAGGTTACCACTTTCTGTAAAACAGGAAGCTTCTTCAGCAACACTGGTCCAATGGTTGGGAACATGACAGCTGTGTCTTTGAGAGAGGTTACCACTTTCTGTAAAACAGGAAGCTTCTTCAGCAACACTGGTCCAATGGTTGGGAACATGACAGCTGTGTCTTTGAGAGAGGTTACCACTTTCTGTAAAACAGGAAGCTTCTTCAGCAACACTGGTCCAATGGTTGGGAACATGACAGCTGTGTCTTTGAGAGAGGTTACCACTTTCTGTAAAACAGGAAGCTTCTTCAGCAACACTGGTCCAATGGTTGGGAACATGACAGCTGTGTCTTTGAGAGAGGTTACCACTTTGTATAAAACAGGAAGCTTCTTCAGCAACACTGGTCCAATGGTTGGGAACATGACAGCTGTGTCTTTGAGAGAGGTTACCACTTTCTGTAAAACAGGAAGCTTCTTCAGCAACACTGGTCCAATGGTTGGGAACATGACAGCTGTGTCTTTGAGAGAGGTTACCACTTTCTGTAAAACAGGAAGCTTCTTCAGCAACACTGGTCCAATGGTTGGGAACATGACAGCTGTGTCTTTGAGAGAGGTTACCACTTTGTGTAACACAGGAAGCTTCTTCAGCAACACTGGTCCAATGGTTGGGAACATGACAGCTGTGTCTTTGAAAACGGTTGCCAATGTGGATAAAACAGAAGATTCTTCAGCAACACTGGTAGATTGGTTGGTAGTGTTGACAACACTGTTCCAACGTCTTTGAGAGTCATTTAGAAGTTTGAGCACTAAGGAAATAACAATACATAATTCAAGCAAGTGATTGAGAACAGTGTTAGAAGCTACACAGAAACACTGCTCCCACTGTAATATTGAAGTTGTTCCAGTTCCAGTCCTACAGACCTTCCCTTCACCTGTAGTATGTGCCATGGTAGACCCTGTAGTAGTAGGTGCTGCTGCCACGTAACGAGTACTGTGATCTCACAACATAGCTGCAAAGCAAACATTGGAGGGAGTTGATATTTATTATCCAAGTGACATGTTGTACTGTTGATGTACAGCTGTATAGATATGTCATCTGAAGCTCCTTCCTTCTAAACACCTCTGTGTGTCTTGTTTCACTAGTGTGTATGTGTTTATATGCATGTTTCACTTTCACTGAGGTTCTTCACCCATGGGTGGTGTTACTGCTCAGCACTATACTTTATGTACACAGACCGTGGTCTGGCAGTTGGTAGACCTCTCATGGTGCCCACTGCCATCAGTTAAATGCAGCTCTTTCCCAGTGACACTGTTCCCAGGCAGCCTTGTGATTGTCTACATCAGAAATGTTGAATAACAAAAATTGCCTTTTGCTCAGATTAAACCTGTTCATGCCTTATGGTGTTGGACGATGTAGTACCCTGGTGGTAGATAGTGTTGGACGATGTAGTACCCTGGTGGTAGATAGTGTTGGACGATGTAGTACCCTGGTGGTAGATAGTGTTGGACGATGTAGTACCCTGGTGGTAGATAGTGTTGGACGATGAAGTACCCTGGTGGTAGATAGTGTGCACAAAAGAGGAGCGGCTGTTTGGCATATTCGTTACCAGTCTCCTTCAACCCTACATACACCAAGTATTTGACTTGTCAAAAGGCCAAGGGGAAGTGACTTGTTATAGCTGTCAGAACTATTATGCTCGGCTTATATAATGTAGCCATTAGTATACAGTTAACTGGGACAAGCAGTTGTTTTTCTCTTCCGGCTTGTGAGGAAATAATTCATCATTATTTAAGTTCTGTGACTGAGTTTGTGCCTTCTCAAGACAAGGCCACATGTGTTTTTCTGTCTCACTTGGCCCTCAATGAGGAACATTCCTTGGCCCATTTCTTTTACACCATCTGAGCCCCGGATCGAGTGTCTAACTCAATTCTGGGCCTTCCTGTTTATGGTGACATGCTCCTCGCCCTCATCACCACACTGTCCGCCCTGCAGGAAGATTGATGAAGATGACAGCTTTGTGGTGTGTGTGTGTGTGTGAGAGACAGAGGGAGAGCATGCACACGTGTGAATCAGTATGTTTTGTGTGCTTCAACACAAAAATAGTTTCAAGTTTCAAATCTTTATTCAGGTTAAAGTCATCTGGCAGCCACTGCACTAATACAAAAATATGTGACAGTGAAACAGTGCCTAGGACTAAAGTACTGCCGGAAATGCTAGAAAAATGCTTTTTGACTTATATTTCTAGCATTTCCGGCAGTACTTTAGTAAGGCTGAAAGGTAAACTTCTCCACAGGTGACTAGTCAAAAACATGAGATTCATGCTAGACATGCTGAAATAGCAACACACAAAATACATTGACTAATGCTGAAAGCATTCATGTAAAGTTATGTATGTTCTTCCAGTACTGCTAGACACACTGCTGTAACTGACTGGATGAACTGTGCAACAACAATGGCTTGACATGAACAATACGTACACACACACACATCCTTGCAACATGCATTTCACATCAACAAGCTGTTCCTGCAAAATGTACAACTGACAGGAACAATGGAGTGAGCTTGCATAGATAAAATGCCCCCCGTCAAGAAGATGGTTTTGCCAATACATTCTGACAGAACCATGTCAACTGCTACAGGAGGTCAATATCAAGTCATACAACCATTTGCTAGATAATATTCAACATTCATTCAAACCATGTGACAGTGACCATGAAAGACTTCATCAACGTTGCATATTTAGGCACTTTTTACAATGGAAGCATATAATACAGGCAGACATGGGTTCACCTGACACAAGTTACTGTGGCTGTCCTACATCAGTTTCCACAGGGTTTTAATGTAACAATGCAAGATTCATATCACATGAGAATGTGTGGTTGCAGCTTAGCTGCTTATTACAGAAACTGTGTTCATACATGTGACCTCACACTTCGCACCTTAATTATAAGCAGCAAAAGAAAATATTTCATAAAATTGTCTACCCTGAACAGGGAGAGTAATAGTTGAGAAAGTGTTGACAAATGTCTTACTTCCGTGTATTACTGTCATACACCATCATACAGGGGTTTTGCTATTTCACTTAAATATTACTTTACAGTAGCACTGTGGATCTGGCAATCTGACAGTGTGCTTGACATATCAGTACTAGGGATGTCCCAGCAATCTGACAGTGTGCTTGACATATCAGTACTAGGGATGTCCCAGCAATCTGACAGTGTGCTTGACATATCAGTACTAGGGATGTCCCAGCAATCTGACAGTGTGCTTGACATATCAGCACTAGGGATGTTCCAGCATTCTGACAGTGTGCTTGACATATCAGTACTAGGGATGTCCCAGCAATCTGACAGTGTGCTTGACATATCAGTACTATGGATGTCCCAGCAATCTGACAGTGTGCTTGACATATCAGTACTAGGGATGTTCCAGCATTCTGACAGTGTGCTTGACATATCAGTACTAGGGATGTCCCAGCAATCTGACAGTGTGCTTGACATATCAGTACTAGGGATGTCCCAGCAATCTGACAGTGTGCTTGACATATCAGCACTAGGGATGTTCCAGCATTCTGACAGTGTGCTTGACATATCAGGACTATGGATGTCCCAGCAATCTGACAGTGTGCTTGACATATCAGTACTAGGGATGTCCCAGCAATCTGACAGTGTGCTTGACATATCAGTACTAGGGATGTTCCAGCAATCTGACAGTGTGCTTGACATATCAGTACTAGGGATGTCCCAGCAATCTGACAGTGTGCTTGACATATCAGTACTATGGATGTCCCAGCAATCTGACAGTGTGCTTGACATATCAGTACTAGGGATGTCCCAGCAATCTGACAGTGTGCTTGACATATCAGTACTAGGGATGTTCCAGCATTCTGACAGTGTGCTTGACATATCAGTACTAGGGATGTCCCAGCAATCTGACAGTGTGCTTGACATATCAGTACTATGGATGTCCCAGCAATCTGACAGTGTGTGCTTGACATATCAGTACTAGGGATGTTCCAGCATTCTGACAGTGTGCTTGACATATCAGTACTAGGGATGTCCCAGCAATCTGACAGTGTGCTTGACATATCAGTACTAGGGATGTCCCAGCAATCTGACAGTGTGACATATGACATATGGATCAGTACAGTAATCTGACGTGTGGTGCTGACATATCAGTACTAGGGATGTCCCAGCAATCTGACAGTGTGCTTGACATATCAGTACTATGGATGTCCCAGCAATCTGACAGTGTGCTTGACATATCAGTACTAGGGATGTCCCAGCAATCTGACAGTGTGCTTGACATATCAGTACTAGGGATGTCCCAGCAATCTGACAGTGTGCTTGACATATCAGTACTATCAGCAATCTGACAGTGTGCTTGGGTACTGTCCCAGCAATCTGACAGCAATTGACATATCAGTACTAGGGATGCTCCAGCAATCTGACAGTGTGCTTGACATATCAGTACTAGGGATGTCCCAGCAATATCAGACTATGGAGTGTGCTTGACATATCAGCACTAGGGATGTTCCAGCATTCTGACAGTGTGCTTGACATATCAGTACTAGGGATGTCCCAGCAATCTGACAGTGTGCTTGACATATCAGTACTAGGGATGTCCCAGCATTCTGACAGTGTGCTTGACATATCAGTACTAGGGATGTCCCAGCATTCTGACAGTGTGCTTGACATATCAGTACTAGGGATGTCCCAGCTTTCTGACAGTGTGCTTGACATATCAGTACTACGGATGTCCCAGCAATCTGACAGTGTGCTTGACATATCAGTACTAGGGATGTCCCAGCAATCTGACAGTGTGCTTGACATATCAGTACTACAGATGTCCCAGCATTCTGACAGTGTGCTTGACATATCAGTACTAGGGATGTTCCAGCATTCTGACAGTGTGCTTCACATATCAGTACTAGGGATGTCCCAGCATTCTGACAGTGTGCTTGACATATCAGCACTAGGGATGTCCCAGCATTCTGACAGTGTGCTTGACATATCAGCACTAGGGATGTCCCAGCAATCTGACAGTGTGCTTGACATATCAGCACTAGGGATGTCCCAGCATTCTGACAGTGTGCTTGACATATCAGCAATGTGGATGTCCCAGCAATCTGACAGTGTGCTTGACATATCATCACTAGGGATGTCCCAGCAATCTGACAGTGTGCTTGACATATCAGCAATGTGGATGTCCCAGCAATCTGACAGTGTGCTTGACATGTCTGCAATGTGGTTGACATATCAGCACTACGGATGTCCCAGCAATCTGACAGTGTGCTTCACATATCAGCACTATGGATGTCCCAGCATTCTGACAGTGTGCTTCACATATCAGCATGGTGCTTGACATTTCAGCAATGTGCTTGACATATCAGCAAATTGGGTGTCCCAATATTTCTTATAATGTGGTTGACATATAAGTAATGTGCTTGACATTTCATCTTGAACTGCAAGTTTTGTACATATTCCTGAAACAAACAACCTTAATCCAAGTCCTTCCAGGATTTTAACAGAACCAATGCCAAGGTATGTTTATAAATAATAAAGCACAAACTCTACAGCAGCGTTAATGTCTAGCTATTGTTTTGAATGAGAATACTGGCAGCAATTCAATACTGTTACATTTAGACCCCAACAAACACCTTCGTTCCTACTTTTCCCTTGTTACATTAATCCTATTTATGGAGTACACGGAATACAGAGACAACTACCCTCATGTACAGTAGTACATGAACTTAGGAGGTAGGTATATTTTCCTGAGGTAATAACAAGTCAATAACTCTTACTTATTTAAGTACAATACTAGTCTCATCAACGATAAAATCAAACTTTACATGCACCACTTTGCATACTTTTTAAATATCAACTTTGCTATCTCGCTTTTTACCAGTACATGAAAAATCCATGGTGCTAGGACTAGCTGACAATAACACATACTGCACAGACAGTAACTCTCTATATCCTTCCTGTCTTCAAAAAACAAAACTACTGAGCGGCAGAGTACTTGAATGTAAGACTCAACAAAACACAGTGAGTGATAAACTTGATAGAGAATAAAGAGATGATATAACATCTTGTACAGTCAGTGAATCACTTGATAGAGAATACAGAGATGATATAACATCTTGTACAGTCAGTGAATCACTTGATAGAGAATAAAGAGATGATATAACATGGTGTCTTGTACAGTCAGTGAATCACTTGATAGAGAATACAGAGATGATATAACATGGTGTCTTGTACAGTCAGTGAATCACTTGATAGAGAATACAGAGATGATATAACATGGTGTCTTGTACAGTCAGTGAATCACTTGATAGAGAAAACAGATGATATAACATGGTGTCTTGTACAGTCAGTGAATAACTTGATAGAGAATACAGATATGATATAACATGGTGTCTTGTACAGGCAGTGAATAACTTGATAGAGAATACAGAGATGATATAACATGGTGTCTTGTACAGGCAGTGCATCACTTGATAGAGAATACAGATATGATATAACATCTTGTACAGTCAGTGAATAACTTGATAGAGAATACAGAGATGATATAACATGGTGTCTTGTACAGTCAGTGAATAACTTGATCAAGAATAGAGATGATATAACATGGTGTCTTGTACAGGCAGTGCATCACTTGTTTTCACATACTTCAGCATTTATGTAGCACACAGACTCAAGAACACTCGCCATATGTTATGGTTCACAGATTTTAGCTGACCAATCAGAATCCATTGTTTGAAGTAGATAAAATGAGGTCTGTATCTTACTACTTTTCATTTTATTTGGATCTGATCTGTCAAATCTGTTTCCATAGATACTTGGTACCACACACCCAAACACAAATACACTTTGTGCAAACATGAGAAGAGGACATCGATGTTGGTGTGAAGAACAACTGACAGTATATGTAGGATATGAATGTCCACCTTGGCTGACTGTAAGAAGGGCAGCCCTTGTTGCAGCATCAGACTTGTGTAACAGTGTTGTAGATGAAGACCCCTCTTCAGGTGATAACTCACATCCACATGACAGGTACACAATGGTATAACTCACATCCACATGACAGGTACACAATGGTATAACTCACATCCACATTACAGGTACACAATGGTATTCCAGTGAAAGGGAAGATTCTACTTGACACTTGATCTCATGGCGTAGCCAGTAACTTGTCATACTTGACCCCTTTATACTGACACAACCTTGACAGACAATTCTCCACATCTCAGCTGATCACACAACTACTTCAAGTCGTCGAGTCAAACATTTTACCAGGTAAGTAATCCAAACCTGACATGTTGGAATCATATAGTTTGTTGGTTTGGCAGCAAGAGAGTGTTGTCAGTGAAATCCACAAGCCACGTTTGTACGCAGTCGGAGGGTGACTCCTGGAGATCCCGGACATGACAGATGTCTGTTGCACACAGGCTTCACTAACTCGCGGAATACAAGCACCAGATGTGACCTCACTTGAGTTTCTTAATGCGGCGTAGCTGGACGTAGGTGAGGAAAAGGAACATGCTGGACATGATGAAGAGGGCAGCCTCCCTCTGCCACAGGTCCCAACCCGTCACGTACGCAATGTCCTGCTGTTCTAGATAGGAGTTCCCGGTCACACTGAAACATGGAGTGTTGAATGTTTGAACCATGTTTTCATGTGGTGAAAAGACCAGAACTGTCAACTGACAAATGAAACAGTCTGAAACAGCTGAGACTTACCAGGTCTGTGTAATGTTCCCCTCAACCTTTTCATCACAGAATTCCTGATCCTTGAGCTCATTGATACAGAGGGCCTGGAACAGAAGACACACACATTGTTACCTCAGCAGCAGCGTCCCATTCCACAGTGCCATTGTAATGCTACATCTGTCACAGGTCTATGTTAAGAGTTACAACTGTCTTAGTGCTACTATCACTTCATGGAACAGTTCTCCGGCTCACAGACACACTGATACAAGCATACATGGTATGAGGATCATGCAAACACACAAATTTTCACAGCATGTTTTCGATCAAATGTTTTGTATTCCCTATTTTTCACTTTTTTGAACGTATATTTACTACTCTCTCTTCCATGTCTGGGAGGGGCATTTTCAAGGAAGATGATGAAGAGTTGTAACTGCTTCTACAGATTACTGGTACTTACATCCAGGCTGAACCTGAAGATGGAGATCCACTTGGCCCAGGTCAGCCACTCCCCAATAGAACCCAGGTTGATGAGCAGCCCACTGAACAACTGCAATGAACCACATGAGATGCACAATACACATACACCCTTTTCAGAAACAATACAGTAAGTTACATGGTATTACCATGAAATCACACAGTGCTGTCTCCAATTCACATGAGTGAGGGGCGGTGGGGTAGCCTAGTGGTTAAAGAGTTGGCTCGTCACGCCAAAGACCCGGGTTCGATTCCCCACATGGGCACAATTTGTTAAGCCCAGTTCTGGTGTCCCCCGCCGTGATATTGCTGGAATATTGCTAAAAGCAGCGTAAAACTAAACTCAGTCAGTCAGTCAGTCAGTCAGTCAGTCAGTGAGTGAGTGAGTGAGTGAGTGAGTGAGGAGTGAGTGAGTGAGCGAGCATGGTACTATGCTGCTTTAATCAATATTCCAGCAAAGTCACAGAAAGGGACACCAGAAATTAGTTTCAAACACCAATGTTGTAACTACAGCATAATGAGTGCACATATAACTCAATACACTACCCCACCGTCCCAGGTTGTGTCATGAAGTCCCATGTACTCACCATCATGAAGACAAAGCAGAGTGAGATGAGGATGTTGGCAACAGCTCGGACCTGGATACTGGCACTGATAGCAAATGCCAGACTTGTGGCGGACAACGTTGTCAGGAAGAGATTCAGGAGGAAGAAGAAGAAATGACTTGCACCATTTTTGAATCCTGAAAAATAAATAGTGTATTGAACACACACACACGCACCTTTCCCTCACACTAAAATAAAATATTAAATAAATGTTCCTCTTTGTTTGAGCACAATAAGTGATAAAGAATTTGTACATATTATCTCCAAAATCTATTTTACAATTAGATGTCATGTAAATTGTCAATAAGATGTCAAATAAATGTCATGTATATTCTGTATATCCAGCTGGGATGGGAAGGGATGTTCATATTCGAGAGAAACAAGGGCATTACCTCACAACACATGAAATGAATTTGACGTAAGTGCTGTCACCCTGCTAAGGTTTCAGAATAGCAAGGGGCACAATGAGATATATAATATTTTCAAATTCTGTGTGTATTCAAGTATAAAACTTCATATAGACTTCACAAAGACACCATTCAGTTTCTAAACTACATTTTCTTATCCAGTGAGCAGAGAGGCTTTATGGCAGCAGTTCCTCAAGCTGATTAAGGAACAACTCTGGTTGCTGATATATGAATGTGTTGGGTAACGTGTTGATGCAGTTGGACTAATAGGCAAGTACCGGCAACAATACTCACCAATGAGCCAGTAGACGACCGAGCTGAACACTGCTGTAGGTACCAGCCTCATGGGTACAAGATCGCAGAAAACTTTTGCCAGGAAGAATGATGACACACGATAGAAGCCACTCACATTTTCATGCCTGATGGAGAGATGAGGGTGTGTTCATTACTTCAAAACTGAGTCGACTTGAACAACAACTGATTTACCAGAGACTTCAGTCTTTTATCAAAAAGATTCTTAAAGTTGAGTGAGTGAGTGAGTGAGTGAGTGAGTGTAATTATACGCCGCACTCAGCAATATTCCAGCGATATGGCGGCGGTCTGTAAATAATCGAGCCTGGACCAGACAATCCAGTGATCAACAGCATGAGCATCGATCTGCGCAATTGGCAACCGATGACTTGTGTCAACCAAGTCAGCGAGCCTGACCACCCTATCCCGTTAGTCGCCTCTTACGACAAGCATAGTCGCCTTTTGTGGCAAGCATGGGTTGCTGAAGACCTATTATACCCCGGATCTTCACGGGTCCTTAAAGTTAAGACAACTGATGATTAACATGACATAAACTCACATAAACATAGATCTCTCACGAAGGAATATTTCTACAGCAGACAGGTTACCAAATATCTGATTCATCACCATGAAGAAAAAGGCACCAACTCTGAAACAAACAACAAAGATGTTCACCTGATGATTGTCGATCTATTCAAGAAAACTAGGCAAGAAGGTTCAGTGTCACACTGTACATATTACACAGCCTAAAGTTCACTGTCACAGGAATAGGGCAAGGTCAACTGAAGCCAACGCACCTGTTCTGTATTCCCGAGGCTGCGGATGTGTCTAGCTGGAAGTACACAGCTCCAACGATGATGGCAAACAACAGCATCATGAACACCTGAAAAACAAGTCACGTCTTCCTTTAATCTGCTTCATTAATAAGCTAAATAGATAAAATAGGACTATACAAAGCATGTATGTAATGTGTCTCACCAGCTTCAGTGTACAGCTGAAGTAAGCATGTTCAGGAACACCAGCTTCAGTGTACAGCTGAAGTGAGTATGTTCAGGAACACCAGTGAGCATGTTCAGGAACACCAGCTTCAGTGTACAGCTGAAGTGAGCATGTTCAGGAACACCAGCTTCAGTGTACAGCTGAAGTGAGCATGTTCAGGAACACCAGCTTCAGTGTACAGCTGAAGTGAGCATGTTCAGGAACACCAGCTTCAGTGTACAGCTGGAGTGAGCATGTTAAGGAACACCAGCTTCAGTGTACAGCTGGATTGAGCATGTTCAGGAACACCAGCTTCAGTGAACAGCTGAAGTGAGCATGTTCAGGAACACCAGCTTCAGTGTACAGCTGAAGTGAGCATGTTCAGGAACACCAGCTTCAGTGTACAGCTGAAGTGAGCATGTTCAGGAACACCAGCTTCAGTGAACAGCTGAAGTGAGCATGTTCAGGAACACCAGCTTCAGTGTACAGCTGAAGTGAGCATGTTCAGGAACACCAGCTTCAGTGAACAGCTGAAGTGAGCATGTTCAGGAACACCAGCTTCAGTGAACAGCTGAAGTGAGCATGTTCAGGAACACCAGCTTCAGTGAACAGCTGAAGTGAGCATGTTCAGGAACACCAGCTTCAGTGAACAGCTGAAGTGAGCATGTTCAGGAACACCAGCTTCAGTGAACAGCTGAAGTGAGCATGTTCAGGAACACCAGCTTCAGTGAACAGCTGAAGTGAACATGTTCAGGAACACCAGCTTCAGTGAACAGCTGAAGTGAGCATGTTCAGGAACACCAGCTTCAGTGTACAGCTGAAGTGAGCATGTTCAGGAACACCAGCTCATGTGTACAGCTGAAGTGAAGCATGTTCAGGAACACCAGCTTCAGTGAACAGCTGAAGTGAGCATGTTCAGGAACACCAGCTTCAGTGTACAGCTGAAGTGAGCATGTTCAGGAACACCAGCTTCAGTGTACAGCTGAAGTGAGCATGTTCAGGAACACCAGCTTCAGCAGTGAAACAGCTGAAGTGAAGCATGTTCAGGAACACCAGCTTCAGTGAACAGCTGAAGTGAGCATGTTCAGGAACACCAGCTTCAGTGAACAGCAGTGAACAGCTGAAGTGAGCATGTTCAGGAACACCAGCTTACAGTGAAGTGAGCATGCAGGAACACCAGCTTCAGTGTACAGCTGATTGAGCATGTTCAGGAACACCAGCTTCAGTGTACAGCTGAAGTGAGCATGTTCAGGAACACCAGCTTCAGTGAACAGCTGAACAGCTGAAGCATGTTCAGGAACACCACTTCAGTGTACAGCTGGATTGAGCATGTTGAACACAGCTCAGTGTACAGTGAAGCATGTTCAGGAATACCAGCTTCAGTGAACAGCTGAAGTGAGCATGTTCAGGAATACCAGCTTCAGTGAACAGCTGAAGTAAGCATGTTCAGGAACACCAGCTTGAGCATGTGACACCAGCAGTGACAGTGAGTGAGCATGTTCAGGAACACCAGCTTCAGTGAACAGCTGAAGTGAGCATGTTCAGGAACACCAGCTTCAGTGAACAGCTGAATCACCAGCATGTTCAGGAATACCAGCTTCAGTGAACAGAACACCAGCTTCAGTGTACAGCTGAAGTAAGCATGTTCAGGAAGCATGTTCAGGAACAGCCAGCTTGAGCATGTTCAGGAACACCAGCAGTGTACAGCTGAAGTAAGCATGTTCAGGAACACCAGCTTCAGTGAACAGCTGAAGTGAGCATGTTCAGGAACACCAGCTTCAGTGAACAGCTGAAGTAAGCATGTTCAGGAATACCAGCTTCAGTGAACAGCTGAAGTGAGCATGTTCAGGAATACCAGCTTCAGTGAACAGCTGAAGTAAGCATGTTCAGGAATACCAGCTTCAGTGAACAGCTGAAGTGAGCATGTTCAGGAATACCAGCTTCAGTGAACAGCTGAAGTAGCATGTTCAGGAGCATCAGGAATACCAGCTTCAGTGAACAGCTGAAGTAAGCATGTTCAGGAATACCAGCTTCAGTGAACAGCTGAAGTGAGAATGTTCAGGAATACCAGCTTCAGTGAACAGCTGAAGTAAGCATGTTCAGGAATACCAGCTTCAGTGAACAGCTGAAGTGAACATGTTCAGGAATCACCAGTTTCAGTGAACAGCTGAAGTGAACATGTTCAGGAACACCAGCTTCAGTGAACAGCTGAAGTGAACATGTTCAGGAACACCAGCTTCAGTGAACAGCTGAAGTGAGCATGTTCAGGAACACCAGCTTTAGTGTACAGCTGAAGTAAGCATGTTCAAGACCACAGGGCTCGATATAGTGCTTTGTTACTTGCACTGGTGGAACCCAACATTAGTCTAACTTGCACCAGCTTCAGTTGAATGTTTATGTTGTAGAAGCAGAAAAGTAGAAAAGTCACATCACATAGAAATATCAGTAGCACAGTCCAAAATATTCCAGTTGATCTGAACTTCATAATAAATGAACATGGGATTTACCAGCACAAGATAATGGAAACATTTTCAATCATGTACAGACTTATTTTTGTCCTACAAAACAATTTATGTAAGCTGATTGTTCTCTTGTCTTTCCTGTTCTTCTCTTACCCACCCTTCAGGTCACATCCAACACAGTTGTAATTCTGGGATATGTTCTAAGCTGGAGAACTTGCATTCAGTCCTATTCAGTTTTGTCGGAATGTGTTTCAAACGAATGTAGGAACTCTAATGACCTTGGCTAGTAACACAGTCTCCTCTACATATCTTCACTCAGGAGTTACATGTTTCTGAAACATTTGGGGCTGAGAAGTGTTGATCACCATGTTAAGTACTGAAGGCAAGTAGTGATAGGGATCAAATCAAATGACAGATCCTCAAGAAAAAATGTGTTCCATTTAACAGGGTATTGTCATCACGTTTAACTCACCTGCATCATGGCTGCGTGTGGATTCCTGAGAATATTCCGTAATGTTCGACCAGCTACAACAACAAACTGAAAAGAAAATATTTCATGAAGCTTTCTGATGTTTTGTTGATCCATAAATGTGGTGTATAATATATTCTGGTTATGTGATCTCATATCCACAGTTACACTTGTAAACATGATATGAATCATTCGTAACTACTCGCGTCATTCCGGCAAGCCGGATGGCGTCTCCTACCTCTCTCGTGGCCATGTTTACGACTGGGCCCTGTCTAAGCGCAAACGGGCATGGGGATGAAAATAGTCAAATACTACTACAAAGGAAAGATAACTCTGAAATTACAAACATTGCTCATATAATATCCTATATCCCGTGGGCAAAAGAGCAATACAGTCATTCTGTTTGTAAACATGTTTCAGTGTTTAAAGTTTCTGATCCTTTAGCTCAAAGTTTATATGTTTAAATCGTGCTTTGCATAGTTTAGCGAAGTTTCAAAGTTCATTTTCATGCTTCGAAATGCATTTTACTACGTGCGATTTGATTGGTTTGCCACGATTCTTGGCAATAATGGCATATGATAGGGGTACGAGTCTTCTTGTAGGTCACGGAAAGAGGCGAGTAGTTAAGAATGGATATGAAAGTATGGGCAAGAGTTGTCTCCCTGTACCTGTTGCAGGAATGAGGTTGCATACTCCACTCTCTCCATGCGGACAACGCCACCATTCTCAGACTCCTCCTTGAACTGGTTGTAGACTGGCTGCACCTCCATCATCAACCTAGCAACACCAAGTACAGGTTTAAATGACAACACCAACCACTAGCCAGGACAAGCCAGGATAAGCCAGGACACACTTCTCGGATTGATGATTGGTTAGAAAATTCAACACTCATACAAAACTTACCCCATAAATTGATAAATTTTTGTAATGCTAAAAATACAACACAAGCAGTACCATAAACCACTCTACGGTGTTTTCAAGGTATTTCAAACAGTTATAAGGCATTTTTGGATGAAGGGAGGCGATACTGGCCTCAATACACTTGTACCATGACATGCAATAGAAGAATACATTCTACTATTTGGGAGACAAGCCTTTATCAGCAAAACCACACATTACTTACTCTTTATGCCATTTGGATTTTATGAAGCCTTCAGCTAGGGTCTGGTTGACAGTCACCTCTTCTGTAAACAAGAAATAGTCAGAAGAATTAAGATATTGAAAATTTTAACTATAAATTGTATATTTATATACTTATCCTATCTCACGACTTGCACCTCTCTCTCTTCTTTCGACCATGAGTGGAAACGAATTAAAACTTTGCTCCAAGGCCTACCTTGCCCCTCTCCCGTGCTGTGCGTGCCTTCCTGTCTCAGTCGTGCTCACTAGTCCATGACAGCACGAGGCATGCGCAGTCCTCACCCACGTGATCACCTCACATACTCATTCTCGATCTTGGAGCCATAAAAGGACAAAACCGGAACGGTGGTAATCTATGTAGTGGGGAGGTAGGGAGGGACTTTATCTCGTGAGATAGGATAAGTATATGAATATACAATTTATAGTTAAAATTTTCAAATTTTTAAACTTATCCTATCTCACGACTTGCACTTATCCCACGGTAGGAAGGTGGGTCATAGATTACCCGAAATTCAAGCGATAACAGCTAAGTGTTATGCCCAAACAACCGTGGGAAGCAACTACAAGGTAGGCCAATAACTACCAAGTTACTACGTCTGCGAGGGTTAGTGCGAACCCATTGACTTACTAAGCACAATTGCTCCCAGGGACCGAGATTCGAGCAATGTGGTGTTCAGTCACTACCTTCACAAAGTGAAAGGACGTGAGCTTAACGAGTGTAATCAGTCGCGATCGCCACGATTTCCAAGGTACCCCGCAATAAAAGTCTAACGACTAGTATCGGGCCAGCCCTGCTTGAAACAATCCCCACAGACACCGCCCCGAGGGAGGGTGAAAGAGAAATTGAATCGGTAAAACTCACAATTTTAACGTTCAGTACCACAACATCATCTTATGACTTCCACTACTTACCACAGTAAGATCACATAGATGTGTATAGGCACTTAGGAGCATGAACGCTACGAAGTGTAACACTTGGGGAAAGACTCACTTCACTGACTTAATTACTCCGTGGAGCAGAGGACAGTAAGTGAGGTGGCGACTCTCTGTAGTCTCAAACAAATGAGAGGAGAAATCTAAATCCCGGAAGAAATAAAGACGGAAATCAGAAAAAGTTTTTCAGATTTATTCAGATTGTACACAAGCAGACACGATCGCGACTTGGGATCAACTGCACATGTCTGTGATGTTGTGTCGCTGATAACTGCTGGGCAAGGACGAGTGGTCTAAACTGATGTTGGTCTTGAATATCCGTCACCGACACATCTCTGAGGTAATGAGATGAAAAAACTGTGTCAGTTCGCCAAAAACAATCCTCCATTATGGCAGTTAACGAGCAGTTGCTATGCAACGCCATGAGAAGCCAATGCCCTGGTTTCATGAGGGTTGACTGCCGTAGGTGGTGGCAAAACCGTCAAAGTGTAGGCTCGTAGCATTGTAGCTCGTAGCCAATATGAGAGTGTTGTGCGAGAGACTTCCGCCTTGGAAGCAGTAGACAAGGGTACAAACAGTCTCTTACGCGACGACGGCGGCTCTTCGCGATGCTTTAAAGGTGCGCTTCTGAAGTGTAACACTTCGGGAATGACTCACTTCACTGACGTAATTACTCCGTGGAGCAAGGGACAGTAAGTGAGGTGGCGACCCTCAAAAGCGTCTCAAAAGCGAGACCCATGCGATGGTCAATTCGAACCCATTGACTTACTAAACACAAGTGCTCTAGGGACCGGGATTCCCGAGCAATGTGGTGTTCAGTCACTACCTTCATGAAAGTGAAAGGACGCAGCTTAGCGAGTGTAAACAGTCGATTAAACCACGATTTCCAAGGTCTGACGACCAGTATCGGGCCAGCCCCCTGCTTCGACACAACCCCCACAGACACCGTCCCGTGGAGGGTGAAAGGGTAATTGAATCGGAAACTCACAAGTCCCAGAAGAATCGAAGACACAAATCAGAAATAAAATTCAGAATTTTATTCAGATTGTACACAAAGCAGAAACGATCGCAACTGGTGATCATCTGCGCTGAAGCTGATGGTTGTCCCGAGTGCCGAACAGGCGATAATGACAATGCTGAATTCCAATTCGTTGTGATGAAGGGCCCTTCTCCTGATGACCACTGCTAGGCCACTTGATGGAGAAAGTGAGCGCCGCCCCAGCTTGCAAGATGTGCCAACGAATAGGTGTTGAGTCGGTATGAAGGGCACCCTAGAGACTCCAACACAAACATTCCACTTGTTGAGCCACCAACGAAAGACTGAATGTAGTTGTGCGGGAAGACGAATCAACTCCCTGGGGTTGTCGTCCCCGATGTATGGGCACAGAACCATCTGAAGAGGGCAAGCTGCAGCTGGCCCCTGTCAGTCAGCACTTGTGCCGACGCCAACCACCCTAGTAACTTCTGCCACTGGCGAAAAGGTGTGGGTTGGACCAACACTAGTGGTGCGTTGCACTGAATCTTGTCCCACCTCTCCTGGGGCACAAACATCATGACCTGGCGTGTTGAATATTGTCCCAATAAGAAGAAACAGCGGGGTCGGTGTTACCCCTGATTGCTCCGAATTTAGCAGCCATCCTAATTGCGTGAGCAACTTGATGATGAACTGTCTGTGGAAAGGAAGGACGACTGGATCCTGCTGGGCTTGAACACAGTCGTCGATATTGTTGTCAATTGTCACGCTTCGACAATGCAGGTGGCTGGTTATCAGAATGGGTATCTGAGTAAAAAACCACGGGGGCTGTGCATATGCCCATACAGCAGGATCCTCCACTGGTATCAATGACGCCCCATAAAAGTAAATCGAAGATACTTCCGATAGTCTGGATGTATCCGGATGTGAAGGTAGGCGTCTCACAGGTCGAGGGACTGACTGACTGACTGAGTTTAGTTTTACACCGCCTTTAGCAATAATCCAGCAAGATCACGGCGGGGGGCACCAGAAATGGGCTGAACACATTGTGCCCATGTGGGGATCGAACCGGGTCTTGGGTGACGAGTCAACACTTTAACCACCGGCCATAGGTCGAGGAAATGAGAGGTCTAACCACTCTTGCCTCTGACCAAAAGATATCTCCTGATATAAGAACGTTCAATAAGTCGAGCAACTACGTCAGTTCTGACGGAGTGCTCAATGTAGTATGTTCGGCGCATGGAGATTGTCAGTCAATCTACAGGAACGTTCACATTATAAACAAATTGTAGAAATTCGTAGGATCGGTGACCTCAGGAACGTTTCTTTTGGCCCAACAAAATAATGGTGCGCCAGGTGGCATGATATAGGTAGTAGATCGCTGCCTGGTGACAATCCTTGCATAATGCAGTGACCTCTGAACTCAGTGCTTGACTAGGCAAACCGTTCACGGGTGTTTCTGTCCGTCACCCTCAATAAGCAGTCTCTCTCGACTGGCTGTCAAAATCCGACACAGTCACTCTTACCGGGAATGGCAGCGTTCGTTGTTACTTGCATTTATAGGCTGGACTTGGTATCCGATTCGTGGGACCAAGAGAATTCTGCAAGGGCACTTCATAGTCACTCTAATCATCAAAATTCCAGTAAACAAACAGTAGTCCGCCATTTGCAAACGTTACACACGAGTGACAAAAAATACGGACAACATGGTCTTTGGTTAACCGGGCGAGTCGCAACCCATAAATTTTCGGGCTGAGCTATGCTGGCTATTTGACAAAACATTGCGGTACCATGCGCTAAGAACTTCATCCATTTGTTATCTGTCCAGAAACTTGCTTATCATGTAAAACAAAGGGAGCTGAAGATGACGAGCCGTCTGCAACAATTGCACCCAGGGATACACAAACACGCTGTTACCAGTAGTCTGTAGTAACAAGACTCATCGGAGCGTCAGAGTATTCCTGGCTCATAGCGTATCTAGTTATGCCATATCGGTGGTTGCAGAACTGATATCTACACCAAAGGGTAGAATCGTTGAACCGAATCATTCATCAAAAGTGAAGATCGGATGGTAGATTAAATCTGGAATGAGATGAGCCCGGTCACGGAGGACTCTTGAGAACTGGGATCGTCAGGCGTCAAGTGCCGGCGTGATATCTCTAGATGACTGCGCTACTAACAACACATGTAAATCAAATCGGCAAGGTGAAGCACATAGCTACTACCTCTGTACATTGATCTTGAACGGCCAGGTGATCTGGTTCGACGATAGGGAGCTTTCGACCTGGTGAAACGATCATGAGCCGGCTGGTAAATCAGTTCAGGGTGGTGAGCGGAAAGTTGGCGTGATCTGAATCAGTCCGATATGATCTGAATCGTGACTGATCTGGATCGGTTCGGTAATCCGAAACGGTTAAATGATCTCAGCTGATTGAGAGATCTAGAACGCTCAGATGAACCAGTGAGGCGAGGTGAAATGTTCCGGCCGAGGTGAATCGTTTCGGTGCTGTGAATTGAATCGATGATGTGAACTGTTTCGGCGATAAGAAACAGTCTTAATATTATGGCAAACTGAGTCAATGTCGTATTCACATACGGCGTGGCGAAACGGTTCGGTCTGGTGAATCCATTCGTGTATGGCGAACCGATTCGGTGTGGTGAATCGGTTCGGTCTGGTGAATCCATTTGGTATGGCGAACCGATTCGGCGTGGTGAACCGGTTCGGCAATTTGATGGTACGGTCTGGTGAAACCATTCGGTATGGCGAGCCGATTCGGTGTGGTGAATCCATTCGGTATGGCGAACCGAGTCGGTGTGGTGAATCCATTCGGTATGGCGAACCGATTGGGTGTGGTGAATCCATTCGGTATGGCGAAACGGTTCGGTCTGGTGAATCCATTCGGTATGGCGAACCGATTGGGTGTGGTGAATCGGTTCGGCGATTTGACGATGTAGATCGGATGTGTGAGTCAACTGGCAACACAGAGCGTTTTGATGAGGCGGAACCTCGAGAAGACATCTAATGATGCGCCCATAAAATTATCACCGTCCGACATGGGAAACTGTGGACGACGAGCAGTTAATACCGGTCGTTAAAAACCGGGGTTTGTCGGGTGATCAACTGTTGAAGTGTAACGAGCTCTGTCTGCCAGCCATCGGGAGCAAGTATGTCTACATGCTCTAAAAAACGTCTTTAATAAGGGAGCACATTCCCGACAACGTTTGCTCCAGGAACATGAAGATTGGGGATCCGAGGAAGTAAATCTTGTTACAGTGTGCGCAAAATTACGCTACTGAGTCTAGACTGACAAGACGGGATATCCTGATTCACCTGAAGTGAATGAGACCGACTACGAGAATCACTCTGACGAAAACACACCGTACGGCTAGGTGAACCGGATCAAAATGGCCAACCACCTCGACCAGGCGAGACTGAACGACTACGGGAATCAAAACGCTGATGGTGTGTCGAACTGAAACCTATGTTGAGGTGAACTGAGTCGGGAATGTGAACCCGTTCGTCCTGGTGAACCCCTTCGAGTACGTGAATCAGTTCGGTCAGGTGAACCCATTTCATTACGTGAATCAGTTCGGTCAGGTGAACCCATTCGAAGATGTACTGGTGAGCCGGTTCGGCCTGGTGAGCCGGTTCGGCTGTGTGAGCCGGCTCGGCTGTGTGAGCCGGCTCGGCCATGTGAGCCGGTTCGGCAGGGTGAGCCGGTTCGGCGGGATGAGCAGGCTCGGGAAAGTGAACGAGACCTAGAACAACTCCTCCCAGCCGTGGAAATAGGAGAGCGGGTACGTTCCAACCGCGCCGATCCCCGCTTCAACGATGAATGCTTAGAAGTTCTCGAAGTCTGTGATCGTTCCGAAGAAGCAGACCTACGAGATAATGTAGATCGCAGGTCTGGCGTAGAAGAAATATCGGTCATTACCACCCTGGTACGCTCATGAGAACTTAAACTGGGTGAGGGAAGCTCCCCTAAAAGCCTTCTAACGTTCTCAGATAAATAGGAATCCGACGAAGCGTCCATAAAATCTTCGTCAGGAGAGACGGGCGATTGAGAACGGTGAGCAGTGAGGGTGGGGCGATCTAAGCATTGTTTCTTAGCGGGAGATGGACCAGACCCCGCAGAATTAGTCCTAGCCCTATCTGCCAAACGTCTGGCACAAGCACGTTTGTAAAATTTACACGCCTCATTAGACAGACCTGAACACTTCGGACAGCGTGTGTCCCAGTCACAAACACCCACATAATCAACACACGATGTGTGTGGGTCCCATGCTGAAATTACTTTATTACAACGGGCAAAACATCCGTTTACTGGCCTGAACAGGCTTAACCATTTTGAGCAAATCTCAGACGAAGATGGAGCGACAAGAAAGAGAAATGAGTATGTGAGGTGATCACGTGGGTGAGGACTGCGCATGCCTTGTGCTGTCATGGACTAGTGAGCACGACTGACACAGGAAGGCACGCACAGCACGGGAGAGGGGCAAGGTAGGCCTTGGAGCAAAGTTTTAATTCGTTTCCACTCATGGTCGAAAGAAGAGAGAGAGGTGCAAGTCGTGAGATAGGATAAGTTTAGAAATTTATAAGTCTGCTGTAACAAAACACTGACATCATTGCCTAAAGCATGATAAATAAAGGAAGTGAAAAGACTTGCATGAGTTTACTTGACCACAAGTTTAAATTTGATTTAAGGCCTGAGATATGCTCCAGTACATTCCTCCTGTTCCTATGTGCAGCCGTGGAGCCAGTCTGAGGCTGTAGGTACTTCACCCCCACAACACCAGACTTGGTGGCACCTGCATTGCCTCAGTCTTCCTCCAACAGTAAATTGACATGCCAGGGCATGAATGACATACTGCTCAATGCAGCATAAACACAAATCACTAACTGTGTATGTAGAGACTTACAGCTCTTTCAAGGACTTATCAATGTTTCAAATATGAAGTGAGATGTAAATCATGTTTTGTACTACCAGTCCTACAATTCACACTCACTCAGACTGTATGTACAAGTGGATGATACAAACCGTGGTGACAATAATCAGTTCCCCACGGAATTAGTTCCACCCAGAACAAATATTACCAGTGTATATATGCACCACAGAAAAATGTGCCTAATAATAGTTCTTTCGAGGGCGTCATTCCCCAAGAGAATAATGTATATGATGTATATTCGTTACCTTTTACTTCCTTGTTTTCCACTGACAGCAAACACGCAGCATCACCGTTGATGACATCGAGGAAGAAGTCCGGAGGGTTGTTGTGTTCCTCACAGATGTAACCTGGCAACAGACAAACATTGAAGGCACACTGATCACTTTATTATTTAGTAATATTGGTAGATATGCAGCTACAACTAACCACTGAAACAGCAACAATACTACACTGTCAGGGAACAGACATGAAAACACAGAGTCTTGGCAGGTATTGAAATAAAACCAAAATAGGTGTTGTCATGGTTACAGTGAATGGAACACTTGGTGTTGTCATTGTTATAATGAATGTAACACTATCTGTAGTAATTTGTCTGCATGTCGTCAACTAGGACAAATGGAAACCTACCCATTTCCCGGAAGAACTGCAGAGATTCACTGGCAGCGCCGTGGTAAACAGTCTGTCCCTGTGACAGCATCATGAGGCGATCAAACTGCTTGAAGATAGAGTACCTTGGCTGGTGGATTGAGAAGATAATCGTACGTCCTCTCTGTGATAAACTGAAAAACCAAAAGTTATAACCTTCTCATTTGTCATATTTGATACCATTTCTAATTAACTTTAAAATGAAATTCAATTCTGCACAAAACAGTAATAAACTCCTTCTACAGAGTATTACAAACTCTGACAGATCTAACTTCAGTCACCAGGATTTCCTTTAAATGTCCCTGACAGTTTGCTGACATGTTGGAACAGAGGCTTGAGGTTTAGAGACATGGAGGAATGGTTATCAATCCCTCTTTGTGAGTTACTCTTCTTGTGTCTGTGATGGGAAGTACCTTCTAAGCATGTGAATGACTGCATTAGCCGTGCTGGCATCCAGGCCTGTGGTTGGTTCATCCAGGAACAGCACGGGAGGGGAGATAATCAGCTCCATACCGATGTTTGTCCGACGTCTTTCACCCCCTGATACACCTCGCATGAATTCATTACCGACCTGAAAACCATAATTTGTACATTCAACAATGCAGGCAGACCTCAGAGCAAAAGCTTCCAAACTTCAATAACAAAAATCAATAATATACTGATATAAAAAGAATTCTCCCCATGTCCTATTAGGACGGACTGTTTCATTTATCTCCTGGATGATAGATCCCTGTATATTACATAAATCTCAAGAAGATGGGTCCTGTTGACAAAACAGCCATCATAATCAAAACTTATCATAGATTCATGCCCATGACTAGCGGACACTGTTTACAGCGAAGGGAGGCAAATCTATGTCTGACCTTGGTGTTGGCGCAGGATGACAGGCCAAGTTCCTGGATGACGTTGTCTATCCTGTCATTCCTCTCCTTCACTGACACGGATCGGGAGAGACGCAGTGCAGTGGAGAACTGCAGGTTCTCCCTCACTGTCAGGGTTCCCATCACCACATCATCCTGCAGATACAACACGACTAATTGTACAGATACACAAATACAGACAATGTCTCATCACATTTACTCACACTGACCCTGTGTCAACGACAGCCATCAAGTATAACCTTTTTCAGAAAGACTTGAGTCAGTACTATTCTAACATTGCCTCCAGAAAATACATTTTGTCATATTTGAACTTGCTATATACAATGACCATCCAAACATATATCTCTCAATAAACTTTTAATTTCTAGCTTGCATTTCAAATATTTTTTAGGAAAAATGTTCTGACGAGTGACATACGCACAATGTGGGATACCACAATACGATTTTCATATGTTACACATTGCAATATTCTTTTTGAGAACTAGTATACTGATTAATAAAATATAAGTTCTGTGAATACCACAATGTTTTAAGTTAAAATCTTTCATTCTCAATTGATTTCCCCCTTTGTAATCAATTGACAAGATGGTATACTTCACATACTCTAAATTGTATAAAAATGAAAATAGAATCCCTAAATATCCAACTTAATTTTGAGATTGGTGTTATCAGAACCATATCAGGTTTTCAGGTACGCAGAGAATACAATCTGCAAAACAATAGGTAATTGCATGTACAATCTGTGTCACTCACTGTCAAACTCTTTAGCTCCTAATATATTGCAATATGTATAAAAGAGACTGGCAAAATAACACTAAGGGAAAAGAATTACTATTCCCAACAGAAGTCAAGATATCCCTCAATCAACTCAAAGACCAATCAATCATAAACTCTAGATAGATCCATAATTATCTCCAAATATTCAGTAAATGATATGAGTTATCGTCCCATCTGTCCTACATGTTACACTTTCCCCCACCCTAAGTCAGCAACTGATACAAGAGAACATCAAGTGCTTTGACATACATGTATGTCATTAAGTTGGGCCATGATGGAAGCCAGTCTTAATGGAGCTTCTCTCATAAACCAATCGCATCTTGATTTAGCTTGCACATGTAAGAAAATGTTGATTACAAAACCATGTAAAATAACCTGATAACAAAAATACAGCTCATATTAACAGCTGCTACCCACAATCCAATCCCACAGGGACTATAAATATTCCCTGCAGCAACTCCCATTAAGTACGTAGGGTAAGATAATAAGTTGCTGTTACGCCTGCTCCAGGTCGTGTTACAGTAGGTGACTAGTTCAAGATCCCACACCACGGTCAGCTCGGTCAGTAGGGCAAGTTGGACCACAAGCAGCAGGGCACAAGGGCAGTGGGCAGCAAATTACTCACAACATTAAGCTATCACCATGATGATGATGATGATTTGTCTCACCTGTACAACATATCCCACCATGCACTTGAAGTTGGAAGGTGGCAGAGCGCCATCTATCAGTACTTCACCAGACAGGCCCTGTGGATCTTTCCTCCCAGCCAGGATGTCCAGCAACCTTGAGATGGGACATCATATCATACTGTATTCATTATTGTGGGCATTTCATCATATAAGAATACTGAGTAGATGTTGTTTCATGCAATAGTCAGTAATTTTACAGCTATCGTGTTAGCCTGTATTCTGAGTATGGGTCACACAAAACAATATTGGATAGCATATGGAACATTGAACAAAGTCACTCCACACACCAGGTACAACAATTGTTGGCATCCAATTACAACGGAGGTTGTTTCTTTAGTTGTGTTTCTACAAGCATGAGGTGCTAGATATGTTTTTTCCCATAACATTATTTTTTGGTAAAATTATTGATTGTTTGTATTAACATTGACCATAAGACACTGAAACTGACTTACGATGTCTTCCCACTTCCGGTTGGGCCCAGGATGGCGTTCATGCCAGGCTTGAAAACACCACTGAAAACAGTACAGTCATGGTATCTAATCATGTGTGAAATACAGTTAATCTGCCAAACTGGCATTTCATTAAGTTTGTAATTACAAATTCACAAAACAAGAGGTGACTGCACAGTTTGGTAGAAACTTCTCACACATTCTAAGCTAAGTAAAATATCCTGAAATTTGAATTCAAGAAGTCCATTTTGACATTGCACCCTCATAAAGATGGCCTCAAGTGTCAAACCTGTCACTCATATGATACATTGTATTTGTTTTATGAGTATGATACTGGATAATAATATAAAATATTCTTCTAGTGCCTTTTGATATTGGAAACTTTCCTATACATCCTCCTATGCATAAAGAAGAGGTTATTTACAGCCTAGAAAGATAATGATGTATAGTAGTCACTTTGTTGGGAAACAGGGAGTGTATATAAGTTCAACATAATTGAGTGGGTGAGTGAGTTTAGTTTTATGCTGTACTCAGCAATATTCCAGCTATATGGCGGCAGTCTGTAAATAATTGAGTCTGGACCAGACAATCCAGTGATCAACAGCATGAGCATCGATCTGTGTAATTGGGATACGATGACATGTGTCAACCAAGTCAGCGAGCCTAACCACCCGATCCCGTTAGTCACTTTACGACAAGCATGGCTTACTGAAGATCAATTCTAACTTGGATCTTCATAAGATCAACATAATTGCTTTAGCAGCGATTCTATATAGGTTCAACATAGTCCCTGTGACAGGGATTTTATATAGGTTCAACATAGTCCCTGTCACAGGGATTATATATAGGTTCAACATAGTCCCTGTCACAGGGATTTTATATAGGTTCAACATAGTTTCTGTCACAGGGATTTTATATAGGTTCAACATAGTCCCTGTCACAGAGATTTTATATAGGTTCAACATAGTTTCTGTCACAGAGATTTTATATAGGTTCAACATAGTCCCTGTGCCAGGGATTTTATATAGGTTCAACATAGTTTCCGTCACAGGGATTTTATATAGGTTTAATATATTCCTTGTCACTGGGATTTTATATAAATTCACAAATTCGTTGGATAAAGGAATATATAAATATTCTTTGATAGAGTAGTCAATACGAAACCAATAAGTACATTACTATAATGGCCAGCAGCCCAGTCATGTAGGGGTCAGCTGCCTGTCAATAAAGTCACCGACAGCCTACTGAAGCATGGCATTGAGGATGAGGTGTGGGCTACTGACTAGACAGGTATCATGGCAGTCGACACTAACACCCATTAGGATTACACGTAGGCAGCAGCTACACTGGATGGCTGACTCACAGCTCTGAGATGACGCATCAACATCATAATTATGTCCAAAGATGGAAGGGTTTGAAGAGCAAGTAACAGATGCCATGATATGACTGAAAGTGCAAATGTGACTGTACCATGGCCGCCACACAGTCCACCATGGGCCACACAGTCCACCATGGGCCACGCAGTCCACCATGGGCCACGCAGTCCACCATGGGCCACGCAGTCCACCATGGGCCACACAGTCCACCATGGGCCACACAGTCCACCATGGGCCACACAGTCCACCATGGGCCACACAGTCCACCATGGGCCACACAGCTCACTATGGGCCACACAGTCCACCATGGGCCACACAGTCCACCATGGGCCACACAGTCCACCTATGGGCCACACAGTCCACCATGGGCCACACAGTCCACCACCATGGGCACCATGGGCCACACAGTCCACCATGGGCCACACAGTCCACCATGGGCCACACAGTCCACCATGGGCCACACAGTCCCACACAGTCCACCATGGGCCACACAGTCCACCATGGGCCACACACAGTCCACCATGGGCACACACACCATGGGCCAGTCCATGGGCCACACAGTCCACCATGGGCCACACAGTCCACCATGGGCCACACAGTCCACCATGGGCCACACAGTCCACCATGGGCCACACAGTCCACCATGGGCCACACAGTCCACCATGGGCCACACAGCTCACTATGGGCCACACAGTCCACCATGGGCCACACTGTCCACCATGGGCCACACAGTCCACTATGGGCCACACAGTCCACCATGGGCCACACAGTCCACCATGGGCCACACTGTCCACCATGGGCCACACAGTCCACCATGGGCCACACAGTCCACCATGGGCCACACAGCTCACCATGGGCCACACAGTCCACCATGGGCCACACAGTCCACCATGGGCCACACAGTCCACAAGGTCACGGCCATCAGACATTCATGTTACACTGGCAATGTTCTTCTGTTGAAGTAATGCTGCAAATAATCTCAAAGCAGGCACTAAGAGAGTTATTGTTGGAGCAGATGATATGACTGCCAAAGCCATAATGACAAAGGTTCATCTAAATACCCTCTGTAATATTCCATCTCTGGTATTTGTTCTGGTTCAACTTCAAGGCCAATCATAACTTTTCACTGAGAGCGGAGTATGTGCCTGTGGTAAAATATGTGATAGCAGCCTTGATATCTTCACTGTAGGAATGTGGTGGACTTAAGTCAGTCATATGGTCTTTTAAATAGGTTAAATGTAGGGTTATTCTCTAGAGTTATGCACTTAAATGGCACATGTCTGATCAGAGAGGGTGTTGGACAAACTCCAGAGCATTGTATGAGGCTTAGTGGAAGTAATCAACAAGAGCTACATATAAGGAGCAATATGAAGTTTGTGATGGACTTTTGTAATAGATTGTGTACTGCCCTGGAACCTTTGATACTAAAAGAATACTTCATATAGCTTATTTAGTTGATGTCTCAGGTCTAAAAAATGAGACAGTACTTGAACTACTTGTTTTCTGCCTGTGTAAAGCCTATAGATAGCAGGACCCCATACGTCACAGTATTAACATGTCAGGTAGGATTGATGTAACCATGTTGGATGACTTGTCTTCTTGGGTTTTAAGGCTTGCTTTAACTTGGGAATGTTCTAGGTACTGGTTGCTTCGATACAGAAACACACATTACTGTATAAGATTTATCACAGCAGGACAGCTACATAACTGTGTCTCTCTACTGGTCGAAGACCTTCCAGTTTTAGGAAACTTGCTCACTATTTGTTAACCATGTTTGATAAGGCACCTCTGATTTGTTACGTTGTCACGATTTAGGTTAAGTGGACCACTTATTATAGCTTTTATGTTGTGGAGTTATACTGAGCCAACTTTATAACTTTTACTTTCGGAATGAAAGTCAGCAAGCATTTGTGTTTCACAGCGAATTTGACAGAAGCAATTTAGGTAGAGGTGTGTGTGTGTGTGTGTGACTAGAGCATAGAGTGTGTGACAATGTGTGCCAACAGAGCAGAGGTGGCACTGTAGATCATGAAGTAACCTCTTGTTTACTTTGTGGGGTATATTTAGGATCTGTTAATGAATTAGGCAAACTCCACGAGCAGTTTGAGCATAGCTCATCATTTCTGGCTTGTGTACACACAGGTACAATCACGATTGATCATTTTCATGAATTAAAGCGATTGACAGCTTATCAACTATTCAACCCATCGATCGTTCATGATCATGATGTGATTACAACTGGTACCAATCTGTCCATTTACTTCCTATATGATTAACTAACAATTACAAACATCAAAACCTTCCAAACCTAAGTTACATCAAATGTCAACTCGTCCTGAATGAAACGGTCGACATGTTTATTTGTGGTTCACAGCGAAGTTGACAAAGGCAAAGGCTCGGGTCACTCGAGCGGAAAGCGCGTGACAGATGCGCGCCCTCGGAACAAAGAGGACACTTACTGTACATCATGAAGTATCTTCTTTTTCACACTGCGCCCACAACATGGCTTGTTTTTTACTGCTATCTCATAACAGATCTTGTGGGCTGACAACACGGATCCAGACTGCTTATCGCTCCCTCCCTCCAAGTCAATTTCCACCGCATCGCCATCGTATTTTGTTATTCCATTTGGTTGTGCTTTCACCAAAAGCTTTTCCTGAAATAGTGATTCAGATTAGAAGACGTCATGTATCACAATGAAAAACAGTGCGTAACTTAATTCATTTAGTTTCCTGCTTGAAATGTTTACCATGTTATTTTCTGGCTCCATATTTCTCTTGTGGGACGTGTACATTATTTCGTAGGTGAGGCAGCCTGTTGCGCGATGCAAGTAAACGATCAGTTCAGCCTCTTTGTAAGTGCTTGGCTCGCGAATGGTATTGATTTTCAATTGAGAATGATCGAACCATCGTTTTCAAATAAAATGTTTCATATCATAGTATTCACATGAGTAGGTATCATCACACTTGTAGTTGTTTTCCGCTTTCTATTTCCTATTAGCACAGTGGGTTCTTCAATAGAAATTCCTGTTTCAGAAACAACGGGAAGTCCCACGTGACTTCTGGGCCACGTGAATAAATGTCAACAATGGACTCTCCATGCTTGTAAGGTTGTAACATTGTTTGATTGCTCTAACAATCTTCAGTTTTTGGCATGGAAACGGAAGGTATTGGCATAATGAAATGTATATGCACACAAGAATTACTTGTCAAAGGCCAGTAGGTCGACGGCATCACTTTGTTTGGTGCTAATACTAGCGCTAGAGACGCCAGAAGTAAATTACATGTGTACGTGGTTGGTAACGTTACTCATTATCATCGCATGGATGGATCGGTCGGTCGATGCTCCTGAAGTCTACCAACGTGTTATCTTGACCAGATCGCTGTATCGTAGCGGGAATATTTGATATTGCCGAGTGTGGTGTTACAAACATTACACAAATCGCAGGAAATTGTAGTATAGTGCAGGAGAAATACTAGATTTGCTCACAACTAGATCTACTTGGAGAGTCATATATTCACTCACACCTTATAGTCGGTTATTACGCATTTATAGGTACCTATTTATGTAACCTAATCCAAACTAGTGAAGTTTGTTTAGTGTTTAACCCCTAGATGCCAGAGGGACATATATATCCTTCCTCTTCAACCTTCAGCAGTTTTGAATTCCGCGGGAAATTTCCCACTTCTTAATACTATCCACTTTCATCTTAGGCAAAGCATAAAATGATCTTTTAAAATTGGGTGCATTGTAAATGTCGCCTTTTTTGACACATGACGAAATAGGTTATAAGGGTATGGTGTATGTATGTACAAATCGGATTAATTACTTGGAGTAGATAAACTGAATTTCAAAAACAGCATATTTATGATCACTGATATCCATTTTTTCATCAAAACCCCAATGGTTATTCTGAAACATCGCCGATAAACCTATTTTCGGGTGGGGTATTTTGGAAAATACACAATCATTGATTCACGAACGCTGAAGTGAACATTCCGCCATATTGGACAGTGTTTACATAATAACGTTTCGCGAAGGCTGGTCATGAGACGCAATTGACGTATATCACGTATATTTGACACTCCGCTGAAACAAATATGTCACTTAATTCTTCATTCATTTAGAGTCAAAAACCAAAACCAAGTGTCTCGATGAAATCAAACGAAACATATTGGGTGTGAAAACCACTGGGGCTTGTAACGCAAAAATCTGGCATCAAGGTGTATACTGTCACTAACGGGGTCTACCACTACATACCTTTATATAGTGTTAAGACGGGGACCTTTACATAGTTTTAGGACCCCGTCAGTGACAGTATATATATATATATATACGTTGATGCCAAATGTTTGCCTTACAAGCCCCTGTGATGAAAACGAACGCTGTGCTGGTAAAATAGCCTGAGATTTTACACTGTGTAGAATTTTCTCAACTTTTCAGACATTCATTCGTCTATTCGTAGTATGCATATGGTCAATAATGTTAGAATATACATGGTAAAAGGTAAAAATATATAGGAAATTAAAATTGATACATTACAATGCTTTGATACATTCATACCAAATTGTTAAAGTTTCCGTACAGCGTGACGCCATGACCGGGTGTGATGTCATACGTCAGCATTGTTGTACATATTTGGTGAATTCTTTGAGGTGAAGGTCGGTTGAATAGGCGTAAATACAATAATCCTATCCTTCTGTTTATAGTTTCAATATTATTACGTATAATTAAATTTGCTGTCTTTACTTAGGTTTTCAGGATACTGATTTCATTATCTACATTGTGCCTTATTCAATATCATATCATACGTAGATGATTACTATAAGTTATTTTTATCCATTTGAGGTTTTGTTTGTTAGAACAATATTTACACACGAAATTGACATATTTAGCATAGAACGCCATACTTTGAACCTTTACACAAGTGTCAGAAGACAAAAGACATAGCTGCAGAATGTACGTGAGTGAGTTTATTCTTATGCGGCACTCAGCAATATTCCCGCTACATGGAACCGGTCTGTAAATAATCTAGTCTTGACCAGACATTCCAGTGATCAACAGCATGAGCATCTACCTACGCAATTAGGATACGATGACATGATCCAACCAGAGAGCATATAATTATTATAAGTCAGCGAGCCTGACCACCCGATCCCTTTGGCAAAATGTACGTAGTGCCTATGATGTGTAATGTTCAATATTGTAATTTCATGCCAATTATTGCATTGTCTGGTCCAGACGTGATTATTTGCAGACCGTTATTCATATAACTGGAAATTTGCTGAGTGCGGCATAAAACAACACCACAAATATATTGAATATATAGAAAACAAGACGAGTATATCTCCAAACGTTTGTGACACGCGCGCACCCGGCGAATCATTAGACGTCATTGTCCATAAAATCATATTAAAAATATATGACCAATATATGACCAGGACAATTCCTTATACAAATGTGTGTATTTAATAACAAATATTTATAACCAAAAACTTGTGTGTGTGTGTTTGATAAGAAATATTTATAACCAATAACTTTCCAAATGTAATATGGTCAGTTGTACTGTGAAGTTAAATCAATTTATTCTTAACATCGTATTACGCAACAAAGTGGTAAAGAGAACCAATATTTCTGATTTTGTTTATGCATTTAGAAGTTGAGTACAAAGTAAGGACAAGCTGTATGGATAAACAACTTTATTAGAATTAGGAGCTACGTTTCGTTTTCTGTGCTCTTTCTTTGTTTATCAAGATAAAATAATGACCCATGTATAGTTCAAAAGAGATTATTTTCATGCAGAAATGTGTTAGTACTGAGAAATTACTTTATGCTGATTTTCTATTAGAGACATTTTAAGAAATTAGGTTGGAAAAGCGATGGTACGTGGTGTCGCCAACCCACCTGGCGACATACATCTACAAACAGAGGGAATCTGGAAACAGTAACCGCCGTTTCAGTTGCAAATAAATAAGTTTCGTGTGGATACATACGGTTGTAACTAACACTTGGCATTTTGGAGTGAAAATCGCCCATGTGCCCACGGACGTACATACAGACATACATGTATACATACAGACATGCACACATATACACCTACCTGTTTCACCGGATTCGTCATTGTTTACCCTTGGCTCACCGCGCGCAAGTGACCAGCTAAAGTCACTATCAGAGACTATAGTCAGGAGACAGCCTGACAGACACTTGTCTTGTAACATGACAAGTGTTTTACGACTTTACATAAACCGCCTTACTCAACCTTATATATAAGTTTAAAAACTATTTTATGCGGCAATAGGTTAAAATAAACCTAGAAACAAAAGAATTAACATCCCAAGTGATTCCATGAAAGGGTGGTTTTCAACTGAAAATTATTCTTAATTAGCGATATTTATATCCAAAAAATGAATTGTACAGGCGCTTAGTCACCAAATTAAGAATACTTCTTTTATTTCTGAAATATCATTATATTTAAAAGTGTTAAATATTTTCTAAAAATTCCATAATCCATAACTGTTGATGGACATCTTAATCATCGTCTAGTGAACAATAAATTTGATCGTTTTCGGCACAAATGTCCAACACTTCCAATATGGTGTGGGTAATGTGCACATGGTTCTAAACCAAATCTTTGCTGAACCAATATATTCCTACACAAAATTACCCAGCCGCAGATTACATTTTATACGAATGAGTGTTAGTTATATACAAATATACATTAAAATAAAGCTCTTTCAATTTACCACAAAAAAATTTAAAAAAATAAATAAAAGACAAAACATAAAACCTTGGTACAGATCAACCCCCTGTTACAGAAAATGAAATGTTTAACAAAACTGGTTGTTAATTCATTACATTTTCCGTGTTGACGTCAGATTTCACATGTCACTATGAATAAACTGTCGTTGGAGACCCCCACGGTATGTTATACATATTTTGACCTCTGACCTATATATAGCCTCAAATGTACAGCCGTGCTGCGTTGTGTAACCGACAGCTACAGAATATTTGCATGCAAATGTCGTTTATTAAGGCGATATATATGCAGAGTCGATAACTTTCATTTGGCCAGAATATGAAACGTGACCCGTGTGCATATAATAAATAGCCTATATATTAGTATACAGACCGGGTCAACTAAAGTGGCTTGAAGTGACAAGTGCCTCACTCCAGTTATAATGTAGGCGCTCGAGTTATAAGGTAGTGTTTTCATATGGGACATAGCAATAGTGACGCTGAAGGGGTCGTTGTCGGCACGGGTACTACAGATATGTACCCCAGGTACGTTGCTGTATACAGAAACGTACCCTGGCCATAATGAGAATACAGAAACGTACCCTAGGACGATTCCATTCCCATTGTGTCGTATTCTTGATCGGTACTGTCATGCTGTTGTATTAGATACATTTGATTGCGTTATGTAAGTAATGAGAATACACAGTAACGGATATTTCGCGATGCATATGAATACCACTCGCAATCAGTTGAACGGGAAAAACTACATATGGTTTCGGTTTTGGATCACGGAATATGGACTCGTCCGCCTTTTAGGGTACCGGGTACGTTTCTGTATTTTGACTTTGTTTAGGGTACATATCTGTATACAGAAACGTACCTGGGGTACATATCTGTAGTACCTGTGCCGACAACAACCCTGCAGCTATAGTGACGGGATCAAGTGTGAATTGATAAACGTTTTAAGTTCAAAGTCCAAATGAGTTGTTATTCAAAAGCATATATATTATTAACATTGTTATAGCACCAAATTCGAACGCAAGCAGTTCGTTATTCACATTACATAACTACAATTTATGATAAAGGTCAACTTCCCTCAGGTAGTTAACAATGCGATGCCCGCTCACGCGGGAAAACAGATCTTTCAGATTTGCCGCCTCATAATGTGAGTCCCTTGCAGTCGAAAAGTCCGCACAGTCCGCACAGTCAAGCAG